ACTTACAGGAATCGTGGGTTAAGGAAGTGGCAAAGTGGTCTAGTTAAACATGTATTTCCTCTGGGTTCAGATTCATCTCTGAAATCTACTTTCAAATCTACTTTTCTGCACAGAGGATGAGTTTGTTGTGGCAGAAAACCCAAACTTGTTCACATATTTCAGATAGACTACAGCAAAGAGTCAAAACAAAGTGAATCCCCAAACTTTTTTTGTTTTTGTAAAGATCATTTTTGGCCTTTGCCTTTATCGATAGGACAGCTACAGGGAAGAAAACAGAGGAGAGAATAAGCTAGACATGTTTTAAAGGGCAAGAGGCTGTATTCGATGTGTCAGGGAGTTTGCCTCTATGCAAGGAGCGCCCACTCTATCAACTCAACTGAAGCATCACCGCAGATACAAGACTTTCTGTAGGATGACATTACCACAATGTGACAGGCAGAAACATTTTCTGTCTATCTCAGTGAGATCAGATCAGGGAAATAACACGTCCTCCTCACAATCACAGCTATATTTTCGTTTTTTAATCAAGAATGCTGAAATAACTTTTGAATATTTCAGCCCCAGCCTTTACTGAATACTTTCCATTTCCTCTTGTGCCTCTGGTGTTTTTAAAGATTTAACATTTTGGAGAATATGCTTGGCTTACTTCTTGAGAGTCAGACAGAAAGATCAATACCATGATGATGGTACCAAACCTGGAAACCTCACGGTGATGACAAGACTTGAAGAAGTTGTGAGGACTGAAGGCACTGAATAGTTGTGCAGGTACTTGAGTGCACTGAATTTTACGACTCTGTGTACTTATTGATTGAGCTGCCTGCAGGTGTTCGTACGTTTGACTTTGGCTTTATCTCGCACAATGTCAGATTGTTTCCTTTTTCTGTCTTTTTGCTGAGCAACATCCTGAGACAAACACACGTTTCTCTTGTCTGTCTATAAGAGTCATACTTACGAGGTATTGTTTTGGCTTAGGGCTGCACTTCATATACGGTGGCTGCAGTCGTTAAAAGAGGCATCTTGGTTTGACTGTTTACTCTTGGTGCTTTACTGCATATCAGTCCCCTCTCTCTTTTCCCTGTTTCCTTCTCCATCTGCTGACTGATTTCCTGAATAAAGGACTTGAAAATGTTTCTACATTGTATTTAAAAAAGCCATCTCATAGCACCACTAAAAGATCAAAAACTCTGAACTGTTGATAAATATGAACTGTGCATCTACTCATCCTCTCGCTGTACAAAAGTGATGCCACCCTGCAGCTGGAGCAGCTTTCTTGCACATCTGGAGCCAGAGTGTGTGACATACCACACCTGCAAGCATCTCTAGTTCCCCATCTGTCTATACTTGAAGATGCAGACTTAGTGTCCATACTGCCACCAGTCACTAGGGGGGGCTTTGACTGTTTTGGCCTCACTTTGTAGGAAGGGGTCACGTCCATTTTTTACAATCTATGCATCAAAAAAATACATATTTTTACATCATGTTCCCTGAGAGAAAGTGAGAGGCAGAGTTTAACTTAGAATGAATTTGGTCATTTCTGTGTTTTTTGTGTCAAAGCAACACAGACTGGATCTACACCCCATCTAGAGGTTGCTGAGACGTCTCTCCCTGATCCATCTCTTCCAAGTCCCGAACGGCCACAGAGACTAACAGTAGAAAGTAGGGGTGGGAGAAAAAATCAATTCATCGAGGCAATGGAAGAGGGACGAAATACTGACACTATAAATTAGGGGTGGGAGAAAAAAATTGATTCACGCAAGTATCAAAATTTTTTGTTTTACAATTTTTAAATCTTTTTTTCTTTTTGGTCAAAAATGTTTTTTTTTTTTTTAATTTAAGAATAAACCTTGAAAACTGACTACATGTGATTTGTATTTTGGGGGTTCCTGGAATAGTCAGTAGACAATGATAATCATTCAACTGTTTCACTGGTGTTGAAAATGCAGACTAAAAATCAAGAAAATTGACAATATCATAGAATCACAATATAAATCGAATCAGCATCCAAAAAAAACATAGAAGAATCAAATCAGGAGAAAAGCAGCATATCGTCTCAGCCCTAGTTGAAAGTAAAAATAATTAAGGTTTAGCGCCCCCTGTGGACAAAGCAGTTGCTTATCTTGTCCTTAACATGCTTGATTTGTGTCTTTTGACAAAAAAAAAAGGAAAAGAAATCATCCTGCTGACTTTTGACAGTCAAAATGCATTAATCATTGTGAATATTTTTACTCATGTCATAAAGACACATTGCTGTTTTTTCCAGTCTGTTTCATAACAAATCTAAAAGCCCTTATAGGAGCTTTAAATTGGAAAATCCAATCACCGTCCTCCTACCCTGGATAATTGTCCTCTTTTTGATTCTCTCGTGCATGATTATCTTGTTTTCCCTCTTTTCCTGCTTTCTGCCTTTTTCCCACCCACTTCATATCCCCTAGAGAAGCTGGCAACAGAGTCCCAGATCCCACACCAGCCCCTGCTAGCTGGGAATCTGCTGCCCTTTGGTTTAAATAGCATAACCCTCCATGTCCCATATTCCATACACAAACAGGAAGTGGAGACCTTATTGCTGGGGGAGGATGTTGTGAAAGTGTTTATTTTTCAACAAGTTTGCACATACTTTCTGTTTCATTCAGCATCAGCTCTGACATACAAAAATGAGGTAGTTAGCTGGGTTAAAAATGGAGTTAGAGTTTGTGTTTGACAGTTTCTGTCTCATGTTGTCTGATCCTGCTTGAAGAAAGAAATACAGAGAGTTTTTATCACATGTTTTCCCCATGTTGAGTGAAATCCTCTGTGGATTTCCTTCATTATCTGCTTGTTGAACTTCATGAGAAAGTGAAGATTTAAATAGTCCCAGTGGATTCTTGCTCTGTCATTTCCTCTGAGTGGGAGTATTTCAGCATAAAATGAGATATTTTTATATGAAATCTGTCCCATTAAGTTATAAGATCACAAAAACATACCATCACTGTCCTGTCGTTCCTCCAAAACCCCTAAAAAATGTGTGAGAAAGACAGATCGCCAAGTTTTGTTTTTGGATCTGTGTTGCAAACAATGTGTAACACACAATCTCCCAGTAGTCTCCTCAGATCTGCCAAATCTTTTGGAACATTTTTCAACCCATACTTTTGTTTTGTGCTTTTGTATGAAACAATAAACACTGTCTCTGCTGGCACAAGCTTTGTTGTCATTGTAGAGAAACATAACAGTCCTGAGATCCAGAAGAAGTGGAGGCAATGAACTGGGGTTACCGCGTCCAATAAATGCTGCAGAGGCACAGACGGGTATTTTTGTACAGAGCCTCGCAGTCCTGATGCAGCTGAAGCCATTTTTTTTCTGTCTAAACGACTAACAGTGATGGTCCAAATACAAACACAGCCTGCTTTAATTCAGTGGTTTACATAATCAGTGTCACAGAGAAACTTTATTGAAAGGCATCTGTAGTGGAGCTGTGAACTGTTTCTCACAATCAGCCAATCAGAGGCGTGATAGTTAAATAGCTGGGGGTGTATATCTTGACCAAGAGGTGATGGTGGAGGAATATGTTTTTTCCAGTTGCTGTGCAAACATTATGACTTCCGGTTCACCAGGTTTCAAGGTTGGATTGTTGTTGTTTATGTAATAAAAGCACACTGGTGGGGACCATAGAAACATAAGACACACAACTATTGTGATTGTGTTAATAATAAAAGTAATCCAACTTTTACCTATTCATATCTATGTTTGAGCAAAAGACCTCTTCTTAACTAAGATCACTGACTTATCAGCAGAGTGTGCTGCTTAGTGCTTTGTTATGTTTGCATAATAACCAAATTAAGATCTCTGATTAATCTTAAGGTTTAGCATTTACATCAATTTAAAAAGATGGAATAATAAGGGAAATTCATTCATTTTGTTTCGTGCACTTAAACATCACAGAATTTCATTCCTCTATTTCTTATTTTGATTAAAGCTCCTGTTAGAAATTTTCTGTTTGTGTTGAGTTTGGCGCCCCCAGTGGAAAAGTGGAAACCCTTTATATTGTTCCTGATTTCAACTTGACTTTGTGGAAGTGGCTTTCGCTGACCAAAAATCCCCTCTTGTTGTCTTTTTATCACTCACTGTGGACAATTGCAGTTGCAGGCATTGTGTGTAACAACACATGACTCACAACCTTGAGTAGAATCATTTCTGAAGTACAGCAAACAGATCTCTCTCATCAACAGGAGCTCAGCACAAAGTTGGTCCTTCTTCTCTGGGAAAATCAAACATGCAGTTCAGCTTTTACTAGCTCGGACAGATTCTGTGGACTGTCCAACATCAGCAGCTGCCATTTTGGCTGACATAAGCTCGCATATTTGTCTGTTTCCCTGACTTGTAAAATAACAACCTCACTGCAAATAAAAGCACTCGCTTGCTCACTCCATATCTAAATGTTATTAAAAACACGCCTCATGTGAACTTCAGATTGGATTATTACTTGTGCAGCAGAGAGCAGATAAATGTGGGCAGACCTCTATCACTTTATCACAGATTCACTTGGCTGCTGTGAGACAAACTAATGTCCCCTTACATTTTTAATATACCAATAACAATAACAAAAGACACTGATGTGCCTGATACATGAATCAGTAGCATCTTGTGTCATTGGATTTCCAACAGACATAAAGCCTTTTTGCCCTCCTTTCAGTCCTTGTTGGCGCGACAGTTGTGGTGACAATGTCTGACAAGTGTTAGGAAAAACATCCAAAGGGATAACTGGTGCTATCACAAGTGGATAAGGTATCAAACATATTATTGGTGACTCTTTCTGTAAATTTGCCTCTTTCACTCAGTTCATAGTGCCATCCATATCCATTATAATGTTTGGGCTGGAGAGCACGGCTGCAAACGTGTCCTTGATTAGCTTTAATGTATTCGTGAAGAGAGCTATTTATTGGACAAAGAAACGTCACAAATGCATCCCGTGCCTCCCTCGCTCAGTGTGTGGGTGAAAAAGCTTCAAAGTTTCCTAGGACCTCCAAATGGATGTTTGGCTGTACCACAGAGGACACCGCGAACACAAGCTAAGTGCTTTAGCAGCGGGTGATGCTAACGCGGTCGGACAGGCTCAGTGTGGCGTGAAGCAGAAGAGTGCTGTGCGAGGTGACTTATGGGACAATGGGGCCGCTTTTCGCAAATAAAACATGAGGCTTACCCAGAGCCTCTGAGCTATACAGTCTCGGTTTCTGTCAGGTGTTGGATGGTAGAAAGAGAGGGTGGTAAATCTGATTTAATTCTCTTGAACTGTTTGGATTAGCTGGTTGACACAATGGCGGCTAATGCAGTAAAATGTGGCGTCTATTGGTAATAAAGACTCCTACTTACATCGTAACATTCGATGAAACACTCCAGTTTCTACTTAAGAAGCTTTTATGAGTGTAAAAATATATTTTTCCATATTGTTTGTCAAAATATTGTACTGTAGAATGATATGGATGGATACATCAGTTTATGCTCCTGATTGAAGCTGAGAGACTTTGGATTGAGTGAGTCGTCATGTTTTCATGACTGCATGGAGCTGAATGATCATATTTGTTTTGTGGGTCATTGTAAACACTTTTACTTGTTTGTATGATTTAATTTTGTGGGGAACTGGGCAGTTGAATCAGTTTTAAACTATTTTTAGTGACTGAATTCATAAAGGCATAAAAACTAAAATAGACATGGACACTTTGAATTGAAGCATTCAACAACTGGATAGGAAGTTACTGTAATAGAGTGAGAGATATCAACCTGAAAAAAAAATCATATAGTGCTTCATGTAAAGAAAGATTTTTCCCCTCCATGCCTCACACTTATAATAATACACAGGCCTCTGTTTGTGCACACACACACATGCACGAACAGTAACCTGTGGAAGTAACCAAAGTTGGTTCAATGCTTTGCTCAAGAGCACCTTAACATTGCACAGAAAATGAACTAACTCCTCTCCAGCAGCCAGCAAAATTTCCAAACTTGCTCCATAACAGGACTTGAACTAGGGGCCTCATGGTTTCCAAGCCAAGTCCTTAAAATTCTGAGTCACTGCCTCCAAATTACAAACAGCACGATCCATCCATTATCGATATTGTTTATCCTGTTGGGGGGTCCTCAGAGGGGGCTAGAGCCTAACCCAGATGTCATGAAGTAAAAGGTGGGGTGCAGCTTATTTATGGGGCTAACATACAGACAGACCGCTAGACACTCTCACTTACTCCTATGAGCAGTTTAGGAGGACACGTTAACCTAACTAACAAGGTTATGCAGCTTAGTAAGGCCTCAGAGGGGATTCAGACAAGGCACATTAGACAGACAAGGTAGTTACGCTCCAGTTTGCTCGGTAGTTCACTGAAGTTTAGAAGAAAGTTATTGTCGGGTTCAGATTGTGGACATAAGCCACCTACAACAACGGGTCACATGTAGCTTTGAGGGAGCAAAGGCTAAAATGTTCAGTACCATTGAGGCAGTGTTCAACTCTACCTAACAGTAGTGTTTGCTTTAAAACAGAGACTGCAAAACAGTGTTTTTATTGTACTTTTATGGACTTGACAGGATCCTGAACTGTCACAATCTATTGTACCTTAAGAGTATCTCGAAACTGGCAACAGCAGTGTTCGAGACGTGTGGGACGAGCTGTGATGTAAAAGCATCAGACAGAAATCATCCTGCAGGTCCTAAATAAAAAGAAAAAAGCTATTCTCCAGTTTCTTCAATTAATGACAAGAAGCAGCAGCAGCAGCAGCAGCCACTTGAGCCCTTTAATGTTGTGAGGCACTCCATTTGGACTAAAAACAAAAAAAAAAAATCATCTCCTGATAATTTCAACTTTAAAAGTCCCGGCCCTCAATTATGTAAAGCTTCCACGCCAGCGCTTAGGAAGAAGAGGTCTTTGAGTTTAGCTCCAAACAAGACGTTTAAACCCAGACGAAGGGACGTATAAATAAGAAATATTTGTTCTGAGCGTACTCACTGCTATCTTTGGTGGAGAAGAAGGCTGTGACATCTATGGACATAAAAGCTTTAGAGCTTCAGTGACTCATTGCTGCCGTTTAACCCTTCCTGCGCTGTCATCCATTTGTTTCAAGACTGGTTATTTGAGATATATTTCAGTATTTTCTGACAAGTTTGTAAGAAAAGTGTTGGAATAATGAAGGCATCGGCAAAATTTTGATGTAAATTTTAGGATGAACGATGATATTTAAAGTCTTTTATTCCATCTGTTAAGATAATTTTCAACTCTTATCTATCGCTACAAATCTGATAGTGATTTTTCTTTGTGCGTATCCTGTTAGTTGACTGTAGGGAGAGTGAGGTTTGATATAATAGTCCTGTGGGTGAGGTACATGAGGACATCCTGTGCATGAGGCTCTTTCAGAACAGACTGCATGTACAGTATGTGCTGAATGAATTATGAATACTCAGCAGTACAGTCAATGTTTAAGGCAGGAACTACGATAACAAATAGAGCGTATAAATGCTGTTACTTGACATTCCCATAACAAAAGTATAGTTCAGTCGCTGACTAAAGACAGTGCAGGGGTACATACCTGCACACATATAACCTGATTTATTCTTATGAGATAAAGAACCAAAATAAGATTAAACATAAACGTGGCCAAAAATAGAAAGAATGGTGTTAAAATATGCCTCACATGCTAACAGAGGAAGTAAAAATGACGTAAAACCTCAGCACCAGCGTTTCATCTCCACCAGTCTTTAGATTCAGGATGTGAAATCACAAGAAGCTCAGTCTGAGGGTCAGTACACCACCTCCTAAAAGAGGCCTTCAGCTTTCTCTGCAACACACAAACAAATAAAATACTAAGGTTTTCATCATTTTATATTTCTGACTTTATTAGACTCAAAATATGTAAATATCAAAATGTGTTTCTGAAAAAAAAAAAAGTCCAAACAAACAAAGAAACAAACAAAATCAGCTGAAATTTTCCACATTTTCCCTGTAGCTGATGATTCCTCAAAATATTGATCAATCTGCTGATATTTCTGCAGATTAATTTATGAGTTTATGAAATTGTTGATATAGTTGATCTATCAGATTAATTAATTAGATCAATTGATTAAATAGTACTGTAATGTGCAGAATTTTAATAACATGATATATATATTTTTTTTTAGTTGGACATATTTGACAGTTTCAGAGATGAGTATTTTTCTGTTCCTGACCCGCTCTCTCTCTTTCTATAGACTGTATATGGCCTCACCCGTGAGTATAAGTACCACTGGGGTTCAGTCAGTCAATACAGAAACACGGTGCGAACACAGCAGAGCCTCACTATTTTTAGATCAAATCTGAAGAAGTACAGAGGGACTATAGGGCCGCCCCCTCCTCGTCCTGCAGGTCTGATTGTGTTCTTATACAAAGTCAGGAAGCCGTCTGGCCCCTCAGAGCTGCCTTGTTGTGAGGAAACACTCTGCTTGCTGGGCTCACGTCCAGGGCCGGGTCCTACTCTCAACTGAGGCCGCTTCCCCACCCACGCCACTGCTACATCACTGTGTACCCACAGGGGAAAAAAAAACAGTTAAAGTCAGTGTAATTATTGATTTGTTGAATAAATGGTCTTAAATTGGTATATCCGGTGTTAGTGGGATGATTAAATGTATGTCTAAATTTTGAGAAAATAGTAAAAGTGCAATATGATGTATTATTTTAAAAATATTAAGCATTAGACCTGGCAAATATAGGTCACTTTTCTTTAAGAGAAAGAAACAGGATTAATTTAAAAACATGGGGACCTTTTACAGCTTTTGTGAATAAACTGGAATTATCAAATGATAAGGAGGAGAGGTGAGCATTATTTTTTTCATGAAAGCCTTACAACCTGATCAAATCCCTTAATTGTTTTCTGTGCTATTTGATTTATATTTGCACAAGGAATGGCTTTTATCACAGAGGTCATTGTCTTAATGTCTGTTTTTATATTGACAGTTGGTACTTTGGTGAAGTTGCACTTATTTTGTTTGGTTTGTATTAAATAATATTGATGCAAAAAATATATCATAAACCAACAAATCAAACTCTGTATTTTCTAAACCATCTCATTGTAAACCTTACACATTCAAGAAGCACTCTTTAGAAACAGTAAGCTTTCATGTAAATAAATTATTAATGTATGTAACATTAAATCATAGTCCAACCTCTTAATCATTGCTCCTGTGTGCACTTTGAGATACAGCACATTCTTGATTTGAAACTAGGATAACAAATGTGGAAAAGGCAGCCATTCAAATGGCTCTTGAATCTTTTGATAGTGAGCTGCTGGAAGGATTTTTAAACCGATATAAAATAGGAATAAATGTAATGTGATGGCTGCTGCTCAATGATCAGACATGGAAGCAGAAGGAGGCCTCATTTTCTTTGGCCTTTAAATTTGTAAATTCAGTGAACATAAAGACTCATAAAAACACACTTAAATGATCTGTTTCTAAATATGTTGATTTTTATTAATTCTAAAGTGAACTTCATTATAGAGATTTGGGAGAAATGGCCATTGGCTGTGCAGGCTCCATAGAAACGGTGATGCAGCGGCGGAGGGGCCGGCCTTCCCTGCAACAGCTGAGGCGGATCTGCAGCCTGATTACGGCTCACAGCGGACTCCAACATAATTGATGACCTAATTGAAAACCAGGAGGAGGAGGAGGAGAAAACGAAAAGGAGGAGGGGGGCTCACTCACGGACAGGAGGAGAGAGAGACGCGCTCCAATGAGAAAAGTTTACTTGTTCTTCCCCCGCACAGTCCCGCAGCTGAGGGCATTGATGTGAGCGCAGAGGCTTCGAGTTTTTTACGCGCACTTCTTTCCCCCCATCTTTCACCCTCACACACGGAGCACAAATCCACCTTCTCACCTTTAGTTTAGCGCGTGTCTGTCATTTCTTCTCTTTCCTTTTCCCCCCTTTTATGAATGATTCTCTCTCGCAATACTGCTTCAAAGATATCCTCGGACACCTCCTCTTCTCCGCCGCCGTCCTCGTCCTCGTCCGCACGACCTCACCTCGGCACATCTCCTGTGGTCAAGTTTAAACGCCACCAGGACTTTCACTGCAGCTTCAGACGCACTTGGGGAAAATATCACTCGACGAGGAAACTCCTGATACTTTCCGAAGCAGCAGCAGCAGGAGCTGAGGCGACCGTCAACATGAGTCTCAAAGCTGACACAGAGCCCAACAACAACGTGTCCATCGAGGAGGAGGTAAGTTTATCTCAAGTTTGAACCCGCAGCAGAAAAAATACAGAGACAGACCGACGAGCTCGTGCTCAGGTAGCCCTGCACAGGAAACCGTATCCGGTCACATATTTGGACACAGCGGGAAATGAGCTAAAATGTTGCCTTCGTTTTCCTTTAAAAAGGATTACCAAAGTTCCCACACCAAAGTAAATTATTAGATAAAGCTTATCCTCGAAACAATTTATATCAAAGAGCGCTGAAGTCTTATTTTCTCAGACTTAAACGCACCACCAGGTGTAAACAATTAGCTAACAAATCAAGTTAACAGATTGGCTAAATCAGTGAAATGTCATTTATTTTTCTTTAAATTTAAAGTATATTGTAGTCTGTAGAGTCTTTAGTTCGGTGTTTTCATGCTGACGGGCTCACGGTGTTTTATCAGCCTTGAACATCTTTGGAGACAATAGCAAAATAATTCAAGATATGACATAAAAATATTCTCTAAATCAGGAAAAAATGCCTCCATCTTAATTTAAAAAAAGATAAAATGTCTCATTAATATAGTGGCTTAAACAGCTAGGATCTTTATATTCCTAATATCAAATAATTTTCCTTTTTTTCATTATATTGATTTTTTTCTGCATACATGAGACTATAGTTTAATTTAGCTTGAGTAACTGTAGACAAACTGAGCAATAAAGGAAAGATAAACCATACTGTAGTTGTAAGAATCTATTATCAATGAAAATAGATAACCGATCCAGTATCTTTATCTATCACTGACTGTAGTCCATAGGCATTTTACCCTGTGATAAAACACCCATTTTGTTTATTTACAACATAAACACATTTCCTGAAGTCATTTTTCTCATAATCTCATAATTTCCCACCATTGTTATGGAGTAGGTGGTCCAGTCTTGCACCATTTGATAACGGTAATATCTTGGCCAAATATTAATCATTACCAATGACACAATCCCTTTAGTTTCCAAAGCACACGACTCTCAATTCTTTCAGTATTGCTTAAACCAAAATGCTTTGAATTGTATTCTGAAGTTTCCCAGAGTGACTGCAGTCTCCAGGATTGCCAACAGATGTGTGTAAGATCTGCCTCTTCATTTCCCACATTACCGTCAATGTTGTTGTTTCAAGTCAGTGTGTTCACTCTTATTTTAGGTGTGATGAAGCAGCAGTTTTCCACTCCATCTGGTTAAATCTGTAGTGGTGTGTTGTGTTTCACACATCTTGAGCCAATCTTCTGTTGTAATCCTGGTTTTTGGTCATTTTTCCTCCTAGTCCGAATGAAAATTATTAGGGAGGCTTTATTTGTATTTTTCAAACTCTGTTTAAATCTGTCATCATAAGTAAAACCAGCTCAACAATCCCACTTCCCTTTTTAATTCAGATTGTTAAATCAAATTAAAGCAGACATTAGGTCCATCTCTAGTGCCTCACCTCCTTCAATATCACTCGTTGGATTATGGACAAGGTTAAATCTATTTGGGAATAAAAATTGAGACCAAACTAATAATTTTTGAATTAACTCAGCCTGATAAACTTCCCTCCTTTTTTTTCCAGCTGTCACTCGCTCTGTCGCTCTGTGTGGCCAGCTGTATTTCCTCTTTAATGACTCCTTATGGAGACACGCTGAGGGGAGCACCAGGCCTTTTGTTGCTCCTCCTTTGTTCCCATTATCTTACTACAAGGACACGTGTGCCCACTTGACTTGTTCTACCCGGATTTGCTTTAGTGTTTTCTTCTTCTTGTTAACGAGAACAAAGATTGAGCAAACAAGTCAGAAATGTTGTTACGAGCCTTTTGAGAGACTCATCGAAGAAAATTGCAGCATCTTCAGCTACCAGTATCCCTGTTTGTTTAGTGTTTTTAAGTATTTGTCTAAAATTAAGACTGTTAGGGTTTTATTAATGAAAACACTGAATGGCTGGACTTCAGTGCAGTTTAAAGGCTACAGACTGAAAATCAAAGAGAAGCCGGTGGACACATTAAAACATCTCCATTGACTCTGTGTCCAGCTGTGCCGGCTTTACATCGCTGTACGCTCTGACTTGTGGAGGGCTGAGAAATGCTGCTGTGCGGCACCTGAAAAATGCCGGAGGGCTGGCGGGGCCAGGGCTGCGGGTCAGAGGAAGGAAATGGTGTCACGCTGTGCTCTGTTGTCCGCTGCTGTTCCTCTGGCAGCCCCATTGTACTGAGGGCCTCCCCACCGGCTGGGAACTAATGGGGCCTCGTACTGCACGCTTGTTTCTACAACCACAGAGGATAGAACGCAGCCTCAGCTTTCAATATCTGATCAAGAAAAGACCAGGAGGTCCTTAAAGGGGGTCCCAGGGGGGCTCCCAGTAGGGTTTACTTTTATGGTTTGACATGTAACATGTTGGAGGAAAACAAGGAGGAATGAAATTCAGTGTCTGCTGTTTTTCAGATGAGTTAGTCGTATCAGATCTGGTGGATTTGTGTCCCTCGTCACTTTTATCAAGACTTAATATTTTTATCATAAAGGCTCAAAAGCTCAGTTTAACCTGGGGTCAGAAGGGGTCATATGATAAATCTGAGATCAAGTTAAAAAAAAACTTAAATGCAAAATTAAGCCTCTTTGTAAATTGATAACTGTATATTTGCCATTCTCAGGCCTCAGTGACTCAGCCCTACAGAAACCTTTGTTGACAGTACATTATTGCTCAGTAAATGCGGTAAACTTATAGTAAAGAGAAGAGTGATAAACCTGACCAACTGATCTTTATATATATATATATCTTTTTAACCTTTCCCAAATAAATTTAAAAAGCTTTTCTGATTGTTCCCTTTTTTACTTATTGGTACCTGATAAAAATAAGTGTGTGTGGCCTATGCAGTCAAGTTCATCTGTAAATATTCAGGCACATTTCTGATCCTACAAGATGCTGAATTTAAAAAAAAGCTTATTAAATTGATAAAATGTCATTTTTTTCCTTTGCAGGTACGAACACTGTTTGTCAGCGGTCTACCAGTTGACATCAAACCCCGGGAACTCTACCTCCTCTTCAGACCTTTCAAGGTAGGCTACAAAATAATAAATATGAAAGCCTCAAGGGGAATATTTTCATAAATTGTAACAGACTTGACTTTCCACATTCTTGCACAAATCAACCTCCTGATAGTCAGGAATATGAAAAGATCAATAGAAAGTGTTTCTAAAAGGCTAATCTGCTCGCAGAGAAAAATTGTTAGAAAACAGGTGCTGAAGGAGTGACTGTGATCCTTTCGGGAGTATTATTCCCTCCAGCAGCATTTGATGCTCCAGCTCACACAGTAGAAAGTTTATGTGCTCCTCTTTTGTACATATTTTCGAACAATCCCTCCGTTAATGGAGCTCCGGATATTTGCATTTATGGAAATGAGGCCACATCATTGTTCGCCCATCGCCCTGAGCTTCTGACCGGACTCCACCTCCATAAACACCCCTCCCACCCGTGTCCTAACTAACCAAATTGGAAGTGGTATCCCTCGCACATGGATGACCCTGTGGAATGTGTAAATGAGTAGCTCTCGCTATTGGCCAACCAACCCTCTCCGTGACCCAGCTCGCTCACTGTGTGGAGGCATTACAGTTTCGCATCGTAGCATTCAGAGATTGTGAAACCACTTGAGTGTTTTGTTTTCTTAAGTCATTGTACCAGGTTTGCCTTTTTCACCTTTTTTTTCTACAGCAGGCAAACAGAGAGAGCAGAGTGTGTGGAAATCACTTTAAATCTCTTCAGGTGTGACGCAACTAAAACAAAAAAAGCTTTTTTCTTTGACAAACCTCTGATATTGACTGTATTCTTCCTCACTTTCTCCACTGGATAAGCAATCTGGTTGGAGCTTGTTGCAAAGGATTTATCACAGCTTGTTTAATTTTCCATGACTGTAAATCAGGATCAGGAGAAATCTCATTTGTCAGACACTTGTCAGGAAAATTTCCCCTGTTTCTTTGGAGTTCAAACCTCACCAAACCTTTTTCTTTGACGTAGTGTGTTTGGTAAAAACCCTGGAAATCTTAAACCACAGGAAAATAAAGCCATCGTGTACCTTTCCCTAAACCAAATCTGGACCTCTATGTTTTATTTTGACCGGTATGGATCACATTTTCACAACGCTATAAAAGCTGCAATAATTGAAATAAGTACGTATATTATTTTACCATAATAACCTAGAGAGACACTTGAACAGACTGACTCCTGGTGTCTCGCTGTCAAGCTCAGAGTGAAGGTGCACACAGGCAGGTCCCTCTTGATAAAGCAAGAAAAGTTCATGCCTGACTTCCTGCATGTGACTGCTGCAGGGTGGATAATTGGCTATCTCTCTTCCCCACAGGGTTATGAAGGGTCACTGATTAAGTTAACATCAAAACAGGTGAGATGCCGCCCATCAGGGGAAGAAACTGCTTTACTACACACTTGAATACCCAAGAAATAAATAGCTGTGCAGCTCTATTTCTGTTGTCAGTTTGCTTGACAATAATAAATTCGTCACTTTTCTTACTGCTTGGATTTTTTTATTAGCGGCATGAATAAAGCAATAATTTTTTGTGACATTTTGAATGAATATTTGAACAAAAATCACTTTATAAGTTGTTCAGTTCCAAGAATTTCAGTAGCCACAGTATGCTTAAAATACATTAATACATAAGTTGACTAAAAAATGCTTCTTGAGCTTGAGGATGCTCCTGTTCTGTGTTGGTTTTTAAGCTTCTTTCTTCCCTTTTGCCTTCTAGCCAGTCGGGTTTGTAACCTTCGACAGTCGCTCTGGAGCTGAAGCTGCGAAAAATTCACTAAATGTAAGCATTCACTCGTTGTTTTTATTGATTTATTCCATTTTTTCTGTTCAATTTTCCCTCTTGTTTAAACAAATCCTCAATGTCGCTTTGTATTTCTTTAGATTTGTTCTAACTTTTGCTTAAACCTGAAGAGAAAAACTGATCTGGGGAAAAACTCGTCTTTCCCGTAAACCTTCTCAAAGCCAACCCATTTTGTCTTTTTATAATTCAATGGCAGGGCCATTTTTGGAAAGAGGCCAGAATCCCGTAGCCTTACGGTAGTTTACTTTGACCTTGATACACATCCCTTCTTAGTCTGGTATAGCTTTCCTTATTTTGCATATCACTGCTTTACTGTAATACCTGTTCCATAGCCACATGTGTAGTGTTATTTGGACACATCTTCAGTAGTGTAACCTCTTATTTTGGCACCAAGTAGCCCACATTGGCAGAATCTAACACTTCTCTCTCATAGCCTCTAGCTTTCCTTATGAGCATCACCTCCTAGACACACCAGCAGTCACACACACAGACACACACACACACCAAAATACTACTCACCTGCATGTGGGCACAACGCTTAGGGCACAAGAACACACGCAGGGTTAAACCACCTAAAAGGATTTACACTCAAAGTCCCGCCGTCGGCCCCTTTTCCTCGTCTCCCTCTCCTCGTGCCTCGTGTGACGGGTGAACTCCTCCCCCTTGTTGCTTGTGCTCTGCATTTCGTCACGAGGAAAAGGAGACGCAAGCCTGTTGAAATAATTCAGGAGTGTATCCTTCAGTCTTCCCCCTTTTTTATTGGAGAATATTTTGTGAACAATTTTAACATCACACTGGAGGAGAAAAAATAATTTAGCTGAAGGGAAGCTCGAAGGAAACATCTTGAGTATGGAAACAGCTTTAGGAAAGGAGACCATGTGAGACTACTGAGCTACAGCCCCCTCAAACTCAGCCCACTTCCCTTACTATACTATGTCCCCTCCTTCCCCTCCTCCGTCTCTCCCTCAGGGTATCCGTTTTGACCCCGAAAGCCCCCAGACCCTGCGCTTAGAGTTTGCTAAAGCCAACACGAAGATGGCAAAGAGTAAGCTGATGGCCACACCGAACCCCACAAATATCCACCCTGCTCTAGGAGCTCACTTCATTGCACGGGACCCATGTAAGTTGTACGGCTGCACCACTCTAGGCTCTCTCATCCACTCTCACCTTGGCAACGCCAGTACTCAAATACCCTTCTGACCCTTTTTTAAAAAATGTGTCTGAAGATGTTGAGGCATTGAAGACAAAAATGGGAAGGGGTTAAATCAGAAGCTAACAAATGAAGGACTAACTCACCTCCACATGCATGTGCCATCTCAACTCTTCAGAAAGCCGCTTTGCTTCTGTCCAGCTGGGAAACAAGTGCTCTCACAGGGTTAGGTCAGCAGTTGTGTCTCTGCTCTTTTTGCATGAACACCTGCTGAACTCTTTAGATTTGGACAGGCAAGGGTTGATAACGGTATGAAGCTGCACTCAGACCAGATTTCATAAAAATTAAACTGTGTGGTAACTGGTGGGTGTTGTTGTTTGCTGTGGGAGACTGCAGATCGGCAAATTATGAATTATTCCCTGATTACTATTAAATTTAAAGTCATCAAACTCCTCTTTATCTTGTACTTGGGGTTTGTACAAATGAAAGGACAGCGCCACCTAAGGAATTTCCTTGCGATCACATGATTCAAAGTCCAAATTAGATAGTTCATGTGTGAAGCAGGTGAGGCATCATCCAAGTAACTGGCAACATTAGTATAAGTCTTTGATTTTCGATAAAATGCAGTTTCAGGGAGTTTTCCAGTCATTTTACAAATCTATAATTTAACCAATGAGCCCCCAAGATCTTAAAGCTATGGTGCTGGCAGGGATTGTAATATAAGCCAAATTGTAAGCAATCACTATGTCTTAAGAAGTTTTTTTTGTCCAGTACTGAAGTTTAGGTACCTGATGAAAAATAGTTTTCCCTCTTGTATACATTTCAGTTTCAAGTACTCCCTCAATGATTCCTCATTTTAATCCATAATAAATGTTATCCCAGGACACTTTACGAAGTGCAAACGTAGATCATACTTGTTTTTCTCCTCTATACCCATGCTACATTGTTTAGTCTCTTACTAAAGGAAAGCAGTCACAAATTTCTCCTGGTTGCGTTTTTCTGCCAGTGACACCAAACAGCAGAGTAGAGGAAAATCCCCTGAATTACTCAATTTTGTCAACTTAAGCAGCGTATCATAGGGCTGGTAGGTACTAGTTCACCAGCCACTCATTATATGGTGCTCTGTGTTGTAGAAAAACCCAATTTTATAGTGCTGTTTGAATCACGAGTGAAATTATTAAAGCCCATAAGGTGCACTCAGAAATTTTTAGAAAGCTTTATTGATGTAAAATAAAGGCTTTTTAAAAAAATATCGAGGAGTAACAGTTTTTTTCCTCACAACGCCAGATAGGAGACCTTTGTTTGTATGCACGAGAAAGGGTTTTGTGCAAAATTTGGGATTTAAATTTTGTACTAAAACATATTTGTCTAGGGCTGCATATTGACATGTAAGACAGCAGTGGGATCATCATTCAGTGTCCAATGGGATAACAGTAATTTAGGGTATTCATAAGACTCATTATTGACTTACTTCATGAATTTAAATGAAACAAAAAGAAACTATTGAGATGTTGGTTTCACTTTGATGAAAAGGATTATATCCTTGGATCACTGCTAAAAAGACTTTTAATAAAATGTTGCACAATGTCTGAAGAACTTCAGTATCAGTGAGTACCACTTCAGTTACTTCCATCTGGCAAGAAAAATGCAAAACAATGATTGATGTCCTATTTGCTAGGAAAGGATTTCAACCCCTTCACAGTCGAGGGTTCTCAAAAAGTACGGGTACCCCTGAGGAAGGGGAGGGTCAGGTTGGGATGAGGTCAGAGATATCTCATAGCAACTCCAAGCAAATGTATCTGGAAGTGTTTCACATAAAAAATGAGTTTGACATCTGGTCTGACTGCACCTTTTATAAGATTAAAGTTTTTCAGGCTCCACTTATGATCTTTATTTACTTTAAATTTATAACTAGAATGAAATCCATATCTGACATATATCAAAACATTATGACAGCGCAAACCGTGACAAATATCTTGGTTTCATGACACATTTGATTGTTATTGAAAATTTCAGCCTTATTAACTTTGTGCTTGAAAGACAAATCTGTTAAGGGCTGGGTCAGTCAGCTTTGTGTTTCCCGTCCTCCTCTTCTCCAGATGATCTGACGGGGGCAGCACTGATTCCAGCATCTCCAGATGCCTGGACTCCGTACCCCCTGTACACCACAGAGCTGACCCCGGGCCTCCCTCACGCAGCCTTCACTTACCCGGCGGCCGCTGCCGCTGCTGCAGCCCTCCACGCCCAGGTGAGGGACCAACCGGTGTGTGTCTCTCTTATCTTCTTTTCTCTTCATAGCACACTTTTCTCCTGCACAAACTCTGCTCTGACAGGACAGGGACATCGTACAGATACAAAAGTGACTTGAATGTATCTTTTGATTTTGATGCACAGCTGCTATTGAATGCAGCATTTTGAAGAGTTTCATGTGCAGGTGATTTTAGTCTTTCACCACAGCCAAACTAAACTGTATTAACAGTGACTAACTTAAAGACTAGATATAAATCACTACTAAAAGGAGATCCAAGTGTTTGATACAATCCTATTGGTTCTCAAAGGTAGGACAGTAACAGGCCACGTGGAGAAAACATAGTCGTCAAGTTTGAAGTTGTTGGCTGCACAACTTGTTCCCAGTTTTAATATTCAGAAACGGGGAGCTGAGTGAAATTTACAAATCATGAGTTATTTTGTAATAAAATTTGTCGCTTTAGAGTGGAAAATATCTCTGAGGAAGTGATGTGTGCATTCTTTGATGTAGTGTAACATTACAAAAGCATGCACTTAGCTTTAATCCCTCTTTGTGGCTGTCATCTGGCTGTTTTTGGCTCACAGCGTCCTTTAATGGATGATTCTCAGACATGGAGGTATAAATTTATCCTTTAATGGAGCTCCATGCATCACTGTCTCGTCAGTTTGCTGGCAGAAAAAAAATGTCTTGCTGATAAAATGAGCAATGAGTGTGCAGGACAAAAACAACTCCAGAGTGCAGACACAGGCTAAATGCAAACCAGGCTCTAAGTTGAAGTTTGGACCATAAACTTTCTGGAGCCTCGGAGTATTGACAGTCATTTTCTTTTAATGTTTGAACTTACTCGTTCAGCCTGATATAATTTTAAAGCATGTTTTGATTGATATCATTTGTGAACATTTGAATATAAGCTCCATCATGCCTGCTGAAAATAAATCGGATGGGAGGGGAGCAGCATGAAGTGTTTACATTGTGGGCTAATTGCAGTCTAAACGCTCCAGCTGTAGTGCTGCTGACTACAAGGCAGTGGGCTGGGCTTTTGGTTAACAATAGCAATGGAAAATATTTCTCTCGTTGGGTCATTTAAAGTTCATTGTGATCTAACTTCCTTAAGCAGTGTAAAAGCAGAGGGGAGTGCTGCCCTGAAAAGGAGGCAGCTTATTACATGGGCCATTTTGTCGGGCACAGGAGGCGGAGGAATGTCAGGTATTCGCTCAGAGAAATTCAGTCAGACTTGATGGTCTTCTCTGGAGGTGCCAACTTGCTGTCCACGTCCCTGTTGGAATATAAGCTGCCGTGTAGCCACAGAGAAGAGGGAAAGGCCTTTTTAATTGTAATCTGGTGAAAGATCCCTAAAGAGCGCAGAGTTCTCTTCCAGCTGACTCTCAGCTTGGCTAGTTTGCAGCAGAAGTCTCAATGGGTGTATTTCAAATCAGCTGTTGATAACCTCCTGAGATTATAGATCTGAGGGGCTACATTGCATTGGATTCAGTTTGTGGTAATGTGAGGCCTTATTCTGCCACAGGTTTTAGTCCCATACAGAAATGTTGCAGGCATACCAGCTGATCACCCTGTGGAAATGTTTAGCACATGGAGAGGTCCAACCTTCACATTTCCATGCTCGCTAATTACTCAAGGACCATTGTCCTCAATGAGCAGCTACATGACCCACATTCCCATGGCTTCAGTGACCACGGCTTAAAGGGACAGTCTTCCGAAACCCGCTGGTCAAAAGTGCATTTCAAAGAGTATTAATGTGTGAAATCTGCAGGATTGAATCTCTGAAGCCTGGCTTTGGTCTGCTGTACATGACTATGTTTGTGTTTCTTTAGATGCGCTGGTACCCTACTCCCTCTGAGACTTCCCAGCCTGGATGGAAGTCCCGGCAGTTTTGTTAGATATTTAGTGAGTAACTTTTGGTTGACCAGTGTTTTTTGTTTTTTTTTTTTAATTTTCATACTTCCACCTGCCACTCTCTAACTACAAACTGAAACCATAATCTTACTTGCACAGTGTTTACATGCTGCAGAGTGTTTAACCAAAAATAATAATAATAAAAAAAAAGAAATTGCTGTAAAGGAATGAGACTTTTTATGTGCTTATGGTAAAAAAAAAACTGTCAAAGATTAAGACCAAAAATGTGCGAGTTTATCAGTCAATACATACTGACTTTGCTGATGTCTTTTGCTCAAAGCCACATGCCCCTTTATCCCTATTTAGGACGTATATATTTCTAACAAGCCATGCAGACATATCAAAAAAAAATCTCTGTTTTCTAAAGCAGCCAGGCACTCAATTCTTACAAATCTTACTATGCTTAAGAATTATTGGACTATTTCAGCAGCAGGTTACGTAGAATTGAATCAAAGTATTCACATTTATAATAAAAAAGGGACTAGTCAGTGAAGTATTGTAGTTCATGTCACATCACTGATTTTACAAAGAAAGGACTCCACACCTTCATTTCCACCCACCGTTGGATCTGAAGTCAAAATGCCTCAGTAGGTGCTGACATATCACTGGTGCGGAAAGATGTGCGTGAAGGTAACCTGGCTGGTAGAGCTGCAGGACTGACATCACACCCTTTCTGCTAACCCAAACACACATTAAACTTACTGATAAAATATTGAAGAGCCCTCAGGTCAGAACAGTCTGCAGCAGATACTTGAGCAGATACTTAAAGCTTTGGAAAGCTCCATCCAGGGTGTCAATACTGACTATGCTTTCCCTGTTGAACAATGCTACAGTAGTCCTAATTTGTCAACACAGCTGTAATCATCTTTAATTAAAACTTCTTAGTAAGAAGAGCATTCAAATGTAAATCAGTACAAAAACTGTGACAGAAACGATGTTTGAGAGATTAATTTGATGTACTTTTATTTTATAGTTTGGCCCATGTTCCATCTGTTACCATGGTGAGGGGACGTGTTTTGTAGCCAGTCAGTTGATGGAGCGCTACATCTTTTTGACATCCATTTTATATTCATTTCAAACAAAATTCATCAATCTACTATCATGGCTTGTTTATTAGAGGACACCAAATATGTTCATCTGCAACTGAAAATAGCCCCAAACATTTGCTCTGTACACTCCTCTTTGACTTTTCCCCTAAAATCGATTATGGGCCACTTTTTTTTGTACTAACCTTGAGCCTTAAAATGTGTTTGAGGCCTCATTTTTGTAAATTATGTCTTGAATTGGAACAAAATGTCTCAGTGGGCAAAGAAACACTGACAAAATGGGACAGAGGAATGTTTAGATAGCTAAAATGTGGGTGTTTTTGGTCTTTTTGAAAGGATTTTGTTGCTCTCATGAAGGTTCAAACTGCTTGTCTGGACTAACCTCTCTTTTCTCCTGCTTTCTTTAGGCCTCTGGAAACCACACCTTTGTCCAGCTGAAGTGAGGTTTGCCAAGCTCTTCATTAATTTAATCAGGTTTATTTAATGGACAAATGTGCATTACTATAAACAAACAGTATTTATATCTCCTCCCGATTGTCCGTGGGGGGAGCCTGAGTTGAAACCATCTTGCTGTCGACAATCTGAGCTTTTCCTTGGCAACTATTGCGGTACCATCTTAGCACTTCAAAATAAAACCTCATGCAAAGCCCAATGTCAAACTCCATGGATCATACTTGCTGAGGAAAAATCTGACGAATTGAAGTAACCGTTGTTAAGCTAGTCCTTCCACGGGTCACCGCTGCTCCTGGGAGGTTTAGAGGCGTTAAGAGTCATTGCATGTTAGTCTTTTTGGCATGAATTTAGAACGCAGAGTTCTGTGTATCCTAATTTTCTTAGTGTTTGTGTTGCCTCGCTCTACCTTGGCCTAGACAGCGACATGTTTTGTTTTCCTGTAGAACCTTGGTCTGACCTCTGTGAAAGCTAGGCTGTTGTGTAAATGGCTTATCTCGCATGGACCTTGTGAATGCATCCCTACGTTCTATGACAACCCCAGTCCTTATGATCATATCAGTGTCTGTCATTATTTGAGCAAAAGAAAGTACAAATATTTTTGTACTTTTTTGCGTAATGTATATTTATGCATTTTTTTGTGCAACTAAATAATGAAACCTGTATAAGTTGGATGGATTAGTCGTCTCTTGTGTTCTTGGTGTTACTTTATGATCCTATAATCCTGTTGACGTAGTTTTAAAGAAGAAAAAAGTGCAATTTGTTTAAAGGGGAAATGGGTATCTGTCAAAAAATGGAAGTATTCAGAAGGTGGCTTGTGCCATTCTGCTAAAATGAGATTGCTGTAAAACAATCTTTCAGAATGTGAAACTAGACTACAAACGAAAAGGGGTTGGTTTTTTTGGGCGGCCATTTTGAAATGGGAAGCAGGATTAGAGTGATGAAGGAATTTAGTTTGTGGTTTAGAACATGTTTGTCTTTGTATCTGCTGTGCATAAGATGTAAAAAAATATTCCCATCTTATGAATAAAAGAAGTGAATGCATCTCTGTTTGGACATCTGTCATTTATCGCTTCAGCCAATCAAAGTTAACAAACACTCCCACACTGTGCTGACTCCAATAAGTGGACTCTGCGGACATCAGATGGTGACATCAATAATTCATGATAACTTTTCATTTGTAATGCACTGTTGCATTAGTGTCTGTTTGCATCATGTGCGGAGCTGACCTCCACTCTCTCACCTCGTGAGTTGCTGAGACGCTCTGCTCAGCCGACCGTGATCCCGCCTCCAGGGACTCTTAAGTGACTCCATACCAGCAGCTGCCTAATTGAAGGGGTGACGGAGCTGGTGGGGGACTGTAAACATTGTCCCATATTGTGCCAATTAAGTTATGGTACAGGAAATTAGAGAAAGCCTTTTCATTACTTACTGAACAATGATTACTGCTCCTGATCAGGCTGAGTAAACATAAGCAAACCAAACCATCAATCACAGAAGATTATTGCTACAGAAACAAAATGAAGTTACCGCTTAATTCAAAAATAAAGAGGGAGAAATAAACAGGAAATAGGAACAATTCACTTGGGCTTTGATTAAGTCTGTTTAAACCATCAAACAACAAAACGTGATGAGAATGGGTGTAATAATTATCCACTGAAAGCAGCTTCTTTGGGTTGAAATGTGTCCGGTTTGTGGATCACTATCAAAATTAAAGGTTTGGGAGAGTAACATAAAAAAAAAACATTAACTGATGGGTTAATTATTCAGAAAAATGGTCTCATTCAGCATTCCTTGCTTCCCAAATGTGTAAACATGCTGCTTTATTAGTTTACATTATTGCACATTGAAGACATCAGAGTAAACTTTGGTTTTAAATATTTGGTGAGGGCAAAAAAACAAAAACAGGACACTATAGAGCTAGAATCCTGACCCTGGAGACACTAATGGACATTTCTTGAAGAGGCAGTCATAAAAATCTGCTAAATGATAATGTTAATAATCATTTAAAACCCTGAAACAGACTTTTATATTTGTCATCGTATCCTTGCCAAGTTTGACAGAGACAACTTTTGAATTGTGAAGGTTAAAACCCAACAAGAAGGGAGGAATAACATAATCCTCTCAGGAAAAGGCCACTCGCCTTTCATGAAACAAAAAAACGGGTCATTTGACAACACTTTGACAGAGAATATTTGGATTGACATGAAATCAATACAAAGTGCAAAGATGGTAAAACTGTGGGTTGGAGGGCAGAAAATTTCCTTTCTCTGTTTCTATTTGGAGACACCAGCTGAAAGGCAGAGACCTCAATAAACTTTATGTATGTATGTGTCTGTAATACTTTATCTTCTTAAAACATGATTTTGATATGATAGTTTAAGACTTCCTGCAGGCTGCGCTGATGTTCAAGATCCAGCATTTTGAAATGACAACTCAACCACTTTCTAACACGAATGTGAGGCGATGAATCAGGTAAATCTGCTGCTAAATAAAAAGTGTGGGTTCAAGTTAACCTATATTTGTTTTTGCTGAGAAAAAATCTTTCAATGAACAATAAAAAATAGCAGTCTCAGATAAGGTTCCAAAGCTCAGGGATACAGGAAGATCAGATTTTTATTATTAAAATGTAAAGCACATTATATAAATTAGAATATGGTAATAGGTCACAGAATAATAAGGAGAAATAGTAAGTCTTTTTTTCCCCCAAAAGATATCTGTGAGGATATCTCAGATATAATATATACACACTTACATGTTACTCTAAACACTGGCTGTGCTTCCTGTTTTCATCCTCACTTAGAACATCACTGCATCTACAGCCCTTCAACACACCTCTTATGTAAACCATGTCAGTTAAAGGTATGGAAATATGCATGGATGAAGTAAAAGACGATACTGCTTCTCTTGCATTTTCTCTCCTATATTTTGCATTACTTGTTATGTATTTATCAGTAATGTGTTTACTTTATCGATTCACATGTTGTATTTTCATATTCTACTCACACTGCTCACATCCTGGAAGTTTGACTTGACAACAGTTAACTTTACACAAACTGTAAGCACTATAAATTAATTTGAATCTGTTCAATCTGATCACCAAATTACAAGAAAACTAGTGCTTTCAAAGCTAAGACTTTAGTGCCCTCCTCTGGCCAAATACCAACATGACCAGCAGGAATGAAGCAACTGAGGAGTGCAGGCAAAGCTCTGCAAATGGTACACAAGAACCAAAATCAGAGGACAAATACACCTGTCCAAATCAATCAATCTACCGTAAAGACAACAGTACTCATTCTTGTGCACAAGCACAGCATGCGACTCCAAAGTTATTTAAGGCACATGTGTTTTAGCAGAGAAAGATGTTAATTCTCTGTTTATGTAGTAACAATGAATTTTCCAATCAGCACTGCTGCTCTGTCTCACTTAAGGGAAACCAGCGATGCTTTAGTAAACTTCACAACTCTCAACCCTCACTCTATATTGTGTTTTTTAATTTGTGTGCTGATATTATATTACTCCCTGTCCTCAATTGATTCCTCTTACAGTGTATAGACTTTATTTACCACGTAGATCAATAACTTTTCATCCTATCCAGCCCAAATTCAGTTAGGTGACAGCTCTTGCCTCTTATGTGATTCTCTGAAGCCCTTTCTTAGTAAATGTCAGATGTACTCGAGGCACAAATGTCAAAACAATAAAATGTTAACACTGTTTAGCACCAGCTTCAAAAGGAGTAAGACAAATAACTCTATTAAAATCTGATACTTCAATTAAGTGATTGAAATATTAAATTTGTCTACATTTAATGTTTTAAAAGGAAACTGTCTCACCTTGGAGCATACTAAATGAAACTTTTGGCCACCAGTGACCCCTTACTGTCATCGTACTGTACTGTAAAAAATGATGGAAAATTAAGTAAAATATATGCTGGATTTAACCCGGTTTCAGAATTTGCCCCTGTATTAATATTATTTTTATTATAAAACCAATATACCTAAATTATACGCTGTCTTTTACATAAAACAGCTCGAGAGGGCCAGGAACCATAGAAAAGACTGGGTGAAGACACACACCAGATCACACCAGGACCAGGAACTGACTCCATGACGACAGAATGAGGACTATATAAGTACATGAGTCCAGTTGTTCTACCAACCGAGCCAAAACAGCACCTCTGTCTCTTGTGTTTTGTACCGCTTTTATGCTTTTAGTATCCAATAAGTATACGTACCATCTCAGAATAGCATGTTTGGTATGATTTATAGTAAGTATTGATGGGTACACCTATTTAATGTTGTAGTTGGGATCATTTTGAACTCGTTCTATAAACTCCCTTACTTTCGTTAATAAAAATGAATGACTTCTCAGAAAGCCATATATTATTATATTATCTCACTCTGTAAAATAGATATTATAGAGTTAAGAGGATACTTTGCACATTAATGTTAAGGGCTAAAATGACAAAGCAATGGATAATTAAAATGCTGTGAAATTGGACTTAACATTAAGTAAGTAAAAGTAGCACTTTGGTCAAAGCTTTTTGTTTTTCTTTAAATGTGCTCCAGGAAAAAACTAACTTGGGTTGCCTTAACTTGAAAGCACTGAGCTTCATTGCACTTCAGAGTGTGCAACTTTGGAAAAGTAGAAATTAACCTAAAGGTGATCAGATCCAGGTCGAATTCAATGTGCATTTCAAGAACAAGGGTGGTATATGGTTACTTTTCACCAATGGAAATTTCTGCCCTGTTCATGAAAACATGATTTTATGAGTATATGTGCATATATACTGAGAATGAATGCAAAAGTACTACAAATAAAGGATTATTATATATCACACGCATGATAATATGCAGAATATTTTACTGCTGAATTAGTAAAGTAACTCTGATCCTATCCTTGGTCATTAAATGTAGTAGGCCTAATTAATTTTTTCATGCATATACTAATTGTCCTTGCAAAGCACACACTCTGATAAACAGTGATAAGGAAGGTGAAGTACCCAGCTGTGCAGGGTCTTGTCTCAGCACATTCACACTGATTGCTGTATCTTTGGGGGCAGTTTGAGTTTCAGTGTTATGCCCAAGACACCAAAAGAAGGAAAAAAAACAGCAGTCTACTGAGATTTGAGATGATTATCCATTGCGCCTTTGGGTCAACTACCACGTTACACTGTTTTATAGTAATGTTTTCTAAATACACAGTTTCTCTTACACTAAAAGGGTATCCCAGTGCAAACTTAACCTCGATGAAAGGGCAATAGAGTAAGTTTTAAAGCAGAAAATGTTTGTTTGTTTTTGTATCATTTCAATGAAGCACTTTTAATGATAATGTAGTCAAGAAAAGCAACATTTAACAATATTATAACATTCATAGTGTTTTCAAAAATCTTTTTCACACATCCTGAAATAAATTTGGGATGCAATATTAGGGTTGCTCCTTTAAAGTGGGTAATTAGGAAGTGTGATAAATATTTAGTTCATCCAGAAACATAAGGAAAATTAACCTAAACATGAAAAAGTGTAAATAATTAAATGTTATGTTGTTGTGTTTTTCAAATACACATTTGTCAATAATCATTAATTGAATATTTTGACGTACATGGGCACGTGAACCTTTATTTTTGTCGCCCACTCTTTGATGTTGAGCACGTGAACAGTCGACGGTCCCCGAGGTCCTCATTTGCCGAGCACACGTTCACTGAGTTAGGACTAATTAGCTGACTAGCATACTTAATAAATATAACCTTTTATCGCAAACAGCGTTGATATTGTGACATTTCTCACCAGCTGATAGTCCACACCATGGCGTTTTCCCTGGTGAGTAAGAGCACAAAGTAAAGTAGTAAATTAACTTATTTTTTGACTTAGCTTTGACCTTTTGTGTGACACGAGACTACCGCCGACGCCTCCTCAGAGTTGAGGACATTAATTCACACCACAAAAAAAAAAAAAAAAATACTCAAACCGTAAAGTAACGGTCAACGGCCTTCAAATTCACTACATGTGCCCTGACCTTGAGCTTCAGTGTTAGCATGGATGCAGGCTGTTTTAATATGGGCCTTTATTGTGGTTTCCTCCTGCAGAGAAATGACCCCCGCAGGCCAGACAGCCCAGACTCCGAGTCTCCGGCCCTGTCCACCTGCAGCAACGCTGACATCTTTCGCAGGATGAACACAATGCTAGGCAACGCTCTGGACTTCACCGGCGTGTGCACCACACCGAACAACACCAAGGGGAAGCCCGACCCGCTGTGTGGTAAAAGTCTACACCTTTCACTCTGCAGCAATTGGACCACTATATGCTACGCATTTACTGTGCTTATGTGTGAACTAGTACTTCCTGCAGGGTCTAGCAATAGTCATCCGAGGAAACCATATTCACATGAGCAAGTACCAGCTTCACTAAGATGGCTGCATTTCAACCCACAAGTTTTTTATAACTCTGGTTTAAAATAGAGCTATTCCTGTGTATGAGTCAGCAAAACGATGATTTAAGTCAATACTGCAGGGAATGCAAGTGCTTTTATTGTAAACTATAAAATACAAAGACTGAAATTCCAGTTAAACGTCAGAAATGTTGAGTATCCAGTGAAAATTTTGCACTGTAGTATGTTATGAGGAAAAGTGCTCCTTATATTTTCATTTTCCAATTCATATAAAGAGCATCTCAATGAAATGCCACCATAGTCTCACCAGCCAAGAGAACAAATCTCACCAATCTGACCAGGTCAACTAAAACTGAAAATGTAAAACTTTGCAAAAGTGTTTTTTATGGTAGAGCTGCTGTTTGGGGTTAGACTAGATTGCCCAGGTGTTTATAATGCGGGTGCATATATACAAGAGCAGGAAACAATGGGAAAAGGCTTCATTGGGCATCTTGAAACTTGAGGTAAAGGCCAACCCATGGCCAAAAGTTAAGTATTAAATTTGTCAAAAGGAGAAAAATAAACAATTTGTCCACATGAGGCTGCTCTAAAATGGTTTTATGGGTCGTCATTGATCACTTAACCCCAGTTGTCAAGTCATGCACCTGATGCAGCCTACTTTAAGGTCAAGCCCAAGCTCAAGTGCTGTTTCAAAAATGTAGGCAGAAGAATCTTAATGCAACTGTATATAAATGTAAGTACTTAAGTTTTCTAAGATCGAGGGTTTCAGAGGACTTCTACATGATCCTCAGTGCTGGCTGTAGCTCAGACTCTGATTCCCCTGCTGTGGTTCAGTGATTTGCATTTTAATTGTAGCTCCACATTTAGACCAGAAACCCATAAAAAACGATCCAGTAAGCAAAGCACCATAGCAGCAGTAAACTTAAGGCAGGGTTGAATATGTGAAAGTAAAAAGTTTATTTTTCCAGCCACCAATGGAGTCTCTGTCACTTTCTCTGCCAGATTTCCTGTCATTTAAAACCTTCTTCACTTTGTCATTAAGATTCTGGTGCCAACAGCTGATTCATGCTGCATTGCTGTTCTGCAGCATTGCAGCACTTCTAAGTGTTTCTCTTTTTTTTTACCCCAAGAGTAGGATTTGCCAAGATTTAAGCTCAGCACAGCTCCTGCACCGTGTCCTTGAGTTGTTAATTTGTTTAAGAAAAGCCCACACTTGGGTCATTTCTGTGGAGATAGCTGGTTGGTATGAAAAGCCTGTTAGTATGAGAGTGTACTCGGATTGTAGAGGAAGTTTAAGGGTACTAATGTTTTCTTGAGGTTGTATTGAAGTGAGGTGCATCTTGATGCAAACTAAGGTAAACTTCTGCTGTGGCCTCTCTGCCCTGACGCCGGGGCTTGTTGTGCTGAATCAGGGCTGTAGCCGGCAGCTGGATGCTTTCCAGGCCTGGAGAGGGAAGGGAGGAGCTGGCTTTGCAAATCTCGTCCTCCAACATCTGATCAGTCAGCTGCTTCTGCTGTGACGGGCTCTGATTGCCTCTTTTTTTCCTCACTGTTTGTAAGCGAAAAGTCACAGGGCTACACAAATAAGTTTGTACTTTAGATACGGGAATCCAGTTATTTTAGCATCCTTGAGTTTTAAAGTTGTTGTTAAATCAAGTCTGCTGAGTCATTCACTCCCATCTCCCATGCTGCCTCCCACCATGCCGCTGTAGCTCTGCCCCTCGCCTCCCCCTCCCTCCCTCTTGCCTCTCTGTCAGCTCGTTCAGGAAACAAGACCAGACAGAGTAAGCAGTAACACGGGCAGCGCTGGCAGCTGTCTTCCCAGCGACTCGGAGACGTGCTGTGTCCACCAGAGAGGGGAGTACTTCTATCAGGACGCCAATAGCTCCGATAGGAATTTTTCATTACACAGTTGTTAGGCAAGGCAGCAGGGAGGTGGGGGAGAGCTGATGTCATTAGCAGGGGTGTGCGAGTGCATCAGCAGCCATGTCACATGCTGCTAGGTGGGTCAGTGATGCAGACGGAGATGCATGGCAGTTTCACCGAGCACAGAGGCAGCAGGTTAGCTTCCCCGTCAGCCAGGGTATGGGGAGATGAGATGATTGGGGAAGTTTTTTTCCTTTTTTTCCTTTTGAACAGAAGCAGCTTTCTCTGACAAAGCGTATTCTGACCTTTTCTAATGTAATGTGGACTAAGACAACAGTTCTTTTTAGCTGTCTAACACTTCTCTCCCCTCTCTCTCAACATCTCCGAACTGGATCTCGAACCGAAAAGAGTCAGAGCTGGCTGCGGTGGGCAGCAGGAAGATGCTCTTCCCCAACTGTGGAGGCATGCCCGGCTCCCAGGAGATGCCGTCGTCCAGGGGCCCGCCGGATGTCACAGACCTGGGCCTGGGCCTACAATCTCTCCGGCTTTCCGGATGGGACAGACCCTGGAGCAGCCAGGAGACGGACACACACACTTCCCCCTCCCAGGTTCAGACCAGTTCACCCTCCAGTAAGTACCAGATCAGTCTACCTACGTGTGTTCAAATACAACAACTAAAACTGACTCAACCTGGTATGTAACACTAGATGATGCCCCTGATTGTGGTGTGTGGTGGTTGTTTTTCCAAAGTTTATTGCGGTCTCTATGACCCCCTTTCATTTGGATTGAGTACAGCAGACATTTTAACATCTGTAAGACTGTGTGCCTTAGTTTGTGTGGCCTAATTCAAATTGAAACAAGTGGTGGTTTTGTCATTAGCAGCTGTCTGTGTGGGAACAAGCTGTAGCGTCACAGGGGAGGATGATGTAGCAGTTTTGCTTTGCAGTATCTCTTGCACTCCAGCAGGCACAAACAATCAAAAGGATGCTGTTTTGTTTTCTTCAAAGCTAGAGGATGTAAGGGTTTAATCTTAACTCAGTATACATTACCTGTTGCTCAAACTAGTGATGTGAGGCTGCTGTTTTTCAGCTGAGCACACTGGTTTCATTAGCAGACAAACAGGCCTACATGGCTGCACATCATCAGTAAACAGATGATTTCAATGCAGATATTCTCCCTGCCCCATAGTTAACTGAAAAGCGTTTCACTCTGCATGTGTACCACCCACTATAACGATGCCCAACTTCTCCATCCATGACCCATTTGTAGTGCGACAGTTTTATCACTGCACACCCAAACACAAGCTGCATTTCTTCATTTAGAGCTTTCTAAACTGGGCCCGCAACAAACTGGGACAGAGCTCTGAACGTGGCCCACGGCTGAATAATCCCCAGTGCCTCATGTTCACAATTACAGGCCGCACAGTTCATATCTGTCACTGCTGCCAGCTGAGTCATTTGGTTATCAAGAGGAAGGAAGATGTTTGTTAATACGTGAGGAATTGCTGCTCACTGGGCTTTGTTTGGGGAAGAGGTCAGATGAATTGGACTCGAGTAATCACTGTAAAGGAAAGCCACTTAGCCTCCATGATAATATTGTTTCGGATTGATTAAAAAGAGACAAGTCTAAAACATCCAATTTGGAACTGAAAATGCTTCAAGCATCGACCCAAGCATTTCGGGTGGCTCTTGGCAGCCAGCTCGCACATCAAGTACCCTCTTCTTGACGCTAATTCTCAAAACTTGAATTAGATCTCAAATCAATATGGGTCTATAGATTCAGAGCAAAAAATGAATTTTCTTAACTTTGCTCTTTTATAAGTTGTCCTTGAGGCTCTTCTTTTTTTTAAATGGATGAGAAAAGTGAAGCTGCATGTACAAAAGTACCGGGGAGTTTAAGTCCCAGGCGTTTAGGGGCCAAAAGGTTACTTCAGTCCATTAAAGTCTGTGTCCTGCACATTGTCTGTGTTTCTGCCAAAGTCTTAAGACTCTTGAAGATCAGGCAAATTAGGTGTTGAGTAAAAAGGGAAAACCTTAGGTGATGTGAAACATTGAAAGCTACAGGCCCGCTACGAAGGCTGTGGATGTTCTGGAAAGTTCTGTTACAGTGTAGAGACCTTCTGGCAGGTACAGGTAGTTTCCCAGGTTTCGTTTTGGCCCTGGTTCCTGCAGTGGAAAATCACGGAGATCTCCAAAAGTCCCTTTTCTCTTGGGAGGGGCTCCTGGTGTTGAATGGTCAGCTTGAGACACAAATTTCCCGAAATTTGAGGGCTGCAGTTTAGCATCCTTTTTGACAGCTGTTACATATGACTTTGTAAATCTATACTGAACGCCTGTTTTTCTTTTCTTTCTTTCAGTTTACCCAAATAATGAAACATATCAGACAAGATGATTGTCTGCTCTTTCTTCGATTGGTCTTAAATTAGTCATCTCAGTTGGATGGTATATGGTTTCATCGTCTTCTTTTTTCTCTCCAGTGCTAGGTATACTCAACAGTCCCTTCAGTAGCGTCCTCGGGAAGCCTCCAGGTTACCTGCCCCCTGAGTCCATGAGCATGACTGCTGATTTCTTGGAGAAGTTCCCCAGCATGGCTCGCATGGCAAACCGTCTGGACTCTAGCTCTTTCTTGGACTCTCGCTCCAGCAGTCCTGAAGACTCGGAGACCAGTGGATTCAGCTCTGGCTCAGACCACCTGTGCGATGTGCTGGTAAGAGGAAGAGTTCTTACTTTGTAACACTGGTATCATTTCTTGGAGTGTTTTGGGCAGAGAACTATTAGTCAAACCACATCACCTAGATGCCCTGTGCACCATAAATAATCCTAGAGTGACTAGGCCTTTATTTGAGAGAGGCTTTAATTTGATACAGGCCTATAATCTTAATTTACCAGCCAAATATGAAGACTGATGGGTAATCCAGGCTGAGAGATAATAGAAATAACAAGTGTCATGAATAAAATCCTGTTTTAATTGAAGGAATATTATTCCCTTGAAGCCTCTGACTCTCTGATCCACTCCTGTTTTGATCAGCTGCTCTCTTTGGTTTCTATTCAAACTAATTCTCTATGTTAAGTTGCACATAATGTATGAAGCCCATTTTATACATGGAGCAATTCAACGTGCTGTACAGGGTAAAAAACACAATTTAAAAACAATGGGACTATTAAAAGAAATGGGACATTAAGCAAAATGTAAGAAGTTAAAGAATTGTCTTAAAGTATCAGATCAAGAAAGAGAGATGTCTCCTTCCATGCCACTATTTTATCTTTACAAAACCTGCCATGATTAATTACAGTATTAGAGGTTTTTACAGGACATAATGTTTTGCTTTGCTAACAATAGCATGGACAATAAAGCAACTCTGTGGACATAACTCCTTGCAATAATAGGCGTATAATGTGAAATGTCTGCAGGGATTTCAGTCTTAACGGACAGTAACTTTTAATAAAACTGGCAAGGTATGAATGAGATTTCTATGACGTTCATAGAATAGATGGTGGTGTAGAATACACAGGATGTTTTAACTTGAGTTTTCATGGATCAAATGAGGTCAGAGCAAAGCTAGACTTGGAGTCTGTAGGCTGGGTTTATATGATGCTACAGCAGCAACATAAGTAGCGTCAAGTTTTAGCATCGTTTTTAAGAGTTGTGTGCCAATAGTTGACCAGGAGCCTTTGAATTTTGCTGAACGTAAAAGCGAAACTAAAACTAGCCACCTGGAGCAGCTCCTTTCCTTTAGTGGGGAGTAGTTTAGATTAAAGGGCTTTTCATGTACCTCTGAGTTATAGCTGCAGAAATAGACTTTTGCTGAACTCACCTTGTGCTAAATTTTAGTACTGGCTCCACTTCAGTTTAAATATTTAATACCTAGGCCTTTTCAGAAGCTGGTTTTATTGTAATGACTTGAGCATTGTAAGTATATATATTTATATATTTTTTCTTTTTCCAGCTATATGTGTGTTTTTACAACCATCCATAGGTAATGTAAGATTAAATCAAAGAAAATAATATAAGTAATCATCGCAAATAAATGTCCTCTCCAAAATACAGATCTATAGGCATAAATTCTATTCAGAGGCAGGATGACAACATTTTGATATAGAAAGAAGGAACTCTCATCACTAACACACACTGTCATTACATCAACAAAGGTACCACAGGTTCACATCTTTCAGTAAAGGAGGTCCTCTGAAACCTTAGTGAGAATGTGATCTGCTCGATTTGATACATTTCCCAGACTTTTTGAATCCAGATATTGTATAAGGGAGGTTCTGTTTTTAACCATCTGATGGGTATAGACATACCTTTTTTAAAATGAAACGGGTTTTATATCTCCAGTGAGGTACAATCATCCACTTGTCTCTTCCTTTCAGTCCAACTTGCGGATTTCACCTCCTTTACCCTACTTGACATCAAACATGCAGAAGGATCTCCTGCGCCTTGGCTCTCGTCTAGACCCCCAGGACTCCAGCTCTCCTCTGACCCCGCCATCCAGTGCCAGTCCCGCCTCCTCAGCCATGTCCCGCCGCTGGCGCACTGGTTCTCCATGGCCTGGTGCTGATGTGCTCGACCAGTCAGATGATGTGTTCAGCATTGAGAGGGAGGCCCGCCTGCACAGACAGGCTGCTGGTAAAATCTTAAAATCTCAGTCTTCTCACATTAAATGTCATCTAGATATATATAAATAAAAAGATATGAAAAGTGTTACCTTTGACCCCTTTTCTGGACTCTTTAGCTGTGAATGAGGCCACATTCACCTGGAGTGGTCAGCTGCCTCCTAGGAACAACAAGGACCCTCTTTATTCCTGCAAGGTCTTTCTCGGTGGCGTGCCCTGGGACATCACAGAAGGTAACTGCTGCTGAAGGATTTTTAACATTTTCAGGGACTCTTGAAGGTGTTATTTATTTACAGCGTACCAAGTGGTTTTAATATCCAAAAATGGAGATTCTCTTTTGACATTCAGAAATCACGTTGCCCTTTAGTGAGATTTAGAGGGACATTTACCCAAAACAACTCTGCAGTAATCTTTAACTACAGGACTAGTTTTTAGTTTTGTTTCTTCTGTTTTGAAATCAGAGGCTCTAGATTTTAAAGACTGGGGCAGCATTTATGGTCTTTTGGTGGTCAGAGGGTTTTTCTTTAATTTCTCTGAGGACAAGTTTCCTTCTGTACAAGTCCACAGAAATTAAAACGATAAAAAATGACTACATTAGTTTTTATATTGTGGTTTCTCCCTGGTAGTAAAAAATCCTTGGCACTAGTTTGCTAATCTTCTTTAATTAATTTGGCAAATATCAAACAATATTAAATCTGTTCCCATCAGAAATGTGCCCTGATAAAAATGGAAACATGATGTAAATTTTTTTATTGTTGGATGCTTACAATTAATAACTTTGGCAGCCTCTTTGTTTATGTTGTCTGGTTTCATTTGCTCTGGCTGTTGATTTTATAGTTTAAGGAGATATAAAGGAGAAGTTTTCAAAAGGTTTGGCTTTACGTACTGGGTTTACTGAAGGACCTGTGCAAAAATTCATGTTCTCACTTCCTCTTTCTTGCTTCAGCTGGTCTGATCAACACCTTCAGTGGTTACGGTCCTCTGACCGTGGAATGGCCTGGTAAGGATGGGAAACACCCTCGCTGTCCTCCCAAAGGTAATGTGGCCAAAGGTAATGACAAGCTGGTAGGCTATTTATTTTTTCTTGATGGTTTCAGGGGGCACTGTGGTGGGCACATGGGATGTGGGTGAGTTTCACCGCTCTCTGGAGCCACTTTTGACCCGTGATACCAGGACTTTGTGCGGATTAAAAACATGGTGGTAGTTTCTGTCATCAACGTCTCAATACATGGGATAAATATTTCTTTGGCATTTGGCTCTTTAGCTCGTCTGTCTCTCTGGTATTAAACTCTTTTTAATGCAGGACTGCAGATGTTCTGCTCTGCTTGTTACAAAATTGCTTTGCAGATTTCATTGCTGATCAAATGTAAGTCATTTGTGCTGCAACTAATTATGTAGAGTATCAGTTGTTGAGGATATTTTGACTAGTAATTGAATTATCTGTATGAAAAGCCATTTAAATAACATGATTATCAAGCCTTTTTGCACATGACTCTGCAGATTTCTATGCGAGTGAATGTTCCACTTGAACTGCAGTCTTGTCATTGACCTTTTCCAGTAGCCTCCAGTTGAAGCCTGTGGTTTGGGGGTTCATTTTCCTGTATACCGAAGTGTTGTACTTCATGTTTTCAGGCTATGTTTATCTGGTGTTTGAGAATGAGAAGTCTGTTCGAGCCCTGCTCCACGCCTGCTCCCAGGACCCATTTCACCCAGAGGATAACCGGGAGTACTACTTCAAGATGTCCAGCCGCCGCATGAGATGCAAGGATGTGAGTAAAAAGTGAACATGAAGCTGCCCTCATGCGCTGCCGACTGGTGATTTGCTACATGTACCTCAACTCTACTTTATGAAAGAGAGAAAATGCATGTTTGGATGTTGATTGAGATAGTTTGTTTTCTGATTTTGGAGTTGAAATGTTTCCTGGTTTTAGTTTCAGCTCAAGTTCAACAAGCACTCAGGTTTTACTGTTGCGAAGGCTTTGCAAACAAGCATCTGTTTAATCTAAAACAGTGTAAATCCATAGATCACAGGTTGCAGCCATTTAACAGCCAGCAGTAGATGTATGAAAAGTATTTGTGCCAAACTTGAGTATTGAATTTCTCTCTAGCTGACCCTATTTTAAACATATTTAGAAACGGAGTACAAAAACTGACTTTGGAGATTCCTTATCAATTCACGTCTTGCTTTCACCTTCAGTGCTTAAGCAGAAGATGTTAGTTGCATAATTTTAAAGTGATTCTTGTCCCGCTGCTGCTATAGGTTCAGGTGATCCCTTGGGTGATCTCTGACAGCAACTATGTTCGCTGCCCTGCCCAGCGTTTGGACCCGAGTAAGACGGTCTTTGTTGGTGCCCTGCACGGCATGCTGAATGCTGAGGCGCTGGCCAGCATCATGAACGACCTGTTTGGAGGTGTCATGTATGCTGGCATCGACACGGACAAACACAAATACCCAATAGGTTAGACCGCAAGTGTTGACTCTTCAATGTGACGGTTTGAGACCAAGTTCAACATGAACTGACTTTTGTAACTTTGCTTTGTTCAGGCTCTGGACGAGTCACTTTTAACAATCAGCGCAGTTACCTGAAGGCTGTGTGTGCAGCATTTGTGGAGATCAAAACCCCCAAGTTTACAAAGAAGGTGAGATGATACCCTTCTGTCTTTATCATGTCTGTAATGAATTACTGCCTCTAATGTCTACCTGGAACCCGGGTGATAAAATCAGAGTACAATACAGCGTTTCCTTATCAGATCAGCATGCACTTTGCAATAATGGAAGCTTCTGCTACGGCACCCTCACTTTCTGTGTCTACGAGTGAGTAACTCCGCTGTGAATTTCCTTTCAGGTCCAGATTGATCCCTACCTTGAAGACTCCATGTGTCAAGTTTGCCTTCGCCAACCTGGGCCTTTCTTCTGCAGAGACCAGGTCAGTGGAAACTCAACAAACATCTGTCTCTACCGGTTTCAGTTTCCCTTACTGCTAGAAAGACAAAGAAGTTTAGGCAGGATGAATTGTATGGTGATAAGGCAGTTTGATTTGGATTCATAATAAATACAGAATATGTGATAGAATGCAGTGAAATTGCATCAAATGAAGTTGCATAAGCACACTGGTAAATCATTCTTCTTTTGCATCTATGTAGCTCTAACTCAGTTTGATCAAGTTGGGTTTTGATTGATGATACTGTTATTTTTAACATTAGATTTAAGCTATGGTTGCATACTTGACATAAACGAGTACAGGCAGCTTTGAAATAACTCAAACGTGTATTTAGTAAAACTGCTCCAACAGTCTACTTGATCACTAATTACATTGAGCTTTACTTCTGGATTCAGTGGAAGTTGATCACTAAGTGTTGTACCATCTACAGTACTGCCGTTATTGTTCTAACCAGTGAGATAGCTTATTGATGTACTTACTCACTGTGTGCTGACCCTCAGGCCTGCTTCAAGTACTACTGCCGCTCCTGCTGGCACTGGCAGCACTCCATGGACATCTTAAGCAACCACCGACCCCTCATGCGTAACCAGAAGAACCGGGACTCCAGCTAGAACAGACGGATCTGAGCACCCTGAAGGGCCAGAGGAAGAGTCCCTTTGTACGGGGGCGAGGCTGCCCGCCAAGGAGAGCACGTGTGCCCAGACGCCTTCAGTATGAAGGCTCCTCGGCACTCCACCAGGCACTTGGGATATCACTGTAGGAAATGTTCACTTTTTGCACTTGCTACATTTTTGCTGTTGTTCACAGTGGCACTATGCACAGTGACCTTGTTGGGAGAAACAAGGGGCCCTTCACACTTATGCATTTTTCCCAGACTTATGGCCAGACAGAGAGATGGGAGTCAGCCTAAGGGTAAGAAGTGGATAAAAATGCCATTTCTTTTTTTTTTTTTTTTTTTTTTTGTTTTTTCTTTTTTTTTCTTTTTGTTTTTGTTTACATGTGTTGCATAGTGAAGAGCAATCACGCAAATCTCATTGCCGTTCATTGGCAGATGCCATACAGTGCCTTTAAATTTTTATTTTTTTCCCCTCCTCCCTCCCCGACCCCCAGTTGGCATCCGTTTTTTCCTGTGCAAGCCAACTGGTGTTTCTTACTTTTGGGAGTTGAATGTTGGGCTTCATTTAACCAGTCGCATTTCAGACATTTTTACGCAGTTTTTTACTAATTTGTACACAAACGGTTTTAAGTCATTACATGAAAATTTTGAACAGAATTCTACCAGGTGGCTGTTTATGGGAAAACCCCCTCTTTTTATTTTTATTTCTTCTCATGCATTTTTCTGTGAATGTTTTTTGTTTTTGTTTTTTCTTTTTAATTTTGCCCTCAAAAATTTCAGCTGAATGGGCACAGAAGTATTTCTTTAACTTACTTAATTGGTCCAGTTAAATTCAGTGTATGTAACGGAACTGGATAAACTTCGACTGGCGGTCCATCATTTCACAAGCTACTGATGGAGCCTGTTGAGACCAGAGTGAATGAGCATTTGATTGTACATAGTTTTGATTTTTGCACTTTTTAATTTGCACGTTTGGAGAGGTGGCAGTGGTTTTTAATCACTTTTGTACATCAGCAGGGGGACATGACTATGTTAGAACAGCTGCTTGTTTCCTGTTGAATGTAAGAACTTCCACATAGCTGATTATTATAAATAACGTATCCAGAGCTTGAGTAGACCCCGATTAACTGATTTCATGCTTTCTTAACCCATTTTGCCTTCCTGTTCCAGTTGAACATTGATGCATAATAAGCTGTGTGCCAAAGACAAAGTGTCTTTTCTTTATCCAATAAGTTTGTCATGCTGAGCTTGTTGTCCTTTTAGCCCAGCTGCTTTTTAGAGTTTTGAAAGTCTACCTCATTGTGGTCTGCCAAGTTTGCTACTTACAGTTGTGGAGTATGTTCAGATTGGGCACAATAAAGGTGTTTAAGCATTATTCTCCGTGTCTAGACTCTTTCTCGACATCACTATTGAGTGTTCTGTTGAAGTGTCTGTCTTTTTAAAAGTCCTGTGCTTCTACCAACATGCTGTTCTTGGCTGTGAAAGTGTGTCCTTTTGAGTATTTTTTTAAGTCTTAAGTTGTGCTGTAGGACTTACCAGGATGCCACTTAGAGGATTTATTTAATTTCTTTGAGTTTACTTTATGAATAACAAATACAGGTTACAATTGAACACTAAGCAACTGGATGAATTAACGCAATTTGACAAAAGTTTTTAAACAAAATCTGCATCATCAACTTTAGTCTTTTGTGTTTTGGCTGAAGATGACGGTGTGAACTCAGTCAGGTCACAGTTGGGACTTATTTTCAGAGTTTGATACTCGTAGAACAGTGATATTTTTGCACGTAAGAGCAGGATTTCAGAAAATCTCCAATATTGCTGTTGATTGGAGTTACGGCTCCAGATCCTGGCCTGTGGGGGTTAAGCATCCTGCAAGTGGACAGGTAAAGGAGTTTGGTAAAAAGTGCAGGACTACTAATATTCAGAGTTAATTTCTCAGACAGGACATGGCTGTTTTTAAGTATTAGCCATCTATCTTATATCTGTATATTCAGGTTGAAAAATGCACATAGCTTAATGATTTGCTGCTTTTAAATATTTCCATTTAATCTTAACTATAAGTGATATTGTGATTTCTTCTAAGCTGACCTGTTTAATATTTCATTGCGCTTCTGATCCTGTTTACCAGGGTGTAAAGCCCAACATTTATCAAGTCTGTTACTCAACCAAAGTGAAAGTATGACATCTGGCATACAGAGCTTAAAGAAAAAGTACTTCAAGACTAAAAAGATTGTTCTATTAATCTTTACATTAGCTTAAACAGAGGGAGATGCCGAAAACTTTTTTTTAGGCAGACTCTAAGTCAGAAACTGTAATAAGTTTGTCTTCCTTTATTGGAGAACACTGGACCAGTTAGGTTGAATGATTGCTGTATAGGCAGGTGCATGTATGAAGAAAAAAACAAAAACACCTAGCCTTAAAAAAATTCTGACAAAAGGTTTCTCAACTGTTTTTTATAGTATTAGACGTCCTTTATAACATAAAGTTTACCAAAAGTTTGACCACTAGAAAGGTGTCATTTTCAAGATGGCGTCTATAATGGGTAGGAAGCCTGAGGAGACACCCCAGGTGACACGGGTAAAATTTTGAGGTAACAGATATCACCATGAAACGTCCCAAGTTTAAACTTTTAGTATGTTATTAAGGACACCTGATACTATAATTAAAATTTGTGTGGTCAGGTCTCCTGAGTCATGTGGAGGCTGCCACTCCTAAAGCTAAACCTTAACAAAGCTGTAGACAGCTATTAACATTTCCGTTCCACTCATTAGGGGTCACCAAATGTTGTTCATGTTATTCTATTACATTTGAGCTAACGGTTGGGAATATCACTAATAGTTTTAGTCCAGTTTATGTATTTCTCTCCATTTGGATCATTTTATAAACCTGTGCTTGGTAAAGATCTCACTAAAAGCAGAGACAGGAAACGTCTGGCCTGACCCTCTGAGCCAGAGGAGGACAGCAACCAGACACAGTGTGAGATAGGATTAATATGCTAATCTAATTTCCTTTTATTAATGCCTCATTCAAATTAAATTCTACTAAAGCTGTGCAATTAAATTTGATGAATTCAGCAGCTCCCATGGTTACCTTCTGTAATAAATGGTTCTAATACTTTTTATCAGCTGTACACAAGTATGGCCACAAAAAGCTGAACTTTAACAACCGAACTGCCAGAAAAAAATAAAAAATAAAAGAAATAAAAAGGTTTTTTGCTTATCTGTCAAAAGTCTGATTATATAAATTTAAACCCTGTGAGATTGTCAAACTGTTGAATATTACGTTTTTCATTTTCTCCTTCTTGTTAAAAAATAAGATTGACCGTCACTTCTCAGTTAAACAGGGCACATAAATGATGTTTTAATATTTCACTTTATTGAAAGCATTACTTATGATCCTACAATCCTCTTGGTGTTTTGAAGTTCATCCCAACAGCTGGCTGAGTGACCTGAAGGTTGGACAGGCCTCCGAAATCCTGCAAGAAGAGAAAAAGTATTCATGAGGATCAGGACTAACTTTACAGAGGTTTTCTTTTCTGTCTGGAGAGGTCTGAAAGGTGGATCAGATTAACATCTTGGTCGAAGATCAAGCTGAATCACTAGTGTTTCCTCTGTAAAATACCCAACTTTTGTTTCTGAATTAATCAGTTAACCTAGCTAACACAGGTCAGAACATCTGCAAGTCAACCAAGAATATCAAAAAGGACTGTGAGAACCACAGAAGTCTTAAATAAAAATGTCTGTTGCATTCACTTACAAGCATCTTCAGCATTTCCTTTGTGTCTGGATCTACCTCGATGAGTTCCTGGTCTAGAGCAGAAATCTGGAGAGGGTGGATAAAAAACATTTACATCAATTTGCACCGAGAGTTTTCCAGCATGTAAGACTGATAAAATCCATCTGTCAGGACTGAATTTCAAGTTAAAAATTTGTAGTCTGTCTATCAATTACAGCAAAGTGGCCCCATAAGATCATTTTTAAAAATCTGATGTCCTCCTGCAGACAGCATCCTAAATAATAGTGTACAAAAGCACTGACTACTCTAAAAATGAATAGATTAATGCAAGTTTCCAAACTACTGCAGCAAATCTGCAGCCTGTGAACATAAGTGTATGAACAGACCTCTGGGACGTAGTTGTCCCTCCTCTCTCTCTCCTCCTCCTGCAGCTTGATGGAGATTCCTCTGACTGGACCCCGCTGGATGCGCTTCATCAGGTGTGTCACATACCTGAGAGTCATTAAACAGATGAAAATCAGTGACCACAAACCATACTGTACGCCAAGTCCAACATTTTTCAACATCATAAGCCAAGAGAATCAATCAGCCCGGTAACTTCATTAATTTTATGGTGTGCAACAGTTGGGAGTGAACCACACGTTAAAACAGCTTAATTCAATTAAAAGGATCGCTATAAAATGTCTGCTGAGCGTCAGCGAAATTGACCTACACTGTCTGGACAAAGCACGATGTGGCACTAAAGTCTGGTCCCAAAAAGCAGAGGATCTATCAATCAAGACTCTTTATCAAAAACAGCTCAACTGTAGAAAAACAAGAGGCCAGGCGACCCATCGATTTAGCACAGGTATCAAATCAAAGCAGTTTTTCAATGACAAAAAATCATTCCAGAAATAACTCAAAAGTTTTAAAAGCATACATTTGTCAAACATCTGCAGGACAGGACTTCAGTCAGGTCTCAGAGGAGATTTACTGCCTGCTGACTCACTGCTCAATTTCTCCGCACTCACTTTCACTGGCTTCAGACATTACGGAGACTGGGTGTCTTTATGTTGACATAAACCCTGACGGTGCAAAGCTGCAGCAAAGAGAACATTTCTTATCTTGTTCTGACAGCTGTCTTATGAATAAATACTTGATTCCTGAGCTTTAACTCAGTCAAAACAACTGGTTCTTGGCTCGGAGACGACTGATATCAATACAAGTTTGAAGCTTGTCACGATTTAGCAAAACAAACTACTCACAGGGATGTCCTGCTCAGCCTCTTTGGGCTCTGACTGCTGGAGATCCAGATCAGATTTTTTATTTTGACTACCTGCCAGTATAGAGTCCTGATTCAATGCTGTTTTTTTTGTTGATGTTCTTTTGTTATTTAAAAAATAACATAAGTAAAGAGACAAACTAAAGCATTTCTTCTTTAATTCATTTTGCTCCAAATATCTGCAGTCAAGACAGTGAAGACGTGTTGCATATTTTAGAAAACAGGTTACAAATCCATTTTGTATCAATCGACAGCAAACCAAGCAGTTCTTTACTTCTGCAACAAGTAAACAAATATTGCCAAGCACAATAAATATAACAGAATACTAAAAGAACAAAAGCCTGCTGTGCAACCAATCATAAATCAATATCAAGACACCAACTTACAGTTACCATTTCATCTTTGGGATCTTTATAAAACTAGTTGGTGAAATTTATTTTATGTCCCTTGTTGAGAAAAAGACAAATATCCAATCATGAGATTTGTATTCCTCTGTTTACCCAAGATAGAATGTCAAATGTGAATCCAAAACTACTTGTATAAATCAGAAACACCAAAAACTGTCTTAACCCTTGTACAGCGTTAAGCAGGGGTACATGTTTCTGCAGCATATTATCACTACTCACCCTGCGATTTTGTTGCGAAGAGGCTTGCTGGGGATGATGGCGATGTCCTCACACACTCTCTTGTTGGTGTGGAAGTCATTACCCAGACGGGTGTAGTACTTCTCAATGATGACCCTGGCGGCCTTCTTGACTGTCTTGGTCCTGACTCGCCCCTACAGAGACAATAAACACAAACACATTCAAACCCATTTTGAAAATAACCAAAAGGATATAGTATATAAAATAAATCCAATGTGAAGGTGGTGGACAGCAGAACTGTGGTCAAACTGAAGATAATCCAGACGGAGTATTATCATGTTTTTTAATCATCAAAAAACTGAACACAAATCTAACAATATGAAGCCTTTGAGTTCCCCAGTCAGATATCGATTATTTTTAGGTGAATGAAATTGAAATGAAAAACAATTTTATCACTACATAGGCTATAGAAAATAAGTCACTTTTTAACCTCCTTTGTGTTAGTCTTTATTATTGGTTTGACGACGTTAAAGTCACATTAGATTTGAACATTTTATGTTTGATCAATTTCAAATTGACGATTGAAATGAGATTTATTTTCAGCTGAATAAGTTTATAAAAGAGGCAAAAATGGGCCAGTGTTTATACAAAATAGAGATGAGATTCAGCGACTTGAACCAAAAATCTCACTCTGAACATTTTTCTAAGATATCGTGAAAATTCTGGCTGTTTTTAACCATTAAGAGCTGAAGGTGTCTGAAAACATTGGAGAGTTCTAACAGATTTTTTCACCATCCGGGCCATTAAAGTGCACAAAATACAGAGTCACAGAGTCTCTGTGTGCTTCGAAGTAAGAAGTGTGCTTGAAAGCGGTACACAGACAGACAGACAGAGAGGATTAATGTAGATTCACAGAGCTGGTAAACTCTGCTGTTCTCGGTGTACCCACCATGATGACTTAGACCGGCGGAAGAGAAACAGCAGTGAATCTAACAGGAAGTTTATACTTTAGAGTCTACGCTGACTCACAGCTTCGAGCGACAGCGGCTTCTAGCGGCAGGGGGTATAAACTGCAGGGAAAACTGTTATTTTTTCACTATACAGATATAAAACTGCGGTATTATTTAGAACAACTAGAGCAAATTACATTATGTGAAAATTGATTTAGAAATGTAAAGGCAGGACTAATAATTGATTTTATAACCTGCATGACAACAAATAATCCACAATAGCTGAACTATAATGCAACAACATCTCAAGAAAAACTAGAGCAGAGAAACCAATGAGAACCATAATCTAAGTGTTGAAGGAAGGTATATCTTACATTATTACAGTCAATCAGATAACATTATGATGATCAGGCTAACATAAATAACCATCACTCTGGCATGAGCAGCTTGAAGCACTGAAGTCAGACCAGTTAGCTGGCCGGTAAATCGTGTAAGTTTTGGCACTGTGGGCAGGTGCTAAATTGAGCTGGAAAAAGAAATCAGCACTTTTGTGAATCTTTTCAGCAGATGGGAGCAAAACGTGGTCAAAAATCTCCTGGTAGACGTTGGAGTTGACTTTGAACTTGATGATATGGAACCATAAATCATCCTTTATTTCACAGTGGATGTCAAACACCATGGCTTAGTGGCCTCTCTACTCTTCGTCTAGACTCTTGACTTTTCCACAGAGCAACAGTAGAGTTTTTTCATTTGCTTTAGTCCAGGTAAGAAGCTTTTGACATTGTCTCAGGCTTGGCATTAAGATTGTGAACGTTGTAGTCCTTTTCCTACAGACGCCCCTGTGTAGTGGCTCCAAATGCTTTGACTCCATCCTCAGTCTACTACTTATTAAGTTTTCCCAAGTTCTTCAGCCAACAACCAAGGGCTCAGTCACCCCTGCTGCTTGTGCACCTTTCCCTCCCACACATTTCCCTTCTAGTCAACTTTCTATCAGTACGCTTTGATACAACTCTGTGAGAAGTCAGCCTTTTCCCTGATTACCTTCAGTGGCTTACCCTCCATGTGGTTTACGTAAAGCTCCTGTTAAAAACTTTGAGTTTGTGTGGATTCTGGCACCTCATGTTTACAAATTGGTCTTTATCTTTTGCTCCACCTGCTGGAGTATTGACTTTTGGGAAATATAGGATGTATTTTGAATGCAAATTTTATAAAGTCAGGGCTGTTTTTTTGGCTGCAAGGCTCACACCTACCACCTTGCACTGGTTCAGGGATTAAAGATGAAGACATAAAAGTCTTGATCCATTGATCTTGTTTCCCACTGGGTAATAATAATAATAATAATAATAATGCATCAGATTTCATATAGCGCTTTACATTGGATACATCATTCATTTGCTCACACACTCACACCTTGGTGGTGGTAAATTACCTTAGTAGTCACAGCTGCCCTGAGGCAGACTGACGGAAACGTGGCTGCCAGTTTATCGCCTACGGCCTCTCCGACCACCACCACACAACACTCACAATCATACACCAGTGGACAAACACTGGGAGTAAGGTAGGTTAAGTGTCTTGCCAAAGGACACAATGAACAGACTTGGGATAGGGGTGAACAAACCACCAACCTGCCAGTTATTGGACAACCACTCTACCTCCTGAGCTACTGCCGCCTACATACACAAAACAACCCATAATTTAGTGTTCTCTTGACTTCAAACTTGGTTTATTCACAGTGGAGGTAAAAAAAAAATAATAATAATAATAAAACAATCTATGATTGAGAGTGACATACTGTAGATTGGTTTACTAACCAAAAGCTCACTGAACTCTAATGGAAAATGTTTAGATAATTGCAGTCAATTCTCCTCAATGATGTGATACGTTAACCCTTGAATGACACCACCACTCTTCATATAAAGTTCACTCTTATATAAACAGAAGGATCAAATGGATGATATTAAACACTGGACCCCATATCTTTAAGGTATCAGCCATCAGAAGCAGGTTTCTGCGCAACCCCGTTTATAAACTGCCCTTCAGAAATGATCTTTTTAGTCGAGGAAAAAGGAAACACAGAAAACCAAATGTCAAGAAATGGATTTGAACCAACGGAAAAATTCAATTTCTGCTCATCTGTTCACACAAAAACTACTATTGTCTTTATGACCTGAGGATACAGATGTTCTTTGACTGAGCCGCTATATTTATCGTCTTTGTCTATTTTTCATCGTTTTAACAACGTCACAGTACCTGAAGCGTTCAGTTACAAAATAATCTCACAGCAGACATTCCCACAAGGTGGAGAGATCTTTTATTTTACATAAAAAAGGGTGCAAACTGGAGTTTCCCTTTAGGTGTGGAGGGAATAAAAAGTGATTTATAAGGTTCGTGTGTGAAACATTGTAGTATACGAATCCAAGGAGGAAAAAAAAACATAGGCATCTCCGATAAAAAGGACCTTTACCTTTCTGTAAATTAAAAATAAGAAACCATAAAAACAAGAAATGCGGGTCCTTCATTCTTGAAGCCCTTGACTAACTCATTCAAATACATTTTTGAAGTGACATTCATATTTCAACACAATAATATTTATTTACAGTTTTAAGATTTCTCTTAATCATAACTCTGAAAAAAAAAACATTGCTGAGGAGAGGATAAACTCTTGGAGCTGTACAATTTCCACAGTCTGAGAGGGAGGAGAAAAAAAGAAAATCAAAGAATACATTTTTTTACGGAAACCCAACAGAAAGAACAAAGAGTATAATTGTGAACTCTGTACAATTTACAATTCTCAAATAATCATCACAATATTGCAGTAAATGTCACCCTAAACCTCTCCCTCAAAGAAAAATATACAGTAAATCCAAGACGATTCTACAGTACAGCAACAAGGAAAAAGTGCCAGAGAACCCAAAGAGACCGAAGCCGTTCGTTCACACTCCAACTGTCCTTTAGCTTTGATTTACACAGCAACGAGAGCTACGCACAACCAAAGCCATAAACACAAGTCTGACTGACATGAAGAGTATATCAGGAATAATGGAAATGGAAATGGTACGCTCTGAGAAAGACATGAAAAAGTTAGTATTTTACATGAGGACTGGAAGCCATAACGTCTCACTGACCCCGCAGGTATACGAGCCCTACAGGTGAGACAGTTCACTGGAGAGATCGCTCACTGTCGTCTCCAGATAAGCCATGCAGATAGGAACCATACAGACTGTTCCTTTAATGCTCTGTATGAGGCTTGGAGAGTAAAAGTAAACACATTAGATTAATATACCTATATCTACGGTTTCAGCCATGAGCTAAAGAGCGAGGCGAGTTTGAGGGAGAAGCAGATGCTGCAAAGACGACCAGTCACAAGTTCAACTCTGAAATAATATACCATGTTGTTTTTAATCCTAATTTACAACACAAAAAGTTGAAAAACCGACAGAGGAGACTCATTAAACACTTTTTCTTTCGCTTTAACCTCTCCGTTAACACTTTCTGGTACTGGATCGAGCCGCGTTGCTCTCTGCAGGTTTTCAAAATGACAGTGGACATATCAAGGACACAAGGTGGAATATGCGATGGTCAAAAACATTCAACTTCATTAAATCCTGGCACAGGTAAAAGGCATGGGCTAGTAGTAGTCTCAGGAATGGCACTCAGGGAATTCAGGGGGGAGCTTTCAAGGCTAAAAAGTCTGGATATCCATCTCACTACACAGAATACTTTCATACTTAGGTAGCTGGAATCAACAGTCAGGGCGCTGTTGAGGCTATGTGGGGAGATTTACAGGCAGCAGATGTCAGAGTTTATGTTTGGAGTCAAGAGTTGAAGTATTTGAGGAAACGGATTGAAGAATATGGATGCTTCATCGAGACAAAAGAGTGATTTTAACCTCGAACTAGCTTAACATCTAACTGCTCCTTTCCCTGGTAGAAACCTTCACAGCCCTCATCCGGCACCTGACTCCGAAGGTGAGTCAAACAGACGTCACCTGTCCAACACACTCAGGAGGCACTAAGACTTCTCGTTTTTATGAATACCTGTCATTCAAATAGCCTGTTTTTCCCACCATCCCCTTCAGATCCTATATGTGGAATCACTATGATAATGAGCAAGAAAATAAAGCTAAAACAAACAGAACAGGTCCCGTAGATTTTTCATATTCAAGTACTTTTAATAACACAATAACTTAGACCCCGGAGTAACTGACACGTCAGGGGGGTAAGAAGGAACCCAAAGCTATACAGTGTAAATACACGCAACGAGCAGGTTTACATACTGATTCATTGAGTTTGCAACATCTACAACATTTCTAAAGATGATGGTGCAAGTTCATCAAACACTGAATCAAACGCTCCTCTGAGAGTGGATTCATGTAGGACTTGCATGTGTGAGTGTGTGCATGCATGTGTGTGTGTGTGTGTGTCTGTGTGTGCAGAGAAAAAGGAGAAAGGATCATGGCACAAATAAAAAGTGGGAGTGGGAGTGGACTGGGACAAAGATGGATCCAAAGAGTATTCCCTGCACCCTATAGGGAAGGCCTAGCACACGAGGCGGCTACAATTAAAGTAATAAGCACGTTTAAAGTACAGTATTAAGAAGGCGGGGTCTCTTAAGGGAAAGCCTGGGTCAACAAATGTAGTGCAGTCATGGTCTCAAGCTTTTTTTGTTACCCTCTCTTTCCCCATAAAACCATGGCTATTTGGAATGGAAAGAAAAAAACTAAAATTGCATTAAAAAAATTCACATTAGCAAGATTTAAAATAAAAAAATAAAACACCTATGTACGGTAATTCACGCTCTGTTAGGAGGATAGGCAAGGTGACATGTAGAGGATATTGTTTTCAAGGCAGTCCTCCATGACACAAAACAATAAAAATCAAATAAATGGTATGGACATGTTCACTTATCCACCCTCGCTCACGTTCAGATTCAGGTTCTCGCTCTCTCTGCATCATGGAGAGGGATGGGAGCTTCGGCAGAGTCGTCCCAACATGAAACATCGCTTCGCAGCACGGAGGGGATGGGGGGTCTTCAGACTGGACACGCAGGGGCAGGGACATCCAAAACACCGTTACAAATTACAACACCGAACCTTCCATTTGGCATCTCTCTCTCTCTCTCTCTCTCTCTATCTCTCTTGGGAATACATCTTCAGTGTTACAAGGGAAGTCATTAACTGCTCTAATACAAGCTGAAAAAGAGTCCACAACTTTGGGCTTCATTATACAGGTGACCACAAAAGTTGCGTCGTCATGAAGCCAACTTCTCCGGGTGGTGATGTGACGTGGTGGAGGACTGGTCGTTCGGTTTGGGGTTAAGGCATTGGACTGTAGCATTGAGAGGCTGTGATTCAATCTCCAAAGCACATCATGCCAGTTTCTCTTTGTTACTTCAAAGCAACATCCCCCAGTGTGTACTGGTGTCGAGTCTATTATTGACCATCATGTTATTCAGATCAAGCTCATCAAGACCCTTCCACCCTTCAGTCCACTTGTTTTGGTCTCTTTTAAAACATTGGTCTTAACTCCTTTAAATGCAATTTCCTTCCCATGCGCAAGACAGATTACATAAATGCCAGAGTCATTTACTTTTCTGTCCATACATTCAGTGTGTATGTTTAAGAATTAGTAAGAAAAGTGGTGGCAACTAAGAGATAAATAGCATAAATAGCATTTGTTTCAGTCCTGTCTTTAAATGTCAGGTAGCCGCTCATCATCACAAAGCAGACAAGGAGCAGAAATGAGACTGTAGTGTGTTGAAACGGCGGCGTGGTTAAGGGGAGTGCTTTAACCAAGCAGCGTGAGCAGAAATCCTCCTCAGAGAACACAGTGCAGGAGGCGTCTCTGGGCTCCTGTTCTCTTAGGCCCGGGTCCCAGTGCCAGGGTTGGTTCACCTCTTTGGAGGAAAAAAAGTGCAGGGGCCAAAGTGTCTGACGGATGCTCTCTGTTTCTGGATGTGAGTCGAGGTTTTGATGCTCGTGGTTCCTCGTGTGTTCAGGTTTACATTCAGTCCCACCTCAGGAAACAACCAAAAGGGCTTTGTGTCGAAACGAAATCGAAAAACGAACAGACCACTTTGACCGAGGACTTGACAAAGGAGAAATTAACTATGATCCATGGATCGCACAGAGAAATCATGTATGCAGAAGATTTGAAGGTTTCCACTGAAAGATCAATCTCTTCCTTTGTAAAACCACAGAAAACAAGAACGGGTGAACAAAATATGCCAAAAACTGGGAACCAAAATTCTGGGTGTCTCAAGGAGAAAGAAAATCCGGATTATCCTCTGCAAACTTCCAACAAAAAGGTTCTCCGTGTGGACGACTGGCCTGCTAAACAGCTCGGAGGCAGAAAAAAGAAAAAAGAAAAAAAAAGGACTCCCATAAAAAAGACACAAGCATCTTGTACATCTCAATAAACCGTTTTGACTGGTCCCTCCAGAGAACAATTCAATCAAGATCTCTCAGTGGTCTCCCCCTGTTTTTCTGAATGGGACCTTTTTGATTTCTGAAATCACAATCAACTGAGCCGGACACTTGGATGGTTTCAGGCCGGTGGTGGGTGATCATTTGTGCCTCGGCGTGTTCTTCTTCCGTTTTCGCTTGAAGAAGCAGCAGCACCTGCAGACAGAGACGGACATTAAACCAGAAACGTAGATGAGCGAGGGTTGAAATGAGGCAAAACTGAGAACAAACACAAGCAGACTGTTCTGAGTTAGTGTGTTAGATATCACAAGAGCTAAATTTGGATCTGGATTTACACTGCAGCCAGGAAACTGATGTTAGTAAAACCTTTGCATCAAGGATAAGACAGAATATTTTCTTCCACTTTTCACCCACTGACAGTTTTTTAAAAACAGAAACTACCACAAACAGCTGCAGTGACTCTAAAGGCAGAGATTACTTCTATTACGAAAATGGAGCAGTGCGCACAGAGAGCACAAGACATGGTGAGCCTGAATGGTCAATCAAAACATACAAAGACAAGAAAAAAAGCTGTGGATCGAGACATAGGACAGTGACTGGGTGCTCTCGGATTAATAGTGCACCATGCGATAAGTGCTCGAAGATTTGATGCCAGATTTGCTGTTTAAGACGTGATATCTCATAAATGTACATAGAGTGACAAAGAAAGACATTTTGATTCTTGTAAAAGTGTGACTTGTTCGCTTGTTTGCTCTGCTGTGAAATCTCTAAAGTTGTAATCTTGTATGTCTTCCATATTGGCGACCCAGTTCATGTTTTGCTCATCTGTCACTCATCAACACTGGGCGGAGGTTGGGGGGGAAAAAAAAGCAGAAAACGGCTCATAATAGAAAGTGTTCTCAGGGGCATGTTTGCATGATGGCATCGGCTAAAGAGTCTAGGTAGAATTTGTTCAGAGTAACTCCACTGCGCCCAGCCTAGGCTGGTCCACTCCCTGTCCCATGAGTCTGATGTGGACTAGCAGAGAGGGACTCACCACAGGTTGAGCATTTTCACGCAGCTACAGAAGAAGAGAGAGGGAAGAGTGTAAAGAGAAAAGTAAGAGAGATTAATACAGCAAGACCAAGATGATGGACCGGGCACATGCCACACAAACATGCAAATAAACACACGAGCGAGACACGGGTGGACACAGAGAGGGGACCTTTGAGAGGAGAGAGAGTTTAAGGGATACAACTGCTCAGCAAAGACCCTTATAAAAACAACAAGTAATGGCTGAAAAGATCCATCTTCTGTAGTTTCTTTTCCCTTTAGGAGAAAAAAATCTGACTGCTTCTCTTCATGTTGATAAAGAACAACTATCCTGTTAATTTCAGGATGTAGATTTATGAATAAGATCAGGAGCAGCAGACTAAACTTACCTTCTCTTTCCTTCACAACTACTTACTTTATCTGTCTGCATCATTAAAACTTGTTACCTTTACAGTTTACGCTTAGTAACCACTGGGAAATAATACTAACTGGAGCTTTTAGCTGTGTACAAATGAGAGGGTTTGGCTTTTCCAGCATTCAGGTACTTGATATTGTATACAGTTTTTTTGTAAAGTGGCATTTTAAATTGTCAATTTTCAAGAGTCTGGTTCAGAAAACTGCCCATATCTAACCTAAAATCTCCTTCATGTAAACATATTCCATAGACACATGTTTCTGGAGTTGTTTCAATTTGTTTTGCTTGTTAACTTTACAACATTTCTTTTTTGCAAACACAAAACTTCTGGGGAAGCATTTCTTATTTGCTGGTATGTGAATCTCTACGTCATAAATATGCTTTACTACAACTAAGTAACTTGTGCTTGGTGTAGTTGGTGTTTTCTAACAACATGAATATTTTTTGTCAGTTTCTGTTTAACAAATTGTGAAAAGTTGTTTTGACGCACTTGCAGCGTTTATTTGACTTCTCTTCATCAGAAACAAATCAGCACATTAATGTATATTTGGAAATGAATGAGTTAATGACCATAAATTCATGTCACTTCATTTTGCAAACCAACTTGTCTGATTTGGTCTCACAGAGAGAGACTGTTGGAAAAGACACCAACCATCATATCAAACATCTGTGTGGATGGAGACTACAGGACAAAGATCTATCTGTGCAGAAATAGAAAGTTATTAAAGTAAATGAACCTCTGAGACTTTTTATATTGACTTTTGATGGACTCTGGTGTTGAAGACTGTCAAACTTTGTAGTACCTCTTAATGAAAGTATAGAGATGGACTGAAGCAAAACACATTGATAGTTGATATCACCTAAGATAACCTCCATCTACACACCTGTATCCATACTTCAGAAACACTTAGTATCCTGATGTTCATCTTACTGCAGAGGGTACCTGGTACGACCTTCATTAATTAAGTCTTACAAGATAACAGAGAAATGTCTGTAAAGATCTAATTTCAGTGTCAGTTTTCTTCTGAAGTCACTCCCACATTTCTGCTGAGCTTCTATCAGACAAAACTAAGCCTCCCTGTTCACTGGGAAACTGTTTGTTGAGTAGTTCTGGGTTCTGCTCTTCGCATCAGCTTAACCATGCTAAGTCCAACCAGAAGGTTTTTCTCAGCAGTTTGTCAGCCATGTAACGCAGCATCGCTCCAGCTGCTGGTGCAGAAAGGCATAACAACTAACTGGTTATCATTAGCTAAGTTTAGTTTACTTAAGAGGCTGTTGCAGACTCGAATGAGTGCCTCTGTATTCATCTTGCTGATACAACAAAGCATAACTGTTACTCTTTAATACAGAGTGAGGAGTATTTCCTGAAGGTGTCTGCTCACACCTCAGGTACGAGCTCCGACAGAGAACTTAAACTGAACTGACTTTTTATCTGTTTTGATATCTGACTGAGAGGACAGCGGAGAGACAGGCAGCAGTCAAGATCAAAAACTCACACAATCAAACAGAAGAGGGGCAGGAAGACAGCTGGGGGTGGGGGCTGTCACAATAACACAGCATAGCAAAAAGTTGAAAGAGAGGGAGAGAGGCAGAGAGAGGTAGAGAAGGAGAGCAGGAGAAAGAAGGAATGACAGATGGACATGGAGGAGCAGTGTGGCGGGTGTGTGACACATACTTGGCCTCGTCGACCACTTCCACCTCTGCCTGAGCTGTAATCGGAGCGTTGGAATGAGCTGCCAGCGGATCGTCTGCGTTTAACTCCCCATTGGTTGAGCTGACCACCTGTGGCACAGTTGGAGATGACTTAAAAAAAAAAAAAGATGCTCGACAGATTTAGTGAGACAAACAGGTCCTCCTGTGACTCAAAGTTTCTCTGGTTTTAAACAAAGACTTATGCTTAAATATTTGGATGTCTCTGTGGAAACAAACAAAGACAGACACTGATGAAAAATAAGACACTAAAAAAGGAGGTCTTCTGGACAACGAATGGATGGATACCTGTAGAAGAAACAGCATTATAATGACTATTGTAGGAACATCCTCAGAGGTGAGGGGTGAACTTCTATTAGGGGATTTAAGGGGAAAGTTATAATGTTGACTGTGTCGTTTCAGTAAATAAATGAGATCTTGTTGTTTATATCATGGAGGCCATAACCAATACATACACTGTCTATATAATGGTTTTTGTATGAGCTCATAAATCACAACCATAGCTAATAGTTAATACTGTTTTGTGAGCTAATAGTGTAACAGCTTAGCTTGTTAGCAGTAGCTCTGATTCCACCATCAATCATGAGGTAATTATTACGGATAATGTGCTTTTACACCAATTATCCTGCAGCGACCGTCCAATCAGAGATGAAGAAACACAGCTGAGGGATCAGCATATGCTGCACGCAACTTTGCAGATAGAGATGGTCCAGCTGTGCGTGGGATAATATTGAATATTAGCAAGTGGCAGAAACTACACCGCTATAAACCATGAAACAAAATGACCCTTCATGACTTCAGAGCATGCACTTAGCCGGCTAAGCCAGGTCAGCCTGCCATGCAAGAGGCTTCTTGATCTTTCAAGGGTTGTCCAAACACCAGGATGAGTTATAGGACCTGAGATCAAAATGCCACAACCCGGGCTGCTGTTTATAAAGCTCAAATCACATTTTCACCATCTGGGGTGGGTGGCACCAGATGTCATGCATATGGTGGTGCAGAAAAAAAATAACATTTCCCAGCCAGGAGTAAAGGGTTCGAGGAAGGTGTATGGGTGTAGATCTGTCTCATACACAAGGCCTGGTGAAACGCCTGACATCTACTGGGGGGGGTTATCATTAAGAGCTGGAAAAGGACAGAGTTATCAACAGGGAGCACTGTTCCTATGATCATGTATGAGCTGAGTCTGCTGAAGATGATTCACAGAGAAAGTGTTCACATGGTGGACGGTGACTATGTATTGTTACTGCAAGTGAAAGTGGGGTACAGAACAGAAGTCTGACGAAGTGACAGTGTGTGAAAAAGAACCAAAAATACGAAAGTTGTGGTTCGGAAAAGCTAACTCACTAATTCTAAAATACCATAGCCAACTTTAAAACTGTTGTATCAGAGTAGTGTTACACTTTTCTTTCTAAAATGTATTTTTTAATTCTGGGTTCAATCTTATGAGACAGATCTGACTCCATAGAGATTGGGTGGGGGCTGCTGGTTGATCAGGTGAGGGGTGTATACCTGCACTGAGCCCCCGTGCCTGTCCGCTGCCAGGTGGGAGGTCAGATAGGACGAGTTTGCTTGGCGTGTGGGCTGCACCTCCCATGCTCCTCGTCGATCTGACACCGCTGTCTGCTCAGGTAGTCGGGGGCGTCGGTGACGGGAGTGGATGAGGGTTCGAGGGTGTGATGGGTTGGATGGTGGGGGAAGGGGGAGTGATGGAATAATTGCATTAGGAAAGATGGGTATTTGGGTGTGAGCGAGGCCAGGTAACATGCAAAGCCGCATGAAAAATGGAGAAGAAAAAAATGTAACAAAAATAAAAGAGTAAATCAAAATCAAAGCAAGGCTTCAGCCAGAAAAATCAAACAGAAACTAACGAGTCCAGAGCCAAATGGAGGAAGCTCTAACATGTCAAACTTATGACTTCAAATGAAACAAATCTTATTTATTGAGCAGGTTTTTATTAAATTATTATTTTGAAGAAAGAAAAAGTTATATGTTTCATTAAAAGGGATATTCCGGCGTAAATTTAAGTTAGGGTCAAACACACCATAACACCGAGTTAGACACCCCCTCCAGAGATGAATGGTACTGACTGCTTGCTCTTCTAGTCATACCAACTTAAGTAGCAACCGCACAATAGCAATACACAGTGGTCTAAGTCTCCATGTGCAAACCTCAACCAAAAAGCCGCTATATAGCAGTGGCGGCTGCTGGTCTTTCAATGAGGGGAAGCTCATTTTTCTGGCCTACATCATAATTGTATTTGTTTATTAGTATGTAACAGAACAGAGTCGCCAAACACAACGGCAGTCGTTTTTAATAAAGACAGAAGTCGCTGAGGATCGGTAAAGTCTCCAGAGCAGTTAAGAACAACGGAATGAATGACTTGGAAAATGCTCTGGTAGATGTTTTATTCTTCAAGATCGCTGATTCGCTTGTTTAGCTGTCAATCAAAAAAGGATTTCGCCTCAGACAGCTCATCCAATCATGGATGCAGAAGCTTGCAGTCCGGGAGAAAGTCGGGACCGCCCTCTCGCCGTAGAACTCCAGTGAAGCTTAGCTTCCATTGGGCGGGACAAAGCCCAGCATTTATCCAATGAGCGTCTAGTTTCGCTGCTGGAACAACCCACTTTTAGCTTCCACATTGAAGTCAGCAGAAGCCCAGCGTCCGGCTGTTTAAAGCGCTGAGGCGCTGCGAGGATGAATGAGAACGAAGTTATGCCGGTTACCTATAATTATCAGCTTCTTATCACAGTGTCTGAACAAAAGATGAAGGCTTTCTAGTGCGTATTTAGTTAATGAAATGTACACACAGCAGTACGTATTTCACCACTTTTTCTTTTTTTGGGGGGGTGACATTTTAAGGGAAGCCGAGCTTCCCTTGCAGTCTTAGAGCAATCGCCACTGCTCTATAGCCACAAATAAAGCTCAGAACAGCACCTAACTTCATCAACAGTACATATAGGGTCCCAGACACAGCACTAGCCACCAAACATCTTTTTAGCTTTGACTGATTTCTTTAGCAAAGAGACTAAACACAACTCACCCACTCACCTCCAGCAGCAGCTTATTTGTGGGGGAGCCATGATGAGTCGATCACCGAGTGCAGTGGAGTTTCGCAGCTCAAGGAAGAACATTTATAATCATTTCTTCATGGAAATGCAATCAGACTGAGACGCTAAGGCAGAAGAACTACCGCGTCTGCAGTGCAAAATGGTTAATATGGTAATAATTACTTCATGTAAACGATCCACTGCACTCGGTGATCAACTCATCAGGGCTCCCCCACAAACAAGCGGCTGCTGGAAAATAGTAGGTGAGTTGAGTTTAGTCTCTTTGCTAAAGAAATTAGGCAAAGCTAAAAAGATGTTTGGTGGCTAGTACTATGGCTGGGACCCTACATGTACTGTTGATGAAGTTAGGTGCTGTTCTGAGCATTATTTGTGGCTTTAAAGTGGCGTTTTGGTTGAGGTTTGCACGTGGATCCATAGACCGCTGTGTATTGCGATCACGCAGTTGTTACTAAAGTTGGTATGACTAGAAGAGCAAGTCGGCAACATTCATCTCTCGAGAGGGTGTCTAACTCGGTGTTACGGTGTATTTGACCCTAACTTAAATTTCCGCCAGAATGTCCCTTTAATGGAAGTTTAGCAGAGGTTTAGTCAGCTGAATAAATCCTACAAATTTTAAATCAGCCGAAAGTAACGACTGGACCCTTTCAGCCAAACCTTGGATCGAGGAATAAATGTCAAATAACTGAACCGCAGTCCTGAAACTCGCTTTAGAGTCTCACCTGTTCTGACAAACTGAGTAAATCCTACTTCATGATATTTTGACTGTCTGATGTAAATATAGTACATTATGTTCTGTCCTTCCTTTGTCCTCTTCATCATTGTGTCAATCAGGAGGAACAGTTTTTGTCTGAAAGGCAGTTAAACTATTTACTGACAGTTATCAAAATTAGGCTTCGTCCCTCACTGAGAAATCAACCAGAAGGCTAATTCCACAAACAGATGTTAAATATGTCACAATCCTGAAATAAATCAAACCTGGAATCTCAGTTGTCAGAGAAGTTTTGAGTCGTGCTGTATGGACATTCGCGGTTTTCACATAATATCAATTTCTTGATAAACAAAAACTTTTTTAGTGACCAACATACTTTAAAAAGACTAACTCCTTTCAAGCTTGAAAAGACAGAAAGCTTAACTCTAATAAGGACCTAACAGGCCTTACCTGATTTCTGATTGGTTGGTGCTGTGAGGGCCGATCTCTGTGAGGATGGCTCTCTCTCGTGACAGCAGACGCTCCAGAGTCTATGTGGACAGACCCCACTGGTGTGGGCTGACAGGGGTGACATTAAGTTTAACACTTTGTTTAAAAAAAGCTCTCGCAGTTCGAACGTCCCCGTTAATTAATCTGTGTGTTACTCACTATCTGCCTGCCAACCCAGTCGTAGGTGTAGTCAAAGGTGTATCCTTTCCTCTCAAACAGTTCAGTGAACAGGGTCCTCAGGTATTCATAGTCAGGCTTTTCAAAGAAGTCTAACCGTCTCACATATCGCAGGTAGGTGGCCATTTCCTCTGAAGTAAAAGAAAGGGGGCAATAACAGCAGGTCAGCATACAATAATACAGAAAATTACCTTTCTCTTTAGACAGTGAGATCATTTTATATGAGCAGGTAAAATCACTGATAATGCTACGTAGTCATTAAGAGGCTTTGTATTCTGCTGGATGAGTTTGAGGTGGGTTGTCAGTTTACCTGGAAAGTTCTCACAAAGAACCTCAATCGGAGTGTTTCGTTTAGTGTCTCCTATTTTCTGGTATCGTTCTTTCAGCGTGTCCGCCTGCAGGACAAACAAAATGATGATGAGCATTGATGAGACAGCAAATCAAACCATAATATTGATCTTTATATCGGATCATGGTGTCAAAGTTTCCAGACTCCCAGTTCAAACGTGTTCCTGTTTTGACAGTGAATGTTTTTCTACATGACTTTGGAAACACCTGAATGTACTTTGCCTACCTTTAGTCCTTGCCAGGGCAGACTGCCACGAAGGAAATACATGAACATGTGGCCTAGAGCCTCCAGGTCGTCTCGCCGGCTTTGCTCTGAATCAACAGATTTGAACACCTTTTACTTTAAGAGCAAAGTGCCAAATCATCTTCATTCATAAACACTGAAGGAAACTTCAGTCTAATCAAAAATACAAAGTCAGGAAATGGACCTCACCTTTGCCTAAATGTGTATTGATGGACATATACCGGGCGGTCCCAGTTAAGCTCTTATGCTCCCGGTATGGAATGTGTTTTTTGGTCTCGGGGTCGATGTACTCTTTGGCCAGGCCAAAGTCGATGATGTGGATTATGTGTTCCTTTTTATTCCCTTGCCGTCCAATCAGAAAGTTTTCAGGTTTTACATCTCTGTAGATGAGGTTTTTCGAGTGCACGTATTCCATTCGAGAAATCTGGTGAGAAATCAATGAGCAGAGTCAGAGTGAAAAAAATACAAAAAACAAGCAGAACATATCTGATCATAATCCAGCCGAGTCAGTAAAATGGGAATCAAGATGGAAAAATATCTTAAATTGTTACTTTGGGATGTTGTAGAAATGAACAGAGGCTCAGAGTTTGTAAGAAAGTACTTCTTAAAACATTAAAAGGGGCACTCCACTATTTTGCAAACTTATAATAATGATATGATAATGATAGATAACAGTAGTTAGACTTTGTGGACTGTAGGATTCAGTTTGAAAGGTGTGTGCATTATCTGCTCTGAGGCAACCAAGAACAATAACTGACTCGTATTCTCGGGAAAAAAAAAAAAGTAAAACCTGATTCATATAGAACTATTTATGCAATTTACAATGCCTAACCTCAATATCTACTCCCTCTATATCTGGTTAATGATAAAATGCAACAATCATACTCATATCAATATTTTAATTGCCGCCGACTGATTATCAATTGAATATTTTTGTAGAATTATGCTGAACAGATGCCACAGTGGTCCACTAATGTCATCTCACTAAAACCTTTATCAGCCAAAAATTAAGCCTCAAAGTCAGATCCCAAACTACTCTGCAGGGAATAGGGACTATAAAAGTTTGAGTGAGTAGGACCAGTGTGATACCTTGTTTACAGATGAGAACTTAACCAAGAGCTCATCATGGCAACCTTCCAAAGTTGATTAATTTGAAGAGCAGCTCAAACACACAGGAAAATGTGTGAGGTAGTGTGTGTAGTGAGATCCTCCACATGGGTTTTGTTTTTGAGGGATTCTGATCCCCTGAAACGCTCGGCTTTTGAAAGACCAAAATATAGAGCTTGAGTAGGAGTAGTAGCTCTCAGCACTTATGGCAGGATCACTCATTTGTGCCAAAAACTAAAGAGGGAGACCTGCATGATAAATACAGAGGATAAATTGGCTGATGTGCCGGCCTAGCCAGCGCTATGCTCTGTAATTTCATGCCTATGATGTGCTACTTTGTATGTTTCCTCATGAATTTGCAGAGGGTGTCTACATTACAAGAGCCGGGCAGATTTTTGTGCTGATGAAACGAAATGTTAGAAATTTTGAGATGGCTGCGACGCCCGACACGCTGGATCAGACCCCCCTCTGTGCTCCGGACTCCTAATGAGATTCAGTAATGGCTTTGCTCTTTTTGGCAGCTCCCAGCCAATCTGAGTGACTGACCGTTAATACGTGTATAGGGACAGATTGCTAATTTGCAGACTGGGTTACAAGAGATTGTGCACGGCCTTCCCACCTGCTCTGCTGGTGCAGGCAGAGCTTTGGGTTTATTCAGCTCAATGTATCAGATATTATTTCAGATGCAATCTGATAGAAAGAAGCTCTTTTTTCATTCAGTTTATTTGACAACTGTGCAAACTCCTTCTCTGTAAAAATGAAACAATAACTTCCAGTAAAGATTAGAGTTAAAAAAAGATGGTTCAATCAGCACTGCATTGAGTCTAGCTAGATTTTACCGCCCTCTTGAATTCTGTGTTTTGGACTGTCTTGTTCGATGTTTCCAGTTTCAAATAAAAACATTGCTGCAGTCAGAAAACATAACCAGAAGCTATTTGAAGTACCCACATGTTCATAAAACACTCACCAGCTGAATTGCTATCATCAAGACGGTCTTCAGTGAAAAGGTCCTGTCGCAAAGGTCGAAGAGATCCTCTAGACTCGGACCCAGCAGCTCCAGAACCATGGCGTTGTATTTCCCACAAGGCCCGAAGTAAAACACCTGGGGCACACCTTCAGCTGAAACACAAGAAGAAGAAGAAGAAGAAATGAGACTTTAAATAGAGAAAAAATTCTGGTTTGGAGCCCTGTCACAGTTTTTTAATGTAGTTTGAGGCCTTTTTGTTAAACCTGGTAAGTAAGTCAGTAAAGAGGAGAAGTAAACCAAATATAAAGAATAGGTCTTTGGCTGTTTATACAAAGGGGGGTTCTTCGAGTTAGGGTGCCAAACATGTTTATTATTCCTGCCTCCTCTGACTGATGATACTTCTAAGCTTCGTCCAAGGTAAACCATGAGCGGCCTCTAAATGAACAGACAGAAGGTGGGGCACTACAAGGTTACTGAGGACATATTAGAAAAAGCTTCTTGGCAAACATTAACCCTTAAGTGAAACACAAAGCAGGGCCTGCAAATGAAACTGTGTCTCTCCTGAACTGCAGCCTGGAAACTAATCTGTTAACCGCCTCCTATCACATCCCCCTGAATCATACTCTTCCTGCTCTCGTCTCTCTAATTGCTTTAAATTCCCTCCCATCTGTCCCCTTGGCTCCTATTATTCTTTTAGTCACTGTATATTTCTGATTCATGTCTTCTCATTCAAATGCAGCAGTAGAGACTGGCAGGGCTGGCGCTCTGACCCTTGTACTCTCCTATATCTGCTGTTTGTAAAGCTGGCAGGCTAACGCTCCACCTGCTATAAAAGTTCTTGAGAAATGTTTGAGAATGGCGTCTGATAATGAAGCTTCAGAGTTTGATTTTAACCTTCATTCCTGCAGTTTTTCATGAATTTATCCATCAGGCACCCAAAGGGAGTTTCTAAATTTAAAACAAAAGCCTCACCGTCCTGCACACAGTGTGAAATTCATCGTCCTTCACCACGTTTGAAACTTTCATACACATACAAGTGTCATGCATTAATGATCATCTACGTTCTGTTTTTCTTTGCAGTGATCCTGACCACGTTTTGAACTTGAGTTTCAAAGAATAGGAAACCAGGTCAAGCTGTTAATTGCCTTCAGGGGGAGCATGATTCAAATTTGGCTCCTACTCACTGCCAGTCAGAATCCCATTAAAAAAAGTCCCCTCAAGTAACTTCAAAGTAATGCTGGGCTCCAATCATACAGACCTGGCTTTTTCAGACTCTGCTCAGTTCTCTAAAATATTATAATTGCAAAGAAGTTAGAAAGTCGAAACGTCCTGAATGCTCGATATATCCCAGATCCCAAAGATGGAACTTCTACATCGAGCGTTTGCACAAATCCCGACAACAAAAAATCAAAACTGAAATAAAAGTGACTTTTCTTTGTTTGTATAGGTAGAGATGTGGTTTATAGATTCATAAATGCATTTATGCAGAAGAAGATTCGGGCCACAAGAAGAGAAAAAAGTAAATACAGGAGGGAGATTTTTTTTAAGATTCCATTTTGAAATTAAATTCGTAATTTTGAGATTAAAGTCGAAATTTAAAAAGTTGAAATGAAATGTTGTATGGCTTAAATTTGTCATAGCCATCCATGTGTCAGAGTGCATTGGGTCCTTGGCACGCAGGTGTAACCATCGATAACCCTGCATCTGCATCATAATCTTCGGCCCAGTCTTTTCAGAGTCTGAATACTTATGACCAGACTGTGTTTGTGTGCTAAAAGAGCGAAGATTTCCTTGTTACTAAATCCAATCCTAAAGTACAGCTTTACAAACTCTCTACAGAGGACATGTCGAGTGACGAGCGACAATGCTGTTGATTCATTATCATTATTCTCAACAATACGACTTTATTCATGAAATTTCGTCTTTATTTGCCTCGACTTTAATCTTGAAAAATTCGATTTAATTCACGAAATTTCGACTTTATTCATGTCAACCTTAATCTCAAAATTTCAACTGTAATGACATAATTTCGATTTTTTAATCTCAAAATTTGACTTTAATCTCCTTCCTGTATTTTTTTTTTCTCTTCATGATGCCCTAAACCTCTTTTGTACATTTTAAAGGTTGCATGAGTTTACCTTTGTGTACTATATAAAATAAATACAGCCAACGTTTTTCACACTTCTGCACCATAAGCTCCAAACTAATGGACACATTAACAGCCTGAAAAACTGATATGAGGAACCTGCTATAAAACAATTGCAGTCACACTGGCACGTTTTCAAGGTCATGTTGAACCTGGAAAAAGAAAGTCCAATATTTACTTTGCTTCTAGCTCTGTTTTGGTCTCCACCCTGAGGAAATAATCGGCTAAATGCTCCACTTTATTCAGGAGCAGGTGGGTCTGACTGTGTGGAGCTGGCGCTGGAGTGTACAGAGGATTTACCAGAGCTTTCCAGTGAAAACAGCTGAGTGAAGAGCTGGAAACTTAAGAGGACAGAGGTGGTGAGAGAGGAGCAAAACACTTGAGTTGTTGACAAAAATGACCTACTTTTAGAGCGCAAACACAAGCATCACCCTTCATATAATGGACATTTTCACTTTCTATATCATCACAGCTCAGATTCTGATGAGAGCAGTTTTAAGATTACATCTGCTTTTCTTCTGCACAGCCTCCCTTTACAGGATCTAGTAGACTTTGGTTCACAGATTTCTTATCTGTGTCGGAGGTCAAAGGTTTTGTTGTTCATTCAGCTTTTTTACTGCCATAAAGGAGACAAATCTGCACGACAAAGTTACACCAGAGGAGCACATTTCCATCATTAACTTGTTATTGTGCACATTTGACGTAAGAAAGCTGGATCTTAATCTTGATGTACTGTGTTCACATTTTAATATTGAATATTCTGCAGGAGACATCTGACTTGCCAGCTGGGTAATGGGAAATACAGTGCAGTATAAAAGGTGGCGCGATTCTGTCAGCAAGCATATGGGCATGTAGGAGTCGTGCTGTGCTCCATCCTGTGTTTCTGGACACCATTATGCAGTTCTGTGGGTTGCTAATTGTACCATAGGAATGAGTGCCTTGAAACCACGGGTGCCTGTGGGAGGCCTTAAATGTGTTGGATTGGATATGTGCTGTAAATAAATGGATAAACGGTTGTTCAATTGAAAACAAGGCTGGTCGAGCTTCTTTTTTTTTTTTTTTTTTTACGAGCCGAGCACAGAGAAGCACAGATCGCAGAGCCCTCATTATCTATAACAAAGCACTCCTCATAAGAGACTGAATCTGTGTGTCCTGAACTGCAGAGTTTACCATAATTGTACAGGGAGACTTTGATGGAAGCTTCCAATTTTCTGGGTACCACTTTTGACTTCTCTCCTCCAATTTTCTCAAATATAATGAGGGCGATGGCTGGGTGTAGTGCTGACTAGGTCTTGAGGATATTTCTACTGTTGCAAGTGAACAGCATGCAGCAGAGACAAAATGAGACAGCAGTTTCTACAAAACATCCACTTTCACAGCAGGTAACAGTGTGAATAAGCAGGGAGTTGAAAAAAAATGCTTATATTGCCTCGATTAGACTTGATATTCTGCGAGCAAAATGCTTCTGAAGTGCTGCTGATTGTTTACCATTTGGAGACAGACCTCCCACTGGCAGCAGCAGTCATTGTTTTTCTGTTTTTACACCGCCTAGTGTGCATTAATATTACATTAAAAAAAAAACTATAACATCCGGTGACTTTACTCTTTCTGTATCCAAAAGCTGAGTCAAGGTCAGACTGCATGACTTCAGCTTGTTCTGGTAAATGTGACGTCTAGGTCCCCGCAAGTCAAGGCCGTGTCTGGCATGTCTCACTTTAGCCAGCTTTGGCAGCAGCATCCCTGCCTTCGTGATATGTTATCGAGGGACACGACAGACGGAAAAAAAAAAAAGGGAAGAGCTGGCGGGAAACAGCAGATGAACGACAGCAAACTGGTGTGCAGCTGCAGTTTGAATTTCCAGGTGCCATCTAGCCCAGGTTTGGAGTGTGGTTTTACATTTTCAGAAACACACCGGTGGCGGAGGGCTGACTTAAACTGAGATGATCCACCAGTTATGCTATCACTGCATAACTTTCACATATATTCTACAGCTGACAGGATACAAAGCTTCTTGAGATGCTCCAGAACATGAGCAAAGACTTAACCAAAAACAAGATCAGCGTCTTTTTACAGTTAGTAAAAATATGTCATACTTCTCATGTTTATTGACTTACATTACCCTATCAAAGGGTTTAAAACACTGAAGTGAACCTCATAAGCATAGATAGAAAATGGGCAGATCCTTTTTTTCCGCAGAGTCTAAAGGGTTAAACAAGCTTTTGCATGTCAGTGTTTAGTTTATGCCCTGGATGATGTTTGCTCAAATCCTGCTCACTCTGAACAAACTGGCACTCCCTCCTGCACAGTCATAAGAGAATTCAAATATGGAGAGAGCTTAGCTTTTTCTTGAACTTGTATTATGTTGAGACTAAGTATTGAATATGTAACAAACTCTATCATCACTCAGAGCAGCTGGTCCAAATTGAGTCTGGGATTAAAAATTAGCATTTAAGTGGTAACAATGACGCTTTGACAGTCAGCGACGTGAGGAAATGCATCAGTTCAGTCGGCTGCTGAATAAAAGGATAAAAAAGTGCTCTATATTACTGTAATTTAATAGGAATGCTGGCTGCAGTCCTTTACAAAAAAAGGGGAAGATTGTGATAAATGAGTCTGAACCCGACTGAAAAGTACTCGTCTAAATCTCCTCCCTGGCACTCTTGCTTCTGCGCGTGTGATTTGTCAATGTACCGTTAGGAGCCAGACCTTTGGATCCTGAATAGAGCCCATCCTGAGCCACTTTGTCTTACGCCTACCGTCATGTCTAGCGACAAAAGATATATCACAAGAGGACTGCAAAAAGTCATTTAAAGCCTATTCATCTTATTTGATTTCATTTGTATTAATGTTTTAGAAACATCTACTGTTAAGTCGCAAAAACATTTATTTTAAATCTCAAGGTAAACAGAGCAGATCCTAAGTCCTGTAATGCATGATGATAAAAAGCATCTTTTATATTACATAAAGTACTTTTTTTTCTAATATTTTAATTACTTAATGGTAGGGCTACAGTCTGTTGCCTCTCTGTGTGGAGTTTGCATGTTCTCCTCATGCTTGTGTGGGTTTCCTCCCACAGCCCAAAGACATACAAAATAGGTGAATTCGTGATCTAAATTGACTGTATTGACTGTGTGTGTGAAAGTGTGTGTGTTATTCTGTGTGTGTGTGTGTGTGTGTGTGTGTGTGTGTGTGTGTGTGTGAGAAGGAGAACCCTGTGTAAGTCCGGCAACCTGTCCAGGGTCCACATGACACCATATAGTTATTTTGACAGATGTTTTGCTGCATTAATTATTAGCAAGGAGAGAATATGTTCAATAAGGAGAGATGTGCAGCAGCTTTAGAGGTTTTCTATGATTCTTGTGTTAAACAGCCAGCTCCTCGCTGTGCCAGTCAGTGTTCGGTAGCGCGGTTCTACATTTCTAACATATTTGTCGGCTACTTTCTCCCTGAAACTATCTGATCATTTATTTGATTATTTAATGGAGCATTGTGCCAGCTTTTTAAAATCTACTTGCACTGTATGATTTACAGAGCTTCAGAACAAACAAGCAACTTGGACTTGGAGTTACACAATGCATAAAAATCTAATGGAAACCACAAAATGGCAAAGTGCAAAATCCAAAATGGCAAAAAGCTGCAATTCTTTGATTGAAAAGAAACTTCAGAGTTAGAAGATTAAAAAAACACAAATGAGTGTGACGTCAGGGGAGTAGCTGATTGTGATCGAAGAGAATTAATGTTTATTTCCACTTATCAAAGTCATTCTTGTGTACTTTAAAATGATTCTGGGAGAATCATTCCTTTTACCACATTGACTAAGAGCTCTAAGTTTCTGTATCAACGTTAACTAAACAGTGAGAATGTGTTGATAACCCAATAATGTTGGTGCAGAAAAAACTGGGTGTACTCTTGTGTCATGCAGGAAGAAGAAATCTGCAGTAAAATGCTGTTCTGTCTTTAGTTTCAGACTCCTAACATGTTCGAAGGGATTTTCAAATCAAAAAAGAATAAATCCCTTTCTACTGTGTTCATGACTCAGGCGAATGATTACATTCATCCAACTCTGACAAACATGTTTCTGCATTAATGTCACGACCTCTGCTGTGTGTAGTACACAAAGAAAGGGTTTACTGACTGAACTCTATGATTGTATTTCACTGTAAGATGTTCATGATGGACAGTTTGGTCTGGACAACTGCAGTGAATATGACAGAAAAACAACAGCAGCATCTCAACCTCTTTTACGACACCAGTGGTTACACTAGAGACGATTTCACTGCTTCATGTTTCACCAAAGTGCTCAAATTTTTCGATGTGCAGTGAAGGGAGTAAGTTGGTAAATGAATGACAGTCAGACTGTGTTGATATCACAGCGAGAGGGAGAGAAAGAAGTTACAGTAACATGTCACTAACCTCTCTAACATCTGAAAAGAATAAAAAATGTGAAATTCATTACAACCCCCCCTTTTTTTGAGGCAAACTGAGCACTGAGAGAAAGAGTGATCCATGTCTTTGGATTAGTGGGAACAGCTATCCAGAATGAGACCTCTGCCCTCTCTTTTTACATGTTTGTAAAATCTGGTGAGCCGTGTCTCTGTGGGAAATGTTTACTTCCTTGGGATTGCAATGGTCACAGAGCTGGTGTAGTGTTTCATGAAGGAGATTGGTTGCTGCTACCTCCAACAGCTCAACAGTGCCCACCCACCCCTGAACAAACCCTCTTGATCTCGTCCTCTGCACATAATACCTCAAGGTCTGCTGTCTCATGAAAAAAATAAAAACCACAAAGCAGCAATGCAACTCTTATTGAGTGCACTGACAAACGCTCTCATATAAAATGTGTAAGGGGAGGCTCGATTCCTGATTGAATCATCCTCAGTAATATCCTGAGACAGTTGGTTCTGCACCAGATACGACACCTGATTGAACATCTGAGTCAAGCCACATTAATTCATAAAGACGCTGTTGCACAGACACCGTGGCAACCACACTGGCTGCGAGGAATGTGGCATAGCTCACAGCCAAGAAGAAATGAGGTCACGTTATCCCATCTGGAGGAGAGGACGGAGGCAGGTTAGCTATAAGAGAGGCAGACCCACTCTCTAAATATTTAATGAGTTTCCGCACGGTTGGCCTTTTCCAGCCTCTGCCTTTGCAAAACAATAGCCATTATGTTCTCAGTCTGGTTATCATATATGAATATGGAGCTCCAAAAAGCAAATCAAGAACCATCCATCAAAGAAATTATGCTTTTATTTTCCATCTCCGAGCTCTGATGTGGCAGCTTTACAATTTTGAATCATCTCCTTCACACATAAACACACAAGAAATGTACTCTTATAAATCACTAACTCTATTCTAGGAGCAGCCGTTCAGCCATTCAAGTTTTAGCCCAACTGTTTTACTGGAAGAGCGACCAAACACTATAAAAAATATAAAAATAAAAATGTCTATTGTCCTGTCGTTTCCACTGCTTCCACCCATTTCCTCCACTACCAAGACTAAAGAAGTGTGCTCATAATATATTCCTCTGTCGTAGTCCTTTCATCCTCCTGAAGTCCTGTCAGTGGTTTCTGTAACAGGGATGCATCAGCAGACCTTGACTAAGCTTTTATGGCGAACTGAGGAACTCTCAGGGGTCGAGTCAAGGAAAGGGAAATTAAGAAGCTTCATTGTCTTTCATTTTTTTCCATGATCCAACAAAGATATCTGTTATGTCTTGGATAAAAGACAAACACGGATAATACTGCGCTGTTAAATATTAAGAAACGGGCACAAGCTGGTAACTTCAACTGCATGAGGCTAGCATGGGTAATATAAAGGCAATAACAGCAGCATCATTGTGGAAAACTGTACTTTTAAAGAGGTGGGCTGGAGTCATGGGTGCTTGACTCACTGCATCCACTTCAAACTGATCAGCCACTAGAAACAGACTACTTTTGCACCAACTTGAGACCCGAAATTAGAAACTATTAGTTATTTAATACCTGCAAATGTGACACAACTGTTACAAATACATGAACTAATAAAGGACAACCCGGTGTGTGGGTACTTGCTAACCTCTGACCCCAACTTCAAACCTCATGCAGTGAGAGGATTTTTAAGCAGAATCCTGGGATGTTATGAGAAGACCACAGAAAGCAAATCAGAGTAACCTACTGGTACCAAAGATTCAGACCAGAGGACTTCAAATATGTACCTCTTCATTTAGAATACTAAAACCTGCCAGGTTAGAACGATCATGTGCGCTCTCTGTCTGTGTTATGGACTCAGCAGTCAGCTAAGACTGCAGGCAAGTCTAGATGTGTGTGACTGAGGGCAGGGCTGAGCTAGAAACACATACACACACAAAGAGCAGCACGTAAGAGCAAAGTGTATACTTTAAGTGGAGTACACACTCCAAGATGATTGGGCAATTTTGGCTCTGATTCCCCTCATCTGACAAAAGTCAGCAAAGGCCTGATTATCTGATATCTCTAAGATTCAGAGGTGAGCTGTGTGAAGAGTGATTTTAAGTTCTCCAGTCTGTTTTTGAGACTCTGGTTGTTGGTGAATTTTCTAAATCAGTTTAGATGGACCCACACAATCTAGCTCCTTCCTGCAGGGATTTAAGGAGGTCTGATGGTGTGGATCTGTGCTTTGCATTGCATTAAACATAAAGTAAAATATCTCTAGTTCACTTCTGTCTTCATTTCCCACCCTGGGTCCCTCTACCCCAAACTCCGCCCTTTCCACCACCTCAAAGTTTATGTAAAACATGACCAGCCAACGTCCTCAAGAGCTGATTGGTGGTTAAAAAAGGTGTCATGCTTCATTTTTAATCAATAACATGTAACTGTTTTAAACCACTGTAACTTCTGTGGTTATCTACGAGAGTTTTGTCTCGCTGTGAGTATTTGGACTACACTGGGCTTATGCTGAGTCTTTTGCAACATGAAGCAACACCACCATATGCAGGCCTGCCTCATACTGGAGCTTTTAACAGCCCTGTGGGCAGATTCAGATGTTTTTTCACCCCCTTCAGGCAACAGCACACTTCTTTGGAGCCTCACAGATGCCTTTTCTTGATGTGTCTGAGCTGGATATTTTTACAGCAGGATGATGCAAATAGCCATGTGAGATGTGAAAGCTACAAATTATAACGGTGGACCTTCAGGACTGCAGCACAAGACTCTGCAAAGCTTCTGACATTGTCTTTGTTCTCCTAAACAACACCTCTGGACTTCGCCTGGTCTCTCTCTATTCTCATCTTTATTGTTTCCAGCCGGAGTAAGATGCCGATTCCTAAATGACAAAAGCTGTAAAATCTAACAAACTTCACTCAGCGAGGAGGGGATATAAAAGGGAGGCTTCTGGTTTCTAGTTAAATCCCTGGAATTAGTTCAGTAGTAGAAACCATGGCAGAAGTTGGTGCAGACCAAACAACAGACTTAAAGACCCACTCCAATGAAAATCATGTTTTTCTTGTTTTTTATATGTTCATATGGCATTTTTCTGATGCTATAGGACATATCATGAAAAAACTAAAGGCGAAATTGCTTTTCTGAGTATTTCTTCATTCAAATCCTTGTGAATCTCTGGCAGACCCAAACGGCAGGTTCAGAAACAGTGAAATTTCATACGTAACCAATCCAAGCTCCACCCCCAGAACCCCGCTACGCAGGCCACACTCCGCATATAGAGGAGAAATAAAGAGGACGGTCATGGAACAAGCGTGTGTGTTTGCAGATTGCAGTACTCCTAAGAAAGCAAATAATGATATTATCTTTCATCATACCCCTAAAGGCATTAGTTTCTGAGGGCTTATTAGCTCCTATGTTATCTGCTTCTTCTACTACACCAGCAATGTTAGGCAGCATGCTAACGTGAAGACGAGTGTGCGGAGCAGCGCTGTCTCTGCCCACAACTCAGAGGCGAATTGCCAATGAGCTACAGGAGCTCTGCAGAGAAAAAGCCCCTGAAAATGACACAGGTAACACGTTTTTTGGTACAAACTTCATAATCAAAATTTAAAGACCACTGAGAACACTTTCAGTAGTAAAAAAATATGATCGAAGTGGGATTTTAAAAGCACTTCTGTACTCTGATGTAATGTTGATGAAGCTCTTTGATGACTGGATGAGAAAATACCCCAGACTGTATAAAACATGGACGTAGTCTCAAGCCTTTAGCCTGCTCTCTAACAGCTAGAGAATACCTGCCTGTCAGTCGAGTCAGCTGTGCCTCAATAATGAAAAACTGGTAACCATAATATTATAAAATCCAACAGGTGATAAAAAAAATCAACCTCCTGCACTGAGTGTGGTGTAAACATGTTTATGCAGCTTTTGCAGCGGGCCTAGAGTGGACACCCAAATGACTGCAGCTTTTAGCACTTGTGAATTAGCTTTACTGCTCGAGACGAGAGGTTTCGGTTTGAAAATTTAGGGTCTGTTTGCTGACAGGTTGAACAACTAAAATGAAAACAGTAACAATAGGTTTGTGTTTACTGCTCTTAACAACCGAGGGACCTTGGTCCGCAGATAAAAGAACAGTTTGTCAGAGGAATTAATTGCTTCTATTCTTCGAGCCACTCTGCAGACATTCAAGGTGATAACACATAACAAATGGGGAAAACCAGCTCGAGCAGAACTGGACCTTGGACATATGTTCATTAATCTACAGTTAGCAGGACACCTCCTACTCTGCAGACACATGGTGCAGAACATAACCTACATCCTCAAACACAGCCTGCAGCACTTCCTGCATGTTCTGCCCAGATAACAACAAGGAAGTCTTTACAGTGCAGCAGAGAAAAGGTCAGCTGTTGCATCTGTTGTGTGGGTGTGTGTATAAGAAGTTTTATGTCAACACCTTTCATACTGAATTGCACCCCTGGTAGGTCTCGTGTCGGGCAGGGTCAGGGTTAAACACACTCTCCATGCATGTAGGCGCTCACACACTCATGCCCACAAAATCCTGGAGATTAAATGAAGTCGCTGACACAGCTTAAAACAACCTGAGTGGAGTAATCATTTGTTGTGGAAATGATGCAATCTCCTGGGATGAATTTAATTCCTAAACAGTCAAATATCGTCCGAGTGGGTTCACAGAAAATACCAATGAGGAGAGGTAGGAAAATATCTGTGACCTTACCTGTAGTTCCCAGTGTTTTGTAGAATCGGTACTCTAAATGCAACTGCGGTGCCCTCGACTTCACTGGTTCCTGCACAAAGAGACCACATCCAATCAGAATTCAGCTAAAACGAACCCCACGAGCTAAAATATAGCGAGGGATAAAACCTCTTTTCTGTATCCACCATGTTGTTGGAAAGTGCCAGCGACTTTCTGATGACTCATCGTGCACTTAAGGGCAGATACTTGCATGCCATCAGATGAGATGTTATTACAGGATTTGGGATGAACCAGGAAAAACCCTCCCATCATGTAACCCTAGCCAGCCTGATGAACTAATGGGCCTGCCACATATCACAAACATGACACAAATCCTCTTCCTCTATCAAAGCTTTGGTGAGTAAATGATGTGCTGGTGTTTGGGGAAATTTCAATGAGCAGTCAGTTAAAGGGACAATCCGAAGTAAACTGTAGTATAATTTTTGGTAGCCTAGCATCTAAACCTCATCACATTTCAGTTTCAAACCAGAACAGTTTAGTACAACAACTGCCCCACCACGCCACTCCAACACTGTCTGATTTATTACACTAAGTGTGTCTGTGTGTTATTTTTTCTCTTTATCAGTGAAAGGAGAAGAAAGAGTATAGACTTACCAGTTTGATGGCTACATACTCGTTGGTATATAGATTTTTACCTGAAAAAAAGAAAGCAGAGTAATATGTAAGACTGCTTTTCAAAGATGACTCACAAATGTAAAAGAAAAATTCTGATGTCAGTGAAGATGATGAAGATTCTTTTCCATTTTTCCATCTTTTTAACAGAGTTGTTAAACTTCACATTTGTTGTTGCTGCTTTAATTTACAGTACTAGACACTATTGTTTATGACAGATATTCTTTTTCTACTCTGACTCATACAAGGTATTAAAAAAACATCTCGGTGTATGAGGCAATACCAAGCAGCTGTCCAAAAAACTGACATTATTCAGATGACTCTCAAGTTGAATCACAAATAATTTACATATCAGGCTAAAAACCTCTGAAATCTGCTTTTCAATCACAGCATGTTCTCACAATCCATTAAAACGACGATTTGGGCTCAACTTACCAAGCTTCAATTCACCGAAGTTTCCACAGCCGATCTTCTTGCCCACACGGAAATTTGGCCCCACCATGAGAACCCCAGAGGGGCCGGAGGAGCCGGATGGTCTGGACGAGTGCCCGCTGCGGCTTCCCTGGGACACTTTAGTCGCCCTGGCGGGCCGCTCACCATATTTATCTCTCTGTTGGTCCATGGTGAGAGCAGCAGAGGTCAGCAGGTGCCAGGAGTGATGTACGGGAAGGCCTCCTGGGCCGGGCCCACCACAGCCACAGCCCTGATCACTGGGAGTGCCTGGATGGCACAGTCACTTTCATGGGACACGACCTGGAACAGCGAAGCAGCACTCCTCCTCGTCCTCTGCCTGTAACCTCTAACAGCTCTTTAACAGGCTCAAGTCTGGCCTCAACATTTGTCACAGGAAGGTGAAGGTAGAAGACCTGTGAAACAGAAAAAAGAGAAAACTTAACCTCTGAAGTGAGCAGCACATCAAACACAGCAGAGTCTTTGCAAGAAAATGTCCCCATCAGTTAACTACACAAAAACAGTTTGATCCTGTTTGACAAAAATCTGAAAATGAACAAAAAGGCACGACAACATTCTCTACTCAAAACACTGTGAAAATACCAAAGCTGGGTTTATAATAAAAACACATAACTCAGGCCTCATACAACACTGGTGTTGTTCAAATTTCAAATGCCAAACTGGAGTACTTTAGCCATTTTAAGTTTTCAAAACATGCTGTAATACTTCTAAAACTGAACAGACCCAACACTGGAGTTTAATCAATCAAACTGCCTTTTGATGCACAATAAAGTGGTCTTATTGAAAGCAAGTGTAAATCTGATATTTTAACATGTGATTATTAAATAAAAAGCAAAAACAAAAGCATGCAACAGAGGGGTGAAAAATAAATCATGTGTCATACAAAGGCTCCAAATCTTTCATAAGAGGACAATGCTCCACAAAGACAGGACCGGCTTACTGCAAAAGCACCGCAGGGGCTTAAGAGATAAACATCAAGTCACAGTGGTCACAGAAAACACAGCGACCAGTTTGAGCATCAACACAAATCTTAAGTCGTAGTTTGTTGTGATCACGAGGGCATCTAAGACTCTCCGCCACCCACGGCTATCGGCCGGCAGACAATGTCAGTGGGGAATATTATGTAAACAATTATATAAAGCTGTGTCTGCTCACAAGGACACCATAGCTTAACTCGGCGGATGTCAAATGCTCAGCTAAATTTTTTTATTTTGGTAAAACCGTCTCTTTTACGCACAATGCAGCATGAGGGCAGTTTAGCGTATGTTCAGCAGTCATTAAGGCACATGATGTTATCAACTGCAGGTGTCTTTGGGGACTTCCTATTCAGCTACTCATCCACAGCCATACATTGCACCGAAGCTTCAAACCAAATGTTGCCTGTAAATTTCGTCATTAGTTTTACACAGTAACTAAAGAAATATACAGATTCATTTTCAAACAGTTCTTTCCTTTCAAACAACTTTTTTTTCTTCCTATGATTAAAAAAACAACAGCTGCTAATGTTTTCATGACAAGGCTGTAATTCCTGGGCATGGAAAGGCTGCTGCTGAAAAGTATTTGTGTGTGGGCTTCCGGATGACTCATGCTCAGTATTGCCTGCACAGATCTCCGCATCAAAGACAGCTAGTTTGCTCTCAAGGGCAACTGTGCACTGTTGCTATTACATAAAGAGGGAACAGAACAACATGGCTATAAAGCCAGTTTGAGGCAAAGACCAATGGTGAGTCGTAACAGTTTCCATTGTGCAAGTAATCTTTTGTAGGCCACTGTAACAAGGTGTGTTTAGATTTGGTAAGCCAGGTGTTTCTCCTGATTGAAACTCTGGTGGCTGTCCTGACAAACAAACTCCTTGGAAATGGCAGAATAACAAACACAATACGACACACGCTGAACCTTTACAACACATTCACACCTCGTGTTTATACATCTGACTGCCCTGGACACATCACTGAAAACTGCAGATCTAGACTTGATCAGAAATATTACAAATCAGAACTTTGAACTTTGTTTGGTCCTTAATTTTTCTACTATGATTCCTGTAAAGATTCATAAAGGTGTTACTAAGATAATCAGACTGATATAAGAACATATTCATGTTAAAGCCCTCATGCTTGTGCACGTGTTATCTTGGAGGCAATGATTGGACATTTACACAAATTAGTCTTTGACTGTCTTTAAATTTTGGTGACATTCAGTACTTTCTTTGGACAATTTGTAAATGAGTATTTTATTCTGAGAGGTTTCTAAAATCATTCAAAAAAATCTTTTTCAAGAGGACTATTTATTCATTTTTTAGGGCACATGCTTAACTGCTTATTCCCTCCCTGCACACTCACATGTGTGTCTTTCATTTACTGATATCCCAGGTGGAATTCTAGGTTGAAATGCTATCTTGCTCACCTTTACCATTGGGGAAGCGACGCAAGCTTTTAAGGACAAAAGGCTCCTGTAATGTATAAGTAATACCCTTAATTTGTCAGGTTTTCACAGTCACAAACTTCCATCCATACAAAATACTTTGCAAACACAACAACCACTCTTTCCCTCTTAGTGTCCAACCATGAAATATAAAAACACATATGGTGTCTAGTTTGTTCTGTGCTACACTAGAAACAAGGCGGAGCATGATGGCGGCCTCCATGGAGGAAGACCCCTTTTCCTTGTAGATACAAAATGCACATTTAAAAATAAACAATATATTTGTACACCAGTTTAAGCAAAATTTACGTACTATAACCCATTTCCACCAAGTCTGTTCAGCCAATGCCCCCATATACTACATACACACTGTACCTTTAAGCTTGCAACTTTGTGAAGTCAATGTTTTATCATTGTCATTTTATAAAGATGGTGTTATTTTTAAGCATTTGTATGTCACAAGAACTGTATCAGGACTGTGTGTTGTCAGGTTGCAGTGTGGTTTGCTAAAGTAAAGGGGAAATGTGCTTTTTCTCTAACATGTTCCTTGTAACTACACAACTCTTATCTATGCGTGGATGTATTTTTGTTGTTTTATTCCTTCAACAAAGCACAGCATGTTAAAAATCATTCATTTATATAATACACAGGGGTTGTTAAGTAATGCTATTAGGCATATCCTCTCTCCTTGTTTCGGGGATTTCCATGAGGAGGCAATGTTAGCATGTAGGCGAGTGAAACCCTGAGAGTCTTCTGTTTCTACAGATGCTGCTGCTGCTGGTTTGGGGGATATAAGGCTGAAAAAACTATTCGGATGAGTGTATCTCCAACTTCAATACAAAACAATGCAGAGTCAGACTCACTGTGTACATGTAAAAGCCAGCAGCATGTCCAGAAGTTTAAGTTCCTGTCCTCACACAGGTGACACTACAGCGTCAGTGTTCAGAAATATTTCTTTATTACCACCCTTTAATTTCCCTCTGTAGAAGTTTTCTGATTTTGAGCTGTGAATGTTTTCTTTGGAAAACTTAAAAGTGAAGCCTGATGTTAAATTTCAGATCCATCTATTCTCAGCATACAGCTTCTCAATTACTGACTGGTGTTGGATCAGGTCTTGGATCACTTCTTGGTACTTGTTGATGCCCAGAGTTTAGGTATGAAACAGGTATTTGAAGTAATGTTCGGTTACATTTTTATTTGGACATGCTTCTATTGAATTGTCTGCCATGGTGTTTTTTTTAACCTTCTGTTATGGTACAAAACTGGGCAGATCTTCTTTCAGGATACTTTAATCTCAATACAGTATATAACCTGGTGGTGATAATTCAAATCTATCCATGATTGAGTGTAGTTTAAAAAATCTAAAGCACACAAGGTTTGCTGGTTTTGGTCTGATTACCCGGATGTTTCCATTGAATATTTCCAAGCTTTCACTGATGCTGTATTGCTAAATAAAACTTATATTAATGTGCTATTCTTTATACATGCAAACAAGTTAGTACAAGGTGCAATCTGTACATATCTACCTGAATGTGCAGTTTCTGTCTGATTTATGCGTTTGTCATTGGTTTTACTGGTAGGATTACTACAGCCACTTAGTATCTGAAACATGTTCAGACATGCCTGAACCGAGGATTAGGGTGGAAAAGTTAAAGCGAGGTGAGAAAGAACCTCATTGATACCACAAGACAGCTAAATTACACTTTATGAAGGAGCAAACGTCTTCTGTAACTTTTAATTTGAAAGGTGTGTAACTCTGTGAGCTGTAATGAGTTTGCACTGATCTATGTGAGCATGTTTCCTCTGGTTGTAAATAAATACAATGTAGTGTATTTAGTGCTCATGATAAAACACGCGTTTATAGATTGAAAACAGGTTAACTAAAAGGAAATTACTAACACCAGTTAAAAAAAAAACGTGTCCTGTTTATCTTAATCCGAGTAAAATCTTCAGCAGCAGACACAAACATAAATCACTCTCTTATTAACTCCTGCTCCTGTCGATGCTGTGGTTCAGATTAACTGTCAGAGGTGCTGACTAATGCTGAGGTGTTTTGCAGGACACAGAAAATGATGGTATTGTGAATACTGCCTCATTTTAGCAGGCCTTTATTTCACCTTTTGTGTATAGGGAATTAATTCACAGAGCATGGAGGTATTGCATTTAATATTCACACTTTTAATGCACAGACGCCCAGGCCTGTGTGAATTCATATCAGTCAGCAAGCTCATTAATAACGTGCAGACAAATTAAAGTCTGTCGGACTGTTGCTGTGGACTGGAAAATGTCTTGTAGTTTACACAAAGAGCTTTCTCCGTGTTGATGAAATGTGGGGAATCCCCGGCCTTTATCCCTGTGGAGGTGCCATGTCTCCTGATAAACAGGGATGTGTTTGAGGATACACACCCCCTGCAAAAAGCAATCTCACCCTAATCTCAAAGAAGGGGAAACAAAGGCTCTATGAAGTTTAATCTCAAAAGATATTAGCTGAATGACACTTTTCTTTCTCATGAACTGTGAAAAAAAAAAAGATCAGGTGCATGTTTTCTTATCGGACTTTCTTGAGATTTGATCCAACATGTGGCATTCAGCCGTGTTTCTGTCTTACAACCGTGAATAAGAGCGAGCAGCCAGCACGGGAAACAACAGAGAGCATTGTTTTTCAAGGTTATAATATTCCAGCTTTGTGCTGTTACATGCAACGGTTTTACAATCTAATGTAACTTGGTATCTCATACAAGGGGACACATGGATGATCTGGGAAACAATAAACCCATAATTGTGTCGTTCTGTTGGACTGTCGTTTGTTTTCCTGTGCAGCTAGAAGGTGTCGTCTGTCTGCTATCTCCAGCGTGCCTGAATCCATGTTAAAGAAAAGGGGGGACTACTTTTTGTTAAACCAGGGGATCATTGTCAAAAGAGTAACGCAAACTGATTTTTTAAAGCATCACAATCATTTCTTAATTTTGGATCAAACTTACATTCAACTTGCTTCCTTGCAAAAAAATAAATAACCCACTGTATGATATAAAGTACAATCGGGCCTAAATATGATCCTCCCTCATAGAATAGTAGCATGAGACATTTGAAGAGTCACACACGTGTGTCATTGTGTTACAGTAAACCAGCCTCTCTCTATCCTGTGGTCCTCTCACTTGCTTTACGCCATTAAACTCGGCCTATTCTGCATGAGCAAGAAATGTTTCATATTACAGGAGGTGTTCACGAGGCTGCTATAAAAATCCACTGCAGTGAGGAGAGCAGATCAAATACATAAACACAACTGTTTACAGTCTAATCACGGGCACAAAGCCGTAACAGCGAGACGCACTTAAAGTGGCGAAAAGATTTCTTTGATGATGTTAGTGATAAAAAAATGAACATTTGAAGAGCTCAAGACAGCTGCTGTAATAAGTTAATTGCTGATTTTTGAATGTAATGTACTTGCTGGTATTCATACGAACGTGGCATTGATGCGGAGGTCTCCAAAGACGCTGATTAACCACAAATTTTCCCATCAAACGACTTAAAAAAAAAGAGGGAGATGCTTCTATCTGATTATCATCTATTTAAAAAGACTAATCTGTTGACATCTTTTCACTTTTACAGAAACATAAAGGCTCTGAGTGGAGTGATTAACCTTCAGCAGAAAGATCAGCTTGAGAGGGGGGCTGCCAATAGAGCAGACACCTACTGCGGTGGTGCCAGCTAACAGCTGCCTCGCTCCTTAAAGTCACTGCTTATGAAATATGACTGGGGGTAATTTAGATTAGCAATGATTTTCCTCCTCCGCCAATTCACAGCAAACAACAACACGTGCAATACATGGCTGCTGTGCGCACCCACATGCATGACAATGATCTCGCTGATCCACCTACTGGCTTTGATATTAAAATCTTACAATTATAGCGTGATGATCAGCAGAGGTTTCATCTCTTACTCTGCACAGACTCTGTATTAACTCCAGCAGTGGATAGTATTATACAGTCATTATCTGAGAGCAGCTGAGCATTTGGGGAACGACCACCCACTGGTCTTCTAACAGATCACTAAAGTCAGGTCTTTTCCAAACATGTCAGAACATAATTTTAACCATCAATGAGGCTGAGATTTTAAATTTCAAATACTTTATTCTGTCTATGACAACATTAAGTTTACTATCAAAAGAGATTTAAGAAACAAACACTTGGATATTTATCTGTTTGTTCCTATGAAAGAAAAAAAACCCTAAAAAGTAGCTACTGCTAGTTTTATTATTGTTGTTTTTTATTATTGCAATTATTATTATTATTATTATTGTTATTGTTTTTTTTTTAATCTACTAACAAATTCTGAATAAAGTCATTGGAAGAATTTCACTTCAGAGTATGTATTGTGGCAATTGGCAAATGTCCGGCCAGTTCGGTTTGTATTGCTCTGTATTCAATTGAGTTGTTTGGTGGATATGGGTTAATCAATTATTTAACCAGATTGGGGGTAACTGAGTACTAACCGTGCATAGTCTATTGATTTACTAACAATCCATCCATGCAGCTGAGCAAGAACATTTACATTTTAGTGTACTGTATGTTTGCACATCTGACCACAAGCAGGATATTTGCATTGTGTCAGCATTTAAAGATAGCTTCATCACATCCACCTGAATCCTATCAAGAACACCTGACAAAACTTTTGGCACTTTTAACAATGAGGTGAAATCTTCAGTGCGCTGCCCACAGTAACTATATTTCTTTGTTTTTATATCCCGTATTGATCTATCTTTACGTCCATTTTGCGCTGAACAGGCACCATACAATTTCTTTTTTTTTTTTATCAAGTAGTTAAGACATCAATTTGTACGTAGCATGTCTCAGTATGATACTTGTACTAATCCATCTTAACTCCAGATAGATTCGAAATGTGTCATAAAAATGCCACATGGAGCTTTTGCATTTTTAACTTTACTGTAATTGCACTACGAGTGAGCAGGATGAAGTGGAGCTGAGCAGTAATTCCCAACCTTTTTCCTTGAGCCCTCCCACCCCCACTCCAGTGGAGTAGAGACGGGTCTAACAAGCTTGAAAAAAGCTTTGATGTTGTCCATGTACATTATAAATTCACTCACCAGTGTTTAGCATAAAGTTTGCAGCACTGCTGCTGAGCATCATCATCATCATTTGAGTTGTTCCTGATTGTGTACCCCAGATATTTCACTTTGTTCATCACACTAAGAGGTCTATCAGAAATAAAAATGCTGCTTCTGGTCCGCTCTAGTTACAAAAATCACAGTGCCTCACTTTGAAGAATTAAAGTGGATGTTTTGCTGCTGTAAGCCAGCTCTATACATAACAAGATGATAAAATCATTAGTGTACATCAGATGGTTGATAACAAGGGTGGGAATCAGAGGTTAACCTGTCATACTCTACGATATAATACTAAATAAGACAGCTGACAAAAAGGCCAAATGTGCAGGAGTCTCACCACAGGACATGTAATGTCAGTCATATGATCTGATTTCACATCATGCTGTCACCAGTTTCTCATTTTCCAGGACTGATCTAAAATAAACATCTACCCGATATCACTTTAATGCAGCCCCTCACTGAAACACACAGAAAACAGACCGCTGAGTGCCACATGACTTCAAAATGTAAACATGCTCCTGACATTGCAACAGTCACAGTCTACCAGCAAAAGGCTCGACCAGGCAAGATGGTTTTAGAGAAACTGTTTTCCTGCCTGTCCTGGTGCTTGTTAACATGGAGAGAGCACACACACACACACAACTGACAGAACAGCATGAGCTGCTAACATGGGAAACAAAGATTTGACATAAGTTTAAACATTATGAGAAGTTCCTGATGACATCTCAGTCAGTCAACCATGTTTCTTAAAGTTTATGAAGTAACATGTTGCTCCACCTGCGCTCGCCACTCCTAACATCTGTCTACTTCTCCATGCAGGCCTCAGAGTCTCTGCCAGAGAGCTGGACTAAGTGAGGTACAGGGTTTTGATATGAAAGCAGAAAACTCAAAAGATCCAAAAGAAATCACAAAAATATTTAAAGTTTTAATTCTTTGAATATAAATTCATGTTTTTTGTTATACTGATATTACTTTTCATAATGCGCCAGATTAAAGGTTTTGAACAGGTGAGAGGTGGGACTACAGGCAGGCCTATTACAAATGCATTGTCTGGATAACAGCAATTGTTGTGTACAAACCTGTAAATATCATTCATCAGCATTAATGGTGCCTACCCAGAAGTGTAAAGAGGCCATGTCATCGGCACTAAAGCATCCCCATACCACCAGGAATGATGGCTTTTGAACCGTGGGAAGTGCCTCCTCCTCCTCTTTGGAGGTGAGGGTCTGGCATCCATGAATTCCAGAAAAACACGTCAAATTTGATTTGTCAGAGCAGTGAGACCATAAACTCATTTCCCACTATGTCTGGGTCCATCCTCAATGGGCTTGGGTCGAGAGAAGTCACCATCCTTTTTAGGCTTTGTGTTTATATGGCACAGCTCTAACCTGCATTTGTGTTCATAGACAAGGGCTTTGGACTGCAATATTGAGCACAAGCAGTGATTTCCACTGCACAGTAAGGTCTATTTCAATGATAACTGCCATCCAGTATTAGTTATCATAGTTATTTTTTTTTACATTTCTTAAGGAGAACAACTAAAAAGCAATAAAGTGATTTGCAAACTATCTAATTCTGCGTTACCCAACATTTTAAAGAGCGTCTCAACTCTTACTGAATTATAGTTGTAGCTTTGGTTCAGTCAAAAGTTCAGATGCAGATTAAAACATAACTAGACCGGTTTGAGGATTTCTGGTTAAACAGATTATCAAAGTGTAAAAAGTAGCCTTGTTGAAGTGTTTGCTTTAAAGACTTGAGATTTTTTTACGGCCGCTGTGCAAACTGAGATAAAACGAACAAACATGTGAATGAAGCCTGTGGCTCAAATATTACAAAAAAAAGCAAGAAGGAACATGTGTCTGCTGAAGTTTTCACCATCCTGATGAGCCTCTTGTTTGTGTGAAATATCAGCCTGCTCAGGCCTGCGGCTCCATCACAACAAGGAAGCGAGCTGGCATTTGTGCGCCAGCGTCTCCTGGACAAAGCAAAGCCTGGCAGTCTAACATCAGTGATGGACACATCGATTAGTAAGCGATCCACCGCTAGCCAAGTTAGCCTTCCTGCTTTCCATCATCATACAGTCCCAAAGCATTCAACGCTAGCCAAACATTTAACGCTACAGACTCCGCGGCTTTAATTTCATATTCTAACCAAACCACATTTCGCAGTTTGCTTTTTTTACGCTTCATATGAGCCCAGCAGGCTTCTTTGCTGCTTTGAATTAAGGTCTCGGCTGGCTAACACCTCCTGATGGCTGTGTGACAGCTGGAAATGAGCTCCGTTAGCAGCAAAAACAGGAGAGCTAACAGTCTTTCTGAGCTAGCTGCTCTCAAACACACACACAGCAGCACAACACTCACCTTCGCTCTGAGGGAACCCACACGTCGAGGACGCAGCTTCTCTATCCCTCTGCACTTCTAAACACGGATCCCAGGAGCTTGTTGTGAGGTTTTCGGCTGTTACTTGTTGTTCCTGATGTTTCAGGCTAACAGCGGACTACCGTCTCTCTCCATTCTTCGCTGCTGCTTGTGAAACGGTCAAACACACCGGAGGTACAAACACGGCACCGCCCGCTTCAGGACACAGACTTCCGGGTCACGCTGATACAGCCTAATTAACTACTACTTAAAAATATAAATATATATATATTTTAATTACTACCTTTTCCTTGTTATGCTATCCTGCAAATCACAAATTGGAACAATATCACATTTTCTGTAATACAACCCATTCATTATCATCTGCTCATCCAGCTGTGATTTGAACAAACATTTAAAGCCCCTCTTAGGAGTGTTTTCTGGTCATGAACTAAACTGGAATCAACATTAAAGCCTCTCTATGGAAGATAAAGGTAAAAAGACAAAAAGCATCAATTTTGAGAGTTTTTATACTGTAATTTTAGGGGTAGATGTCAAATATTCATTCATTTATTCCACAGGTGTCAAACTCAAGGCCCAGGGGCCAAATCTGGCCCGTGGAACAATTATATCTGGCCCACAGGATCATATCATATTTGTATTATTATTGGCCCACCAGTATGAAGTCTGCAGATTTGTAAACTTTAGCACCATTACTTAAAATGTCCTTAATGAACCACGACAATCTAGGAAATTAAAGTAGAAGGAACATTCATAAATAGTCAAGAATGTGGGGGGAAAATATTGGTGTTTTATTTCATGTTTTCAAGTTTGCATTTCAAGATTACAAGTCAAACATGATTGGATTTTTTATTTCATGCTTTGATTTTGTTCAACTCAGTATTTAGACTTGTGTCATTTTTATACTTTAGATTCCAATTTCAAATTTTAAGTCATATTTTGACCTTTTATCTCCTCATGTATTTGCTTTTTAAACTGAGTCCAGAGGCTTCAGAGTTGAAACTCCAGCATGTCTGTATATTATATCGCCGTAGTCCAGGACAGACAAGAACATGGCCTCCACGTTTTTTTTACGACATGACAGTGGAGAACATGCTCTGTTTCACAGTGAGAGATACATTACACAGGTATCAAAAGATAGTCAGAGAACATATACACTTTTGATGAAGAAAAATTTACAGGAAAAGGTCAGCAAAGGTGTGAGAAATTCAATTCAGCCCCACTAAGGCACCAGGGTCAACATGAACAGAAAGTCCCACACAAAAACTTTAAAATGATTGAATCTAATAATGGCCTTTCTCCCTATATGTGTTTACTTATCCAATCTTTCCTGTAGTTTGACACCAGGCAGATAGAGTAACATAATTTCCCAAATCCTTTTTTATTTCTTTGTACTTATATTTGAATATAGCCATTCAGTTATTGAACTTATTAAATATGCATTAAAGCTTAAAAATGTATCTTAACACCATCGCTCATACAGTATGATATTAGGTTCAGCAATTTCAAAATAAATTTTTAACCCCGCAGAGTAAGTTCTCCATCTCATCATGAAATCTGTATTAGACATAAGCATGGTGGTATTAGTCCGTTGTAAACTGCAGATATGGAAACTTCATGTGCGTGAAACTATCATAATCAGCATTTACTCATGAGCTAAAACAGCTAAGAGATAAACTCCTATTACTCTTGCTTGCTTTTCTATCATGAAAAAAAGGGACAAGGATCAACAGCTGCTCCAGGACTAAAGGACAAAGGGTGGACAATGTGGCTGTTGCCGGTGGAAGTGGGCTGTTGAGGATTCCCATCTCAATCAGTGCTGAGATTCATGACAAAAGTGAGTGGGAGAGTGAAGAGGAAGACTGCTGTCTGAAGGCTTTAGTCTCTACATTTTATCTATTACAGAGTTTGTGAGTCTTCCTTGTGGACTTGGATGTCTGTGCTTTTTGGAATCATGTCACTTATTAAAAAAGTAAGTTACTTTAAATATTTGTCACTGAAAATGTGGTCTTAAGGCTCAGATGCAATACGAATACATCAGCACTCATAAGTATGGAAGAAAAACTATATCATTGTGTTTTCTGTATGAATGAGAGAAGACACCTGCAGTTACACAGAAAGATTTGACAAGTGCTTTTTTTGTGTCAATAATGTGACAACAATCCTGCAGGTCTACTGTATAATTTAACCATTCTTTAGAATTAAAATTGATTATTCAACTAAACACAACCAAAAAACAAAACAAAACAAAAAACAAGACAAACATGAACACAGAGCCCAAAGCTTAACCAATCATATTTATTTTTTTTACGTCTACCTGTAGAGCATTTCCCGAGAAATGTGTGTGCTAATGCAAAGTGGTTACAAAAATAAAGCACATTCTTACGTAAATATGACATGACAGAAAAAACTACAAGTACAAATGCAGAATAAGAAAACATGGGACTGTATCACTTGAGTGTCTGTGCCTCTTCATCATCATCATCATCATTATCTTCAAACTAATTTTGTTAAAAAAATGGATGGCTTTGAAAAACTTCAGTCATTATTGTCGTACTCCATTCAAGTACTGTACATGTTTGTTGACATGTCATCAACAGTCATTTACAGGAGTGGTAAACAATCTCTCCAGCAGTTCCAAAAGAGTTCCTTTGGGTCGAATTCTCTGACAAAATAACCATTTAAAACTTTTAAGTGAAAAAATTGTATTAATATAATAACACAGTTTTAACAGACACATCATTGTAGGAAATACCAACAAAGTAGAGATTGCATTTCTCACCCTGCACTCACAGTAACATCATATTTCTGTTATCATTTGTTACAACTCTTACAAGTCTTTAACCTCGTCATATCTCAAGTTTAATGACTTATTTGATCTATAATGTATCATGTAATATACTATAACAATGTGCTAATACTCCTGGTAAATGACCTCAGTCATCAATAGTGGTGTTTCATTTAAAAACAGCTTTTCAAACTGTGCAATGAGATTTAGTGCATCAAATGTTATTTGTCATGCATCCATTAACATGAGCTGTTAGAGGCTGGAATGACTTACATACGTCTATCTTCTAATGTAAACTATAGACAATGTTATTCTAGGGCAGTACCTCAGTGTTAATATACTGATTTAAGCGAGAAACATAAATACATAACCCACTGATGGACAAAAAACAGTGGACCTTTGTAATAATACATCTGGGTTTATAACTGTTGGATTCCTGCTTGAAACCATCTTTCAGTCAGGAATACAAAAAAAGGAGAAACGCCAAAGAAAGGTTGTGTAATTGCGGCAGCTTAGTTTATCAAAGACCTGTACAAGTTAAGAGAATACGCTATGAATAAAAAGTAAAAAAAAGAAATGGATGGAAGTTTCTTGTGTGTTTCAAAATTGTCCTCTCAGTTCTGCTCAAGAGGTAAAGTGTTCAAAAAAGGCAGTTGGGGTCTTTACAAAAAGTCTCCCTGTTCATTAAGCTATTGCCTTTGCCTCAGGCAGGAACGCCTCCCAAAATTTGATGAGCTGGACAATAAAAAGAAAAAAAAAAGAGACAAATTAAAAGAAAGTTAATACTCTTTTGATGTTAGTAATATCTTTCGATAAAATCTCATGAGAACCATTATTCAAATTCCCTATCAATATATTCAATCATTTCAAACTGTCATCAAATAGAAGGTTGGGTGTACTTCACGTAAAGATTAAAGATAACTCTTTACCCGGTGTTGAGACTGCAGCATCGCCTCCAAATATTTGATTATCTGGCTCTTGAAGTCCTTGGATTTTTCTTTCTGAAAGCCAAAAGGGTTGTCATGTTTTAAGCTCCTTACAAACATTGAGGCTGACAGGAAAAATTTCTGGCAGAATTTCACCTTTATACAAGGTCCACAGAGAGGGTGAATAGTCTCACGATGTGAATTTGAAGCTTTTCTCTCTCTTTTATTTTTACAAAGGTTTAAAGTGAAACTAATCCAAAATACAGGTGAAAGAAAGTATGAAATGTTACTACGAGGTCGTGTTGGTTAAAACAAACTATACCTTTTTCTCTGAGAGGTTGCATGTCTAAAATTACAGAAAGAAATGATAGTATATTTTGTCTATAAAGCAGTAACTGATAAAGAGATCATGCTCTATTTTAAAGGTGACACTAACATTAAGGTCTTTGTATTTGACTGATAAGTACAGAGGAACATCCAGTTGTGCAAATCACAGGGAAGAAACGTCACAGAGTGTACAGGTGTAAAACGGATCTCAGACTTTGCACTAATATCGCTGAAAAACAGGGCTTTGTTAGTAGTGATAAACTGAATACTTGGAGTATGTGAAGAGCAATAACAGAAATGAGCAATAAATGAACCTGACTTCAAACTTAATTTGACTGATTAAGGCATTATCAGTTATCCACAGCTGCATAAGAGCATCAACATTTCCCCATCACCTCATCAAACTTCTGCAGAATCTGGAGGAACAGACACACTGACGGTCTCTGGCTTTGATTTGGGAGGTGCTGAACCAGAGCACAGTGCTGACAGACTGCCCAAAAAAAGTCAAATCCCTTTGAATGTAGAGCTGTAGCATGACATCTAAAGATCATTACTATTTTATTTTTAGTGTTTATAAATAAATGAACTTACCTCAAACCTGAGAACCTCCTTGCGGACAGTCATGCCGATCCTGTCAAAATCTCTCTCGTATTGAGTCACCCTCCCCTCCCACTGAAGACACATAAGAGAGTAAAACAACCATCAATAAAGAGGTAAAACTTCTTTCTTCACCTATTGATCATGAAATTTTAGATTAAATTTGATTAAAAATGCGAATCAGCTGAAAAAGTTTTCTTCTTGTGATTTGTACCAAAAATCTGTATATTAATTTAAACGACAAAATGTCAACAATAGTGAAAAAATTGTCATTACAAGGTCTGATTCAAAGACAATCAACTAAAAAGGGGTGAGTCTTCACATATAAGGGACCGGCTTTCACAAATATTTGGCACTGTGATCTGACTAGAGGATGTAAACCTTTATCTTGTTGCAGATTTCACTCCAGTCACTCAAGATTTAACTGCAGAAACTTCAGAACACAATGTAGAAAACATGACCTCCTGATGGTGAGGATATGAAACATTTCTGAACTCATTTTGAACCTCGGACTCCAGTGCCTTAAAGGTTGCCTCAGAGCATGTGTCTGGTACCTCAGAGATCTCTTCTTTAGCCTGCTGCAGTTTGTCGGGCTTGTTTGCCCACAGCAGTTTGGCCTCAGCCTCTCTCTTCTTCTGGAGTGTGCTCTGAGCCTCCTGCCATCTCTGCCACGCCCGGATGCGCTGGTCAAAACACCCCTGAGGACATCAATTTTACATTAGAAGAAGGACTGATTTAGCAACACATCAGTCCACCTTCCAAAAAGACAAACAGCTGGTGTGCTTGCAATAGAACTGTGACCTTGTGATTTGTTGAAGTATTCCAAATGTTATCAGAGTTGGTTTAAGTGAGTAAAGGAACAATCTGAGCTGTTTCTTTTCTTCAGTTCAAGCAATAAAACCTGTCTCTGTTGACTTATTTGGTTTTCTTTTTTTTTTTTTAATCCCATTTTGGCTCTCAGTTAGGGTTAGAGTTTGGGCTTTACTCCTGGACTTGTCATCTTGAACCCTCTATTATCATATTTTACCGCTCTATAAATGAAAATCAATTTCAGCAACTTCTACGTGACATTTGTGAGTGTTCAGTTTATGTTTTTACTTAATTCACCCTCTCTTCTTCTGAAGAATCTTTATCTCATCTCAACTTCCTCCTACTCTTTATCGACAAACCCGCTGCCGTGAGCTTACCCTCATAGCACCCAGCAGGCGGATGTAGTCGGCTAACAGCTCTTCAAAGATGAAGAAGTCACTGGCTGCCTGCTCCTGATGCAGCTGCTCCATCTTGTCCTCCACCTCTGCCAGCTGGGACAGGGCCCGGGACAGTGCAGTGTTGTCCTCAGAGTTTCCCAACATGGCCATACTTTTGGCAAACACTGCTGTGTTCCCACACAACTCTGGTGATGAAGGAGGAAACAGAGAACTTATTCAGTCTTCAAATTTCAGCCTACTCTCCCCGCTGCACTCTTCTGCTTCCTCAGCTGTGACCATGGGAAGTCTAGAAAGGCAGAAGTTGCTCACCCTTCCTGTGATTAACCAGGGAGTCTACTATGGCGTGAAGTTTCCTCAACTGCTGCTCCTCATTTTCCATCTCCTGGAACTTGTCCTCAAACCACTGAGACGTGAAGACAGGAGAGTAAAAAGTCAGACACACTTTCTCGGCATGTCTAAAATGGGATATCAACGACATCTTTGACCTTTGGATGAAAGTGTACAAACTTGGAAAAAACAATTATTTCCTTTGATACAGAAATTTAGAACATTAATATAGACCATTCATATATAGGTATAAAATTAGCCTGAACAGCATGTGTCCATTTCTATTACTATGACACACTCAATGTTAACGTAGGTCTTTAAAAATGTTAATTAAAGCATCCAAATTCCCGGCCATTTATAGTTTCTGTTACCATCTTTGACATTAACGTTAGTTCCTCATTAGGGTCTATTTTTTCCCCCCTCTCCCCCATTTAACACCATAAAACAAACTTGAGGTTGAGTCCTCTTACAGTGTCAGACTCGTTCATCTTGATGGTCATCTTGTTGACAGCATCTGAAGCCTTATTGATCATTTTGAGAAAGCCAGCTCCACTCAGAGTCTGAGTGTTCACTGCTCTGGGAAGCTGAAACACAAACAAAAAAATTTTTTGGAGCATGTGATTAAAAAACCAATGAAACCTTGACAGAGATAAAATCTTTAATTGGTTTGTGACTTTAAGATTGCTCACATCGTCTCTTTCCAAGAACTCTCTGACATCAGGATCTTGTAGTAACAGTGGATGAGATACGACTCTCTGAAGATACCTACAGCCAAAGTTCACGCAAAACCAAGTTATGAAAAGGAAAATGTTTGCATGAAGCAAGAAATAAGAAATGAGAAGAGAGTTTAATTGAAATGGAGGAAGCATTAACATAACAGCACCTCTCAACCAGAGTTTCAGACATTTCCTGTCTTCAAATTGAACTCTTTTAAGGGCGCTGGCTTGGCCTTCTGGTTAAATCACACACCTTATGTACAGAGGCTATGACCCTTGAAAGAGTGGGCCTGGGTATGACTTCAACCTGCGACCATTTCCTGCTTTTCATCGCTCTCTCTTTCTAGTTCCCCATCCTGTCTACAGTCTCTAGTCTTGTATGAAGAAGATCTGAAGATGTGTTTAGTTATTCAATGTGTCTGTGCAATCTTGTTAAATTTTCCTCTGTATCAATAAAAACAAAGGTAACACAATCAGCTGCAGAAAAGACAGGCTGTTTATTTACATCACAAGGTACTCAAAAGAGTGAAAAATCTTGTTTTTGGCTTTTTGTGATGCTATGCAGAAATGTAATTAAAGCCACAGCAACTCTTTCTTTGTACGATTTCGGAGCAACTGTCTGGATGTGATACTGCTGTATGAGAACCTTTCCATGCTGTGTACAGACTCAGCCCTCTACCCGCACTAACTATCATCTCTCAGTAACTAAGTTCATGGTCAAGTCAAGGGTTGATACTTGCCTCTCCAGAGCTGCTCTTCTTCTCTCCACAAACTCCACAGATGACGGGTCGTCCATTCCCACCTTTACTTTGGTCATTCCTGTGGATCCAAACAAGAGTCACAAACAGGAGACAAAAAAAAGAAACACCCAGAGTACCACAAGGGACCGACAAGTAAGGACTCACCTACAACACTTTTCTCAGGTGGGGGTGGGATGATGCAGCCCTGCAGAGACTGCTTCACCGACAGCTTCTCATAAAGACCCAAGAAGTCACTGTAACGTCTCCTCACAGAGAAGGTTTTATTCCTGAACATGGCCAAGGAAGTCTGAAATTCAAGTCAAGACAGAGACACAAGCAAAATGGGAAGTTAAAGATGATTACTTCATCAAATATTTGATGTATTTACAGTTTAAAGCTAAAAACACATATAAAAATATTATGTAACAGAAAAAACTCTAGGTACAGACCCTGGTGGATACTTTATAGGCCACATATGCATTCATGCCATCCCCTAGAAAGACACAAACAGTAGAGACACAGTAAAACTGCTGTATATTAGGTACGAAATGACTCTTCAGAGGTTGCTTTAATGAAGTATTTTTATTCTATTTTAGAATTATTTAACAGATTTCTACATATTGACGTCTGGATTCAATGGAAACTTTAAAACCTCTTTACCACAACAGAATAAAGACAAAAAAAGACCGACCAACTTTCTCTGGGTTTGTGACGGCAACATCCACGTCAAAGCTGTCCTTGGCCTCATCCTCCTCCAGCTAACATGAACAAACAGAGCAAAACTCTTAAAACTGAAACAAGCAGACTGAGAGTGTTTGTACTGCAAAAGAGCAAGTGTGACATTATTTGTTTCCATGTTCCCAGAAAGCTTTCAGGTTCAAGGTCACTTTAAAAGTACCCCCAGGTCGATTTGGTTTACAGTGACTGAGTCAGCCTTGGTTTTCACACACTAATAAACAAATGAACCGCACAGGATGAGACATGAAAAATAAAGTGACAACACTCTGTCATGGCCTGTACCTGCTCCAAAGAGGTGGGCTGCAGAGCTGCTGGGCTCTGGGTGAACAAGGAAGCGGGGAGCTCCTTCTGAGCAGAGCTGCCGGGCTTGTCTGTGCTCAGCTCTGCTTGTGCCTCTGGGGGAGAAAAAGACTTTTGATAGGCTGATCAAAGAAGAAGACACAACTTTAGTGCATGTCAGACATGATCACACACTGCACCTTATGTCAAACAACAGCACCACGCTATGTTTGGCAGCTCACTACAGAAAAGCTACAGCTCACATACAGTACAGTGAACACAGAGTCTCACATTCTCGAGCAAAACGGAACAACTAACTAAATAACTGTCATTATTTTACAAGCAGTGATAGTGTAAACATTCACAATTATAAGTTTTCATTTGTTTGTCAGAAAAATAAAAAATATATTTCACATTTGAATGAACAACTCTAACCTTATATACTCTTTTGTTGGATGAAGCACTTCAATCCTAACAACGCTGGTACTTTGGACTAAATGTAAAGATAACCTTATTAAATCTACTTAGATCTGAGAGCATGGATTGAAACATGTCAATGAAATTCAGATTTTAGTTTTAACCTGACTGTTGATACTAAGTTTGGGATCAAGCTCCAAAAAATGTAATCACACACTTCTAATTAGGTAGCCAAAACCCATCTTGGATATACAGTACATCCTAACACAGGCTTACTGTTATGTGCAGTATGTGTACTCTCCAAGCTAGAGCTTAAACTATTAGTCAATTAACTAATTAGGCTTCTGAGCATTACAGAGAACCGCATGTACAAAATCAGTGGAATAAGAGATTTGAAAATAAAGCACCCAGCAAGAGTTTTGAGCCTTTCAGGATCTGCTATCATATGATACAGTCTACGAACCAGCAAACAGGTCATTGTCATCATCAGAATGAACTCCGTTTGATTTGGCGGTTGTGCTGCTCGTCTTCTCCTCACTGAAAATGTCTGAAGGCTCTTCTTCAACATGGTCTGGCTGAGAAACTCCTCGACTCACAGCCACAGGATTACTCTGCACAAAGGGGGAGGACACATGGTTTTCATGTAGCCAGGCACTCACAAACAGGGGGGACATCAAAGTCAATGCATTTTCCTGCTTGGTGAGAATTATGACATTCAGACTGTACTGGAGTTTATCCACATTTGTTGATGAGAACGGAACTTTTGTAAAAACCGCACGTGCTGAACTAACAAAATTGTTATACAACCCCAATGCCACTGTTATAAAAAAACCCTGAAGGAACATCTCACTACTGATTATTAATTTGTATCAGGTTAATGACATGATTCGTTATAAAACAGGCATTTCAGAGAGGCAGAGTCTTTCAGTTGTGAGGATAGGAAAGGTTTACCACTCTGACAGGATGACTGATCAAATCACCTCCCAAAAACCACTGTCTGCTGACACAGTTTGTCACTTCCTCTGCTAAGGCAGGTTAAAACTGTACCATGCAAAGTGAAACCTTATAGAAACATGATCTAGATATGCTTCTCTGGGCCAGACCCTGCTTTTTGGAAGTCATAGAAACTGCAAAATCTGCTCCAAAGAAAGGAGGAACCATGCAGCTTGTTTTCAGTGGCTTGTGTGCAGTCCAGACTTGTGACTCATAGAAACATTTGGCACATAATAGCACAAACAATACGAAAAAGAAGACCCCAAAATGTCAGACAAGAATGGGACAAATCTTAACTCTCCAAACTCCAGAAACTGGTCCTCTCAGTTGCAAGTGTTGTCAAAAGAGGAGGTGATGCAATACAATTGCAAATATGCCCCTGTCATGCAAACTGTTAACGTGTTGCTTTCATCATATGTAAGACGAACATGTTTCCATAAAAAAGAGGTTTTGAGTCTCATCATTTCACATGCTGTCTCTGCTTTATCCTAGATTAAATGAAGGCTTTCAATAACTCACAAACCCTTAAATTCTGTTTTTTTTATCAGCATCCTAACTCTCATGGAAATATGGTTGTATTTCAGAGCAGGTGAAGATGTTGTTACACTGTCACCAATTGAAGGATAAGTTGAAAATAATTATAGATAATGCTTTTTGAAACAATTCATGAGCCATGAAGGTGTAATAATTTAATATATTGTATTAAACTGTCAAAGAGGTAAACTTCATTAATTTTTTTCTATTCCTGGTTGTGCATCCACACTTTAACATTCTTATTATTCATAATAATGGGCTTTGGCTTCTTAAAAGAGTGGCGCTTTTCTTGACTCGGGGGTTTTCTCTTTTCTTTCTGTCCACTGTAGATAAGCAGAAATCAGGGGGTGGCCGGTTTGCTGTCATATGAGCTGGACAAACTCAAACTTCTTGATGAAAACACGCACAAAGACACCTTAAAGGGCGTTTCTGAGTCATAATATAACACCAGAGCAGACGAAAAAAGGCTGAAAGCGTCCAAACTTAGGAAAAAGAATCACTTTGACTACATGAATACATTTTAAACCCTGTTGACAGCCAAATCAAGCACATCGGGCCTCACTGTCAGTTTGTTTTTCAGTTATTTCTAATGCCATGGCTGCAGGTCAGATCAGGTACTGGGGTTGACTGACTTTGACGATTAGGGTTAGACTGAACCGCCACACGGTGATTTGAACACAAACTTTAAAGCTATAAACGTACATTACTGACGAAGATATCCTCTCCTTCGTCGCTGTCTCCGTCTGCCATGTCCAGCGGTCCAGCTCCGAGATCCTCAGAGGAAGGGAAAGGAGGAGGATTCCGATCTGAGCTGGCCGCCATAGTCCGTGTTGTGAGGGGGGCTGACGTAGACCGGAAGTTGATGAAATGGAGAAGTTGGGCTCAGGCGGCTGCAGCGACGACTAACGGTCGCCATGTTGTTTTACACCGCAAAAAACAAACATTGGTCATTATCATAGACTGTATATATATAGATTTTTTTTCTTTTTCCTTTTTTCATTCATTGCAGGAAGTAGCGTAAACAAAACAAAAAACATGATTAACTGTCTTTCGTGAGGTTAAGTCTTCTCCAAAGATGTTTCAGTCCTAGGGCTGGTGATGTGGATAAATCATTAGAGATTGATTATTACATGTAACTTAATTGTCTTTATTTGTAAAGTTATGTGTTGCTGCGCTCTTGTTTTGCCTTCCTGGATTTGACTGATTGTGTTGTTTTAGTTTCAAGTTTTCCAAAAATATTGTGATAATATTGTGACTGTGGTGTTTTATGGCCGGGATAATTGTGTGGTGAAGATCTGATACTGTGACAGCCCTCGTGGAGACCAAAACAGAGCTTCAGGTGTAGTTAATATTATGCTTTGATAAGGTGCTGTGGGCCAGGTCATTGGTATGCACCTCATGCACCAAGGCTGTGGCCCTCAGTGTTGAGGTCACCCTATGGTTCTTTTTACTGGGCAGCATATAGGGGCCCATAAAGACCCCATCAAGACCTTGTCAGCTGCTCCTGATGGGTCAGAAAAAATGAATGACTTCAAACTCTTTGGCAGTGTTTGAAAGCTCCAAACTAAAACACACATGTGACTGCACACCTGTACACGCTAATGCAATTCTACTTTTATGAAGCTTTGGCGTTTCCAGCTTTTGTTTACATGTCAGATAGATGATGCTATGCTTTATATTTATTGTTGGACTTGTTTTCTTTCACTCCAGCTTTCATGTGTGGGAGCTGTCAAAGTATATTTTGTTGACAACTGTCAACGCTCCGTCCCCGCTTTAACACAACACATACAGCGTGAGCGCTCAGGTTGTGCTTGTCAGTCAGAAATGATTCACTCATGCTGCGTGAGTTTACTTCCCACTATAACATAATAAAATCATACAGCGCACACTGACTTTAGATAGTTAAATGGAGTGTGTTGCAGTCGTGCATCACAGAAATGTCCTCTTCACTTAGCATGGCACTGTATTAGGAGGGCTACATTAACAGAGAGGAGCTATCACTGCTATTCTGTCTGTTTCTGCTTCCCTGCTCACCCATCGTGTAAGGAGCTGGAAACTAAACTTCCCAGTATCTCTGAGGCTGTTTTATTAATTCATGACTGCTATAACCTTCAGTCCTGTTTCACGGTAACTCTGGTTTGTGCCTGGGTGGAGGCTACAAACTAGCAGGAGGCATAAATCTGTTTTATCCGGAGGATGCATAAAAGGGCTGTAATCAAACCCTATTAGCACAGCACAGCAGATCAAGACTTTACTTGTTACACCTCACTTCAGCTTTGCAAATTCATGATCAATACACGATTAAACCCACTAAATCAAGAATGTTTGGGGCCTGACCCAAACAGAACATCTGGCTCTGCAAAAAGTACTTTTTCTGGTGACTTAACAGGAGGTGAAGTTATTTACTATCAGCAAGTTGGGGAAAAATCCAGAATTTATAGCTTTATGCTGACTAGGAGAAAAAAAATTACAATCTTATGACAGTCCTAAAAGAGGGTTAGTTTGTGTAAGATTTATGAGAAAATAATGACAAAAGCTGTAATGTATTTTTTACAGAGCAAAAGATGTCTCATATTATTCTTTTTCCAGGTGTAGATTGGAGCTAAAACTAAAAGAATTATCTTTTACCTTAGGTCACCACAACATTTCTCACTTCACAAAAATCTTACTATAATTTCTTTACTAATTTACATGTAGGATTGTCAGTATATCAGAAAATTTCAAAATGTGATAGAATTACTGAAATGTTTGGGCTTGAAGCAGAAATCATTAGTGTTCATGAAGAAATGTTGAAATAGTTAATCAACGTACTTGCTGATCTGGGTTCCCTGAATTTCCCGCTCAATCACGCCTTTCAGCTTCTGAATCTTGTCTCGCATTGGCTCACACTGAGCAGCATGATCACTAGGTTTTAGATCCAGCCTATTTCTGCACTTTGAGGGATATTCCGGTGTAAAATTAAGTTAGAGTCAAACACACCGTAACACTGAGTTAGACACCCCTCCAGAGATGAATGTTGCCAACCGCTTGCTTGTTAAACCAACTTAAACAATGACCGCACGATAGCAATACACAGCAGTCTATGGATCCACGCACACACCTCAACCAAAACGCCACTCTATAGCCACAAATAATGCTCAGAACAGCACCTAACTTCATCAACAGTACATATAGGGTCCCAGCCATAGCACTAGCCACCAAACATCTTTTTAGCTTTGACTGATTTCTTTAGCAAAGGGACCAAATACAACTCACCCAATCTCCTCCAGCAGCCACTTGTTTGTGGGGCGAGCTCTGACGAGTCGATCACTGAGTGCAGCGGATCATTTCCTTGAAGTGATAATCATCATATTAATCATTTTGCACTGCAGACGTGCTAATTCTTCTGCCTCAGCGTCTTGGTCTGATTGCAAGTAATAATCATAAATGTTCTTCCTTGAGCTGCGAAACTCCGCTGCACTTTGAGTTTTCAGATATGCTGATTGTGTTTGATGAAAAGAAGACGAGCACAAACATTTACTTTGTTAGTATTCATAATAGTTTGTATACACAATGTATAGGAGCACCAATAAAAAAACATCTTTTTTTCCAAACCTTTTTTTCAACATTTTTTAAAAAGCCACAGATTTTTCTCTACAGAAAGCAAAAAAAAAAAAAAAAAGCTCTGTACATGAACAAGCAACAACAGAATTCCTCATCGTGAGCTGCAAAGTAAAACAACTCAGCTGCTCAAAATCATATCATCTCTGAAGCAAAAACATAAAAAGAAAAAAAAAAACATAAAAACAAGACCAGCTGCCTGCTGCTTACCTAGGACACTACGTTACACAAACAGCTTTTGATATTTAAAACACAAGATATGTAAGAAATGTACTTTCCAAAAATTGTGAAAAAGTGCAATACAGGTTCAGCTGTTTACAACTCAATAGATTATTTCCCGAATGGAGTCCGGTCCTTTTTCTCCCTCCTTTGTTTTCAATGATTTTTCCCCAAAACTTGTTCCTTGTTTGTATCCATAGTTAAAATCTCTTACAGTTATATTGACATTCATGACGATGTACATTGATGAGAAACATGGTATTCACAAAAGTAGAGCAAATTACTATGATTGCAAATGACAAATTTCTTTGGGTAAGAGGGTGATGAAAAACTAGTTTCTTAGATGAACTTTTTTTTTTCTTTTTTCAAACATCAGATTTGTGTACAGAACAAGCTTGTTGATTTTTTTTCTTCTTCATACAAAAACTGCTATGTAAAAAAAAATCTGGGAGTCCCCTTCAAAAGGCCAACATCTTTGCATCATAGAAGATTTGTAAAAGAACCAGGGCATCTGATGAAGAACAGCAGAAAAATACAGCAAACACACTCTGCTGTGAGAAAAATGCACACGTGGTTCAGCAGTACAGACGTCTGAAACCAAACATTGGTTTTTGGAGACAACACACACATCCGACCAAACTTCTCGTATAAAAGATAATTCGTCTGTTGCAGGTGATTTTTTTTTTGACTGACGTGCCATGTGAGTTTTTTTTTTTTTTCTCTTTTTGAGGAGGGGTGTGGGTCAGCGCCCTGAGTCCTGGGTACCCCTGACCTGTGAGGAGGAACTGTCGAGCCCCACAGAAGTAGAAAGCCGACAGCTCGACATCGATGGTGAGCCGAGTCATCTCGACTGTCCCAACATACAAACATGTTGGTAAGGCTTTTAAAACGGAGCTCCCACAACAAATCAAAGACTGAAAAAGAAGACGCTTTAATGTACAAAGTGGGCAACTCAATGCCAGAGAAGAATGCACTGTAGAAACACATCAGGCTTCTCTCCCCTTTTGATAAGAAAACTGAGCTTCAGGACTCACACGTAATCCCGTTTATATCCCAAAATAATAATAATGAAATATGGGAAACATCAACAGAATGAGGCAGTTTAAAAAAAACACAACATATGTACATGTTTATAAGAATATGTGTGTAAAAAAATAATACAATAACATAGAAAATAATAAAAAGTCATGGCACAATATACGACACATGGGGTAAAAACAAAAACAATGATCAGGTTTATGAATAATGTGAGCTGGTAAAGTAGGAGAGGGGCTGAAATCCAATGTTCACTTCACTGAAACGGCCCAATAGATATACAAAATGCACAAAGAAAACACTAATCAAACAAACACTGTGTGTAGACTGCGCTGCATGAGCACCAACATCGAAAAACCAGCATATTTTTTGGACTTTCTCCTTTTGACTTGACATTGATTCAACCGTCTCGAGTGAGCATTCAAAGAAAAAGAAAACTACCGCACAGATTTTTGCTGAGGAAAAAATTCACAATCTTCAGGTTGAAAGCGACCAATGTTTAAAAGTTCATTGTCTCTGAGAATGGTTCTTCATAAAAAGATGAAGCGTGTCACTTTTTCTTCCCTCTCATGGCAATCTCCTTCCTGAGACTGAGCAAGGTAAGCCGAAAAAAAGTTCCTAAGTTTCAGTCTGGAGTTTGTTTTTTTCTCTGCAGGGGGACGAGAGTTTTTTTTGGGCACAGATGTCATTTTGTGTCCGCCAGCCTCTGGCTCCCAACGGTTTGTGTTTGGGTGTGTTTGTTTGACCGTTAAGAGTGTGTGTCTTTCTGTATGTGTGTGTACTGTTGATAGAGGAAGTGTGTCTGTGTGTGACGGCGTGTGTGCGTGCTCATGGCGCTGTGGTGATGGCGTTCAGGTCCTTCATCAGGCCCTCTAGGTGGGCCATCTCCTCGGTCAGCTCGTCGGGCTCGTAGCTCTGAGGGAGAGGAACAGGGTTACTGCGGGGGGCGGGGGAAGGGCAGGGAGGGA